ACGGCAGCATCTACATGTATTATTGGACGACGCTAGATTATTCAATACGTCAGCGGGTTCAAACGGTCCGGGACGTTTTCAAAGTTGCACTGTCGACGGAAACACGGGAGGAAGTTGATCGTGGTGAGTCCGTTTTATAGCTCGCGAGCGGATATTAAGCCGTCGAAGTTTGTGCCGGTGTGGTGGTGCTTTTTCCCTCCAGAGCAGTATAAGATGAAGATATTGTTCGAGATGGCGCAAAAAGACGCGAAGAGTTGGATCAAGAAACAGAAGAAGAAAGAGGAGGAGAAGAAGTCGTCCGGGTTGGAAAGGGCGAGGCGCGGGTTGACCGAGAATCAGCCCATAACGACGAATAATAGAAATATATCTTCTCCGGAAAGTAACGTAGGTGCGACAAATACGACGGGCGAAACCTCGGATTCCGACGACGACGACGACGACGGAGAAGAGGAAGTAGAAATGAAGGATTCGTTGGAGACTTTACGAGATTCGTCGAGGAACTCGTCGCAAAATTCGCTCCAGGATTGGTACACCGAGTGTCAAGAATGGGCTTCGCAAACGAGTGAGTTTGCGGCGAAACGCGCGGCGGCGGCAAAAGCGGCGGCAGAAAAGGCGGCAAAGAAGCACGCGGAAACGTGGACGGAGTTTGCGGAGAGAGAAAAACGCATCATCAAATCGTTTTGGTTTCGAGCGTCCGCAACGGCGCAAGAGGCGGTGGATCGACTGACGCACATGGGCCGATCGAGCTTGACGAGCACGCCGATTAAAAAGAAAAAGAAGAGAAGATCCACTGGAGAAGACGAATTTTACGACGCGAACGAGCAAGGTGGATACGAGAGCGAAAGTAGCAGGCGATCGTCATTTGATGGTTTTTTACGCGACAACGCGCACGAAGCGTTCATCACCGTGGGCAAAGGCACGATTAAAATTGAAAAGTTAATTTTGCAACTCATCGCGTGCGTCATCGTGTACGCCGAGTGCGCTTTACAGGCGGCATTTTTCTTCGTCTTGGCGATTGTCTCCGGCATTTTACGCGTGAAAGGTAACGAGAAAAATTGGGAACGGTTTTATACCTTTGCGAAGCCGATGCCGAGACTGTTGATGCACTCGGTGCCCGGGATACCGAACACGAAGAAAGTTGACGAGAGAACGAGTAAAATCCTCGGGAATTCCTGCGCGACGTATCGGGTTCTGTGTTACTTGATTCACGCGCCGACAGAGCATTTCGAAACCGCAAAAGTGAGCGGCTACGAGACGAACAACTCATCCATGAGTGAGGGACCCACAAATTAATAATACAAAATTATCTGTCGCGAACGGTGAGATACCGGACGACGACGATTTTTTAGAGAAGGCACACGCATAACTATAGTAATAGGAACGCAAAATTTTAGTAAAGCATAAAAATAGTATCATCACATACGCATCATATGCCTTGTATTGTGTGCTTTCGTTCGTGTGTTTAATACAGAGTCCTCGAAAATATTGTGAATTAAAACTCTCTTTTTTTGAGAAGGGCAAGAAGATTACCACCAAGCTTTCTCGCCATCCGTGCCAGCCACTCGAATACCATCCGAACCGGCCACGATGACTTGGTAACTCATCCCAACGAACAAACCGTGATCGACGACACCAACGGTATTTTTCAAATCGCTCGCGGCTTTGTTCACGTCCTTAATCGGCGCCTTAAAGTGTAAATCGACGATGTAGTTCCCGTTGTCGGTGACGGCGACGTTATCGCCGTCCGGCTTGTTCGTCGAGCTCGAGCCCATGCGAATAACTGCTTCACACCCAGCTAAACTCGGCAACTCCGCGATTGTCCTCGCCGTGTGCTCGTGACAAAACGGGGTAATTTCCACCGGCAACGGAAACCCCGGACCTAACCCTTTGCACAACTTGGATTCGTCGACGATGACGATGAACTTCTTCGCCATCACTTCCACCATCTTCTCTCTCAAAAGCGCACCACCGCCGCCTTTCACCAACGCCAAGTCCGGGTCGACTTCATCCGCTCCATCAATCGCCACGTCCAACTTACTCTTCTCGTTCAGCGTGCACAAAGGAATGCCCAGGCTTTCCGCTTGCTCTCGCGTTCGTTCCGAGGTTGGAATAGCCACGATATCTTTCAACTCCCCGGATTTCAACTTTTGCCCCAACCGTTCGACGGCAAAATACGCCGTCGATCCGGTGCCTAAACCAACAACCATCCCTGAGAGGACGTGATCGTCCACCGATTTATACCCGACGAGTTTTTTCAGCTCGTCTTGCGACATTTGCGCTTTCGTGGTCGTCATTGATGACGATATCTTTCTGTTGTTTGATGATAATCTTCTCGAAAATGTAGTCGTCGTAGTGCTTTGTCTGGATGCGAGATGAAAAGTTGTCGCTTGAATCGTCGTCAACATTATATGTTATAGTTGTGTGTGTGTGTGTATATATAGTATATCTAACACAGAGAGAGAGAGAAAATGCGAGAGATGTATCACGTGTGCGTGTGTTTAAAGTGCAGATGCACGATAATATTATCCAAAAGAGCAGAAAGAGCAGAAAGAGCAGAAAAGAGCAGAAAGAGCAGAAAAGTAAAAAAAAAATAAAAAAAGCAGAGTAATTTTCTTTTTCAGAAAAGGTCGAGACGCTTCATAAAAAACGCATACGCGCACCAAAAAATTTCATCAAACTCTTAGTAGTATTCTATAGTACTAAAAACAAGGACGATGTTTTGGAGAGGTTGAGAGAGATTTAGAGAGAGGACGAGGAACGCGAGGAGGATGCGACGACAGCGACGGGAACACTTTCAACGCGGTGGTGGGGCGGACGACGAGAATGATGCTTCTGCTGATGATGATTTTGATGTCAACGTGATGAACAAAAACGAAGATGATGATGAAGAAAAAGATTTGGAAAAAGGGGCGATGAAACCACCGGCGTTACCGAGACCGATGCGACTTTTGGAAGAGTTGAAAGAGAAAATGATGACGTGTGCTCACGAAAACGCAAATGGGACGACGACGAGCAGGAAATACGCGAGCATCGAGTGCGAGTTGAGCTCGTGGAGAGAGACGGAAATTATTCAATTTTTGGTGGAGAAGATTCGGAAAAATTATTACGCGAAGACGACGACGAACAACGAGGATGAAGACCCGATACGAGTCGGACGGGTGTTCACGGCAGTCAACGAAGGCGGTCTGGCGGTTTTAGTTGGAGAGGAACTGAGAGATAAACGGAGTTTAGGATCGGTCGTGAGAGCCGCGGCGGCGGCGTCGGCGGCGTCGGCGGAGAAGAAAGACGAAGAAGATACGAGTAGCAACGGGGGGGCAAAGAAAGAAGGGACGAAGAAGAAAAATAGCGACGAGAAGAATAAGAAAAAGCTCGCAAACGTGCCGAAGATTGCAATCGCGACGTTAGAGTCGCCGGTGAATTTAGGCGCCTCGGACGGGAGAAACGCCAGAGTGGTGTGTTTGGTCTTAGTTCCGATGAGCTCGCAAACTTTACACGGAAACCATCGACACAGTTTTGAAGAGCTTCATCGGAACAGCGCTTTACATAACGACGGCGGTGACGACGACAACGATAAAGACTCGCTGTTTGGCCTGGACCGATGGAATAAAATCGCGTGCATAAAAGCCGCGTTTAGAAGTTTATCGAGAGACACAGATTTTGTCTCCGACGCGAGCGATTTCAAAAGACTCCACTCGCACGCGAAGAAACATTCCAGATTGCCGCACGCTTTTGACGTTCTCTCCGCAGTCATGCACGGGGACAGCACGGACGATAAAGTGCGTTTGTTGAGTGCCAAGCAAAGAGTCCTGGACGCGTGGGAAGACGCCGTGGAAGTCTTGAGATTGTCCCATAGGAATTCGTTTTTGACTTCCATAGAACACAGGAAAAAGAACGCGAAAGATACGAACGCGAACACTAACAGCTCGTACGAAGCCGAGCGGACGGGGAGATTTTGCGGTGGAATCATCGATGATATTAAACGACGTTCGTTAGTGTACGCGAGCGATTGGACGGATGGACTACAAACAGTCAAGACGATAACGGCGACTTTGTACATGTATTTCGGGTGCTTAGGACCGGCGATTGCGTTTGGAGGGTTGACGTACGAGGAAACCGGCGGTAAACTCGGCGCGATGGAATTTTTGCTCTGCCAGGCTTTTGTCGGCATCGTTTGGGCAATTATCGGTGGTCAACCCGAGTTAGTACTCAGACCAGCTGGTCCGCAAACGGTTTTCATCATCGAGCTTTATCGACTCTCGACGACGAAGGCGTTCAACGTGCCTTTCGAACTCGCCATGGCGTGGACGGGCGTGTGGACTTCAATTTTCATGCTCCTCATCGCGTGTTTTGATTATTGCGCGATTGTCGTTCGATCTTGCACGAGGTTCACCCAAGAAATTTTCATGGTATTTGTGAGTGCAATTTTCATATTCGAAGGGTGTAAAGGCGTCGGGAGTTATTTCGATAGCGCGAAAGAGACGTACAGCAGAGACGTGGCGTTGTTTTCGCTCATCTTAGCCGCCGTGACTTTACAACTCGGATTGTTTTTTGGAAAAGTTCGTTCCAGCCCTTTCTTACTCGGTCCTTTGAGAGAATTGACGGCTGATTTTGGAATCGCGTTTGCGATCGTTACCTCTTGTCTTCTCGCGTGGGGATCTGGAATCGATGGGTACGAAAAGCTCTCGTTACCTTCGAACATCAAGCCGAGCGACGAAACGAGAAGCAATTGGCTGATTGACTTATTTCCGTCCAAAGAGGAAGGAAATCGATGGATCATCGGAGGCGCGATAGTCCCGGCGATATGCTTAACGTGCTTGTATTACATCGACGCTAATGTTGCGGCGCTATTGTGCAACAAAGAAGAGGCAAAGTTGAGAAAAGGCGTCGCGTATCATTACGATTTCGCGTTGCTCTCTATCTTACTCTTTTTCTGTTCGATTTTTGGCTTGCCGTTTGCGACGCCGAGTCTGCCGCACTCGCCGCAATACGTGAGAGCACTGTCGGAGATTGAAGAGATTACAAAGAACGGGGTCACGCGAACAAAAGTGGTGACTGTTCACGAACAACGCCTCTCGCCGCTGCTCGTCAACGTTTTGGTTTTGTTGTCCTTTGTTTTATTGTCATTGTTGAAAGAGATTCCTATGGCGGTATTGTACGGTTTATTCGTTTTGATGGGCATCAACGGTTTCTACGAAAATCAATTTTTTCATCGATTGACGATGATATTTATGGAACCAAGGTTACACCCACCGACGTCGTACGTGAGAAACGTCCCGTTATCGCGGGTTCATGGATTTACGTTCGTACAAGTGTGTTGCGTGGCGGTCATTTGGGGCGTGCGCTCGACGGATTTGTGCCTCATGTTTCCAATCTTAATCGCGATGTTAATGCCGCTTCGGTTACTTCTCTCCAAGTTTGACGGCATGTTCACGAAGCAACAGTTGCAACTTTTGGACGTGAACGACGAAGCGTATTTGGTATTAGATGATGATGACGATGATAGCAACAATAACGACGACGACGACGACGACGACGATGACCGAGACGACGACGACGGCGACGCCTTTGATGTCAATGACCCTGGTTTCAACAACAACGCGACCGACGACGAGCGTCGCCAATTAGTACGCGCGGCACAAAAAGCTGCGTTCGATTCGAGAGCGATGACGCTGATGGATTTTGCGGAAAACGGACCGAGTCTGAACGCGTCCTCGCTAGGGAGTGCTAGAAAACCTCAGTCGTCTCCGTTCGGCACCGCCGCGACGCCGAATCGATACGTGTTCCCGTATCATTCGGATTCAAAGCCGATTAAAATTGCCCAGAGACGAACGTCGTCTTACTTCAGCGACGACGATCTCTCGCCGAGGGATAAGTCGGCGACCGTGAGTCCAAGACGCGATCGTCCACTTTCGCCTAAACCATCGAACGATAATAATAAAAATAATAAAAGTAGTAATAGTAAGGAGGAACCCGGGTCTCCGCTGTAGTTCTATAGATAGGATACAATTAGGAAAAAAGAAGACTTTTATTCAGATGATGTTTTATCGTATTGTAGCGCGCGTATTTACAATTTACTACTTACGCAACTGCACTTCTTCGCATTCATTCATTCATTCATTCATTCAAATCCTTTTGTATTCTTGTGTTCATTTGTTCATGTGTGTGTGTGTGTTCAATCGTCCTTTTTTTTCACGAAAATCATCATCTTACAAAAAATTAGGCTGTCGTTCGCTTCGCCGCGAACGGTGCGGCGATTCGCGTCGCTCTCGTTTTCGGGGGCGAAAACTCAACCGATCTACCTTTCACCTCTTTCGGCACCGCTTTCGCCGCTTTCTTAGTGACGTTTTTGTTGTTGTTGTCCCCTTTCGCTTTTTTGCGTCCGAAAAGCACTCGCGACACCGTTCGGTACGCCAAGTAATACATCAACGTTTGGACCAAAACGTACGAGGAAAACATCGCGTTCGATTTCGTCGCGTACGGCGCAAAAAAATCCACGTTTTGGTACACCATCAATAATTTCGCCGCCAAAACTTTCACCAACTCCTCTCTCGCCGCTCTTAAAAACAAGAAAGCGCGCGTCGCGTACTCCTTCGCTTCCTTCGGCGTCTTCTCCTGGACAAACTTCTTCGCCTTTGTCAGTTGCGGTTGAACTTTCTTCACCCCAGATTTCACTTGCTTCGTGACTTCACCGTACGCGCTTTTAATTTTCGGCATCACCTCCTTCTTCGCCTTCACTTTCGCCGTTTCGTATTTCTTCGGCAAATCAAACTCCATCGCCTTCTTACTCGCCAACTGCCCGATTTCCAACGACTTCACCTTCGCGAACGCGTAATATTCCGACCCTTTCGCCTTCGCGACGACTGCCAACCCACTCGTCTTCTCTTTCAAATATTCCGCGAAAACTTTCGAGTGCGCTTTCAAACCCTCCAAACCTTCCTTCGCTTTCGCCTTCCCGTCGCTCGTCGCCGCTTCCGCGAACGTCTTCAACGCCTCCCAAAAATGCGCAAACTCCGTCTTCAAATCGTTCGACGAACTTTTCTGAGCGATAAACTCTTCGTTCGTTTCTCGTAAAAAACTTCTCTCGAACTTTTCTTTCTCTTCTTTTGTCTTTTCCAAGTTCACTTTCGCCTCCTCGATGGCTGATTTCGATTTTTGCAATTCCAACTCCACCTCTCGTTTCGTCCGTCTCATTTCGTTCAAATCGACGTTTAATTTTTCCTCGACGGCACGTTTCTCTTTCCTCGCGTACGAGAGGTCAGACTTTGCTTTTTCCAGTTCACGTTCCAACCGAAGAAGCTTGTCTTCGTCTTCTTTTCCCCCGGGGTTGGCGGAAACGAAGAAAAAGCCTTCGCCCTCGCCGACGATGATGCGCCTTCTTCTTTCGCGCATTAATCCATTCGCATCATCGGTGTTAGTGGAAAAACACCCGAGACAGAGGACGAATGCGTACGCGACGGCAAACACTTTGAGTAAAAACAGTTTTTTTACCGCGCGAGAAGTATCAGATCTGCGCCGGTGAGTACTCCTCATCACTCTCGTGTTCGTCGTCATCTTAAGATCGATATAATCTAAAACGCGCGTTGTTCAGAGAGAGAGAGAGAGAGAGCGTTTTTTTATATCTCAAAAGAGCGCTCAAAAGAGTTGTTTTGCGTGGCAAAAGTAAACGAACGTTTTTGAAAATTTTTGTTCCTTTTTTTTAGAGGCTGAGACGATTGGTGTTTTTTATCAGCGAGATCTCTCCAGACATCACAAAAATTCTTCCGGGGGCAAAAGACATCACAAAAAAAAAACACATGCATCATGTTTTGACACGACTGTTGCAAAGAGATACACAGACGCACACAACAAAGCTCTCTCATCATCGTCGCATTTTAAAAGAGAAATAGAAGGATGAGCTCGTGGAGAAAAGGAAGAAAAGGAGGAGGACTTTTCAAAATGAAGGACGCGTTCGTTTTTTTGGTTGTTTTTACCTCCTACGCGGTGTGGAGAAATCATCGTTTTTCTCATCATCACCAAAGCGAAGCGCAGATGCAGATGAGACAACACCAACACGAACAACACCAACGGGATGATTCTTCTTCTTTGTCTTCTTCTTCTTCTTCTTCTTCGGGAGGGCACGGGGAAAAACGATTAGTAAACGAAAACGAAGACCGAGAAGCGTTCGAGAGTTCGGACGAGGAACCGGTGGATCCGTCTCCACCGATACCACCGGAACCGATGATGATGATGATGCCGCCTCCTCCTTTACCGCCTCCTCTCGCCGAAAAGACTTTGTCTCCGCCACCCAGCGTTGAGCGGCAGCAGCAGCCGGAAGAAGGAAAAGAGAAAGAAGAACGAGACGAATACGAGAAAAAATATACGATTCTTCCTAAACCGGACCAGTCGAACATTCCTCTCAACGCGCAAGAGGTTCGCTCGGATAGCAATCACCCGCAATGGATGAAAGACATGTGGGCGCAGCAAACGAAAGCGCTGACGGAAGAGGCGAAGAAAGAGTTAGAGAGGAAGATTTATGAAGGCGCTATACCGCCGGAGTTGTCGCACGCGAAACCCGGGGATGCGATATTCGTCACGTTTGCGACGCACTCGGTGAGAGATTTCGCGAAAAATTGGGTCAACGCGGCGAGACGGTTGAAATTAGAGCCGCACTTTGTCGGCGCTTTGGACGAGAAGATGTTGGAGGATTTGAAGAGTTGGAACGTACCGTCGATGTTACTGACTGGGAACTCGGTTTTAGCCAACAGAGGAGTACAGTTTATTACCGCGGGAAGCGCAGCGTTTAAGAAGATGGGAACGGTGAAGACAAAGTTTGTGCAGGACTTGTTGGATATGAACTTGAATCCTATTTTATCGGACGCGGACGTGGCGTGGATGAGAGACCCGAGGGCGTATTTCAACAAAGGCACGTACGGGAAAGCGGATATTTTAGTCAGCACAGATTGCATAGACGTTCCTGGAGACAAAGACGATTCGAACAAGTGCGCGCACGTGAATTTCAACACCGGTATACTACACATACGAGCGACGGAGGAATCGAAGAATTTTTTACAAGCGTGGAAAACCAAAGTCGCGACGTCGACGATTGCGTGGATGAGAGACCAACCGGCGTTTAATTTGTTAATGCACGAAGGCGTGAGAGGCCACGCGTTAGAAAATGCGATTAAATTGAAAGATATGGCGGACAGAGGGAAGGAAGGTTTCAGGATGGTGTATTACGCCGCGAACGCTACGGTAAAATTAGGCGTCTTGCCGAATTGGCTCTTCGGGAACGGGCACTCGTATTTCGTCCAATGGCATCACAAGCAATTTCCTGAGGATGGAGAACCGTACGCGGTGCACACGACGTACCAATACGGAGACGACGGGCAATACGCCTGGGGAAAGAGAGAGCGCATGCGACAGGCTGGGATATGGACCGCAGACGATCGAGAGTATTACGAAGACGCGCACACGAAATATTTAGTCGTCCCGGACGTCTTTGCGCAGGTGAAACACGCGAACGGCCCAGGCGGCGCGAAAATGAAAACGGTCGGTTACGGGAACGGCGATTACAGAGTGGCCATCGAAAGACACTTCGCGGAAGATAAAGTGCGACGAGAAACCGTGCGAAACTTATTGGCGCTTGGGAAGCTTCTAAACAGAACGATTATTTTACCGGAACCGAGGTGTTATTGCGACAAGATTTGGAACAATTTGAACGCGTGCCGAGCGCCCGGCGCGGAGAAATTCGTCCTGCCGTACTCGTGTCCCATGGACCACATATACGATTTACCTAGCTGGTTTCGAAGCGGTTTGAAGTTCAGAGAGCCTGGCTTCTTAGCGGATTCGAGAGTTCCGGATAGCGTCAGGAACGATATCATTCGCGTGAATGTAGAGAGGAGGAGAAATTCGCAGTTGGTTTTAGAAGGCGATGGAGCAGGAGGAGAAAAGACGACGACGACGAATTCGTTCGATATAGGAGAAGAAGAAGGCAAATCTTCATCTTCTTCATCGTCATCTTCGGACGTTCAACTCCCGTTCGGCTTCACCGCCGCGATGGCCGAAGAAGCGTTGAAACCCTTCAGCTCCCACGCCGTCCTCGAGTTCGACTATTTGGCCGAAGAAGGCGTTTTTTGCGGCTTCCACGGTAAAGAAGAGAACCACGATTTCGACGCATCCGTCCAAGGCGCTTTGAGTCACTACCAATACTACTGCTTCACCGAGCCTTGGCTCGCCTCAAACGCGCCACGGTCCGGTCGACGCCCGAACGAACCGTACGAACCGCAAGTCGTCAAGAGACACTGCGGCGAGATGGACACCTCGATGCGCGCTTCGGGGAAAGTACACTTGGGTGTAATCGAACACATAAACAAAAAAGAGGAACAAAATTTGAAATGCACCTGCGAGTTTGGCTTTGGCGTGCCGACTGCGTTGGAAACGGTCGCGAAAGGGCCAATGTGTACGCACGAGAGTCATTCTTAAATAGATTGAACATTTTTTTAGTTACGAGTAGCACGAGATGATGATAGATTTTTTTTTAGAGCGAATTTGTTTGTACGAAAAAGAAAAAGGACGAGGGGGCCCATTCAGTTTTAGTAGGGGAAAGATCATCACTTTTATCAAATTAATTAACAAATATGGCACTCTCAACTATGATCCCATCGGTGACGCCTTCGAACGCGTTAAAAGCGCACGCGATAATTTCGATCTTGTTCTCCTTACCTGTTATAATCTCTGGCGCGGGTGGATTTCTCGAACTTATTTCCGACGGCGCGGTGAAATCCGCGCAAATGAAAGGTCCAATCGCCCAATTGTTAATTCACATCACGTACGTCGATTTCGTGAAAAATTGGTACGTGAGTGCAATCAGTTGGATGTGCGCGAGTAAAGCGGTGACCGTGCAAAAGATGGTGATCAAAATCAACCTGATGATGATGGCGGGTGCGTTACTCGCGCTGATTTATTCTCCGCCAGTTGCTGGTGGGCCGATGGTACCTCCTCCGGTTTTGGCTTATTTTTCCACAATGTGTGTCTTGTACTGCTTGGCGTTACAAGTGCCGAAGAAAGTGTTGAAGATGATGCCGAGTTTACCGAAGATTGGTGGTTCGAGCGCCGCTCCGGCAAAGAAGAAAGCAACTCCGACGCCGGCGAGACGAACGCCGAGTCGAAGACGTTAAAAAACAAAAGTTAAGAAGCAATCATCACGACCGAACATATTACATATCTATCACGCGTTGTAAATAAAAGTTGCGCGTTGAAAATTTTACGAGAGTCATAAATCATCTATTATATATTACAACAATACACCACACCGAAGAGCAAAGTTATCGAGCCCCTTCTTCTTCTTCTTCCTCTTCTTCCTCTTTCTCGAACGATCTGTTCATAATCTCCGTCATCAATTCCGTGTTCGCTTTCACGATATCGTCGTCCACGAACGACTCCAACATTTCGTAATCAAACTCTTCGCAATACGCTTTCCTCGCTTCTAAAATCCGCAAAGTCACCGCCGGGTTTACCTTACCAAACTCTCTGACCCAGCTGTCCCCATCGCCTAAGTCGATACCTTCCATTGCGTTCCTCAAATCGTTATAATCCGGACATTGAACTTTCCCGTCGTACCCCGTGACCTGAGGAGCGAATCCGCCGTCGTTCCCTTGGCCTTCCAAGTGCGCTTGCACTACCCGAATCGAAACGTACGTGAACAACCGTTTCAACGTTCGCGCGGCTTTCCGTTCCGCGAGTTCTCCATCTTGCGGCGTGTATAAGTTTGGGTAGTTTTTGTCCTTCTCTTCTCGCTTCTTCGCAAAGACTACTCCTTTCATATCTTTGTTGTAAGCACTCCTCCTCTTTCTCAACCTCGTCGTCGTCGTCGTCGCTAAAGGCTGCCCGTAAAACGACGCGCTCGAGGATAAAGAACAACTGAACATCATATATACCACTACTTAGTCCCGCTGCTTGACCCTAACGCAGCCGCGTGCGACCAGACTAATATCACCCCGGCGATGCCAAACGTCGCGGGGAAACGAATCTGTTTGTGTTTCTTTAAAGCGATGCCGACGACGGGAATCACCGGCGCGAGCGCGATTGGCCACAGGTTATTCCAGTTCGGTTCTTTTATGTGTCGTTTTGATGATGCTGACCCCGATGATTGCTCCGCTGATGACGATGATATCGAGGATGACATCAAAGAGGGTGAAAGAGAGCGCAATCGACAAAAGTTTGTGACTTACGTAAGTTGTGACGAATGGTAAAGAGGTGGTGCGCGAATAAACAACAACGAGAGATAATACGAACAGATGATGATGATGATGATGATGATGATTACGCGTTTCGTGCGTTTATTACACAACAAACAGAACTTATAATTCTTTTAACTCAAGGCTGCTTTACCGCCCATGATAACCACGCCCCACCCGCCTAAAATCACAAACACCAAGTGTTCTTCCTTCCAGTTCCCCGGGTTCGTGGGATCTTGCCACGGGTAATTCACTTTCGGTGGAGCGTTTGGATCGGATGCAAAAAGTCTCTTCTGTTGAGGTTGTTGTTTGAACGTTGCATTTGTGGTTCGGAGAGACCGTTGCGCGAGTCTGCGCAGAGCCGTGACGCCTGACATCTTTATGGTACTCGTAGTGTGTTTATTGCTTTTGATTTTTGGGGATCCGATTCGTTACAATTTAAAGAGGAAACGATGATGTTAAGGACTTCTTTATCATCATCATCGTCGGTACTATCCTCACCTTCACTACCTCTGAGAAGAAGGAAAAGTAAAAGTAGAGGCGTTTTTGTGAATAGCAGCACGAGCAGAGATAATAGATACGAAACATCTTTCTCCTCCTCCTCCGCTTCTGGTGTGAGAGGTGTTGCGGCAAATTCTTTTCCCCGTGATGATGATGATGATGATGTCGAAGAAGTCGTGCACACGGTCGCCCCGGGAGATTCTCTCTACGGCGTGGCGATGTCCTACGACGTGGACCCGAGAGATTTGATCGTGAGTAATCGTAGCAGTCGATATCGTAGTAGTATTAGGAGTAGTAAACGCAAATCGTACATCAGTTTTGTTTTTGAATTTTTAATTCAAAAATATGCGACGAGTAGTATTGAGAAGAATAAAATGTGACTTCTCTCCAATCTGACTTTCTCTCTCTCTCTCTCTCTCTTAAATAACAACAACAGGCGGCAAACGCAAAGACATTGGGCGGCTTCGAGTACGTACTTCCGGGACAACGACTAGTCGTACCCGGACGACGGCGAGGAGGAGGATTAGGAGGAGGACAGCAACGACAACAACACCAATCGAGGATGACGGGGATGAAAAATTTAGCGCCGAACAACAACGGTAATAACATTAGTAGCAGCGTAGTAATGGGACAACACGGCGGCGGAGGAGTGGGAGCGATGACGCCGACGACGGCGGTGGCGAGAATGCCGACGATCGTGACGGCGGTGTCGTTTGTTTTTGGCCTCGCGTTTGGTCTGTTTTTGTTTTCGCGAGAACGAGAATGATAAATTGATTTTTGTTAGTTGTGATGATGATGATGTGTATATTTTCTTCTATATAATATGATACAATTTCAAAGTCTACGTGTGTACTACTACTCTATGATATGTGCTCTCTTCTCACTGAGGCGGCGGCGGCGGCGGCGGCGGCGGATGCATCCCTCCGTGCATTTGATTTATCATCGCCATCGGCGCCGCGTTCATGCCCATCATCATCCCAGGCGGCGGCGGCGGTGGTGGCATTCCTGGCATCCCACCACCCATCATCATCATCCCTGGAGGTGGTGGAGGCGGCATCCCTCCCGGCATGCCGCCCGGCATTCCGCCTCCGACGACGCCCATCCCGGCGAACCCGCTCATTCCGGTCGCGCTTCCGTCTGAAAACATCGCGTGCGGTCTCAACTGTCTCCCCCCGTACCCGCCATTATTCTGCATCCCAGCTTGCGCTAACAACCGTTCCGCTTGACTCCCGTGCCTCTCTCCGTTCGTATCTTTCTTATACGCGTACACGACCGTAATCTGTTTCCCGGCTAAAAACTGTCCGTGCATGGCTTCAATCGCGCGATCGCTCGCTTCGAACGAATCAAACTGCACGAATCCAAACCCTCTGCTCTCTCCACTCTCCGGATCTCGTTGCACTTTCGGTGCCGTAATCACCGACCCGAACGCGCTAAACGTATCGTACAACATCTTCTCGTCGATTTCCGCATCTAAATTCCCCACGAACACGTTCGCGCCGACGCCGACATCTCCTCCTCCTTTCCCTCCATCTTGCGACGCTTTGTTCACTCGAATCGGTTTCCCGAACACTTTAATCATGTTCAATATTTTCACGCAGTATTCGCAATCTTCCTCTCGTTTCATTTCCACGAACGCGTACCCTTGGTGCGAGGACGTCACTCGGTCTTTCGGCACGTACACCGACGCCACCGGTCCGCATTAGACGAAGAGTTCCCAAAGGAGTTGCTCATCCATTTGCGGATCCAAATTCCCGACGTACATGGTCGCGTCCGCGTTTTTCTCTTGCGAGTGTTGCCCTAAAGTGTTCGCGCCGGCGGAGACGGTGATTCTACCGCCGGCGAGGCCGGACATCCCCGAATTCGAGACTCCCGATGTCATTTGTTATTCTTCTTAATACTATTATACAATGTGGAAAAATTTGCTCTTTTTTCCCTCTGGAGCCGCCAAAAATGCTTCATTCTTGTGTCTTTGTTGTGCTCTCATCAAACATCGCTTTAACTCGTTCTCTTCTCACCGAGGAGCAAAAGTGTCAGTTTATACAACACATATATAATAATGCGTCCTTTGGAGGAGTCTGAAGTCGCGCAAGTCTTTGAAAAGCTCTTCAAATTTATCGGGAAGAATTTACGAAACGTTCTCGAATCATCGTCCTCGAGCGGAGGAGGAGAACGAAAAGGAAAAGGAAAAGGAAACGATTCAGACGACGAGGAAGAAGAAGAACAAGGTGTTGGATTTTGTTTCCGCTTACACAAACAAAGAGTCTACTACGTGAAGGACGAAATCGTCAAACGAGCGACGAATATTTCTCGTGAGCAATTGGTGACTTTAGGGCAAAACATAGGGAAGTTCACGCACTCCGGGAAGTTTCGCTTAACCATCGGCGCTTTAGATTTATTAGCACAACACGGGAAATATAAGATGTGGGTGAAACCAACGTCGGAAATGTCGTTTTTATACGGGAATCATCTATTGAAATCCGGGTTAGGACGAGTGACGGAGAACACGCCGACGAATCAAGGGGTGGTTATTTTGAGCATGAGCGACGTGCCGCTCGGATTCGGCGTGTGCGCCAAGTCGACACAGGAGTGCAGGAAAGCGGATCCGAGCGCGGTGGTGTGTTTTCATCAGGCGGATATCGGGGAGTATTTGAGAGCGGAGGATGACATGGTGCCAGGGAAGAAAGAGTAATGTAGCTTAATAATAGTAGTTTTGTGTATTTTGATTCATCGTATTACAGAGTAGTTTTACGTTCTTCACGTTTGTTGCAAAAATCCGCCCAAATGTTGTACATACAGCGTGCGCGCGCGCGTCTCTCTCTTTCTCTCTTATCTTCTTCTTCTAAAAATCTACGAGTGCTTTCTAATCAAGAACAATTCACGTCCTCGTTCTTCTTCCTTCTCTTCTTCTTCTTCTTCTTTTTCTCAATCGTCCAAGAAGGAATCACGATCACCGTCGTCGTCGTCGTTCCGTCTGGAACCTCGTTGTTGTATCCGTTGTTTTTTCTGAACACCAAGTAACGCTCTGGCCGCGTGTTCGGTGTTCAAAGATCCGCCGTTGTCGTCGTCACCGTTATTGTTGTTGTTATTGTTGTTGTTACCCGCCGGACTTCTCGGCGCGAACACCAAAGAACGTCTCTGTTGTCCTCTTCTTTCACCGTTTCTTCCTCCCGCGTCCATCGTCGCGTTCTCTTCGTCGTCTCCATCGTCATCCGCTTCCATCTCGTCCTCTTCTTCTTCCACGGGTATTCGAAACCTTACAATCACGCTATCTTGCGACTCCTCCGCGGTGCCGGTTTCTTTATCCACGACCACCTGTCTCGCGCTATAAAATCTGTGCACCATTTCCAACCTTCGCGCGTTATCCGCAAAGCCAAAGAAAACGACGTCTGGTCTCGTCATCGTTCCGAGAAATCCTTTCCCTAACTGCTTGGCGCTTAAAATACCTCTCGTCGCCACCGGAGGAAGAGAATTGTTGTTGTTGTTGTTGTTGTTGTTGTTGTTGTTGTTGTTGTTATCGTTGTTATCGTTTGTATTTTGCTGCGTTTGTACAGAATAGTGATTACTACTATTCTTATTCCTGACCGCGACTGCCCGCATCTCGGCTAACCTCAACTGCGCAGTTCTCGCAGTCGTCGTCCCTCTTCTTCTTTTTCTTCTCTCTCCTCCCTCCTCATTCTCGTCGTCGTGGTCATCGTCCATCTCTACCCTGGGCGCAACCGGTACCCCTCTCAACTCCACCCCTGCGCTCGCCGTCGCTGTCTTCTCTCCCGCGATGTGCACCGCCCCTTCTCTCCCGACCACCACTTCCACTCTCGCGCTGACAAACTTCAACCGTTCCGTCGCTTCTCTCAACACCGACGCGGACTGATAATCCAAGTCCAACCAATACGGAACTTCTTCGAACCGTCTGGTATCGATCGCCGTCGCGATATCTTCCACGTCTTTTCGATTCAAAGGGCCGTAAATCGGAACGTCTTGGACGATATCAATCTCCCCGCCGAAGGACGAGAAGCACAAGACCGGCGTTAAGTTTCCTTTATTATTATTCGTTCTATTATTCGTATCGTCTTTCCTTCTTTTATGTTCTCTTCTCAGTAACTTCACGTGCGCGCCCGTGGCGTTCACGTTCACCAGTCCTTTCACCACTCGTAACAACCCGTTGCTGTCCACTTTAAAAGCGATTTGGTTCTTCACCGCGGATGAGCACACGTACGACTTTTGTTCGAATATTATTTGATTTTGTTGTCCACTGTTCGTATTAGTAGTGTTATCAAAGATGCTCACGTCCGCGTGCGCGTCCACCCCTCCGGTATCTTCCGGGCGTAACACTAAGGACATTTGCGTTGGATTGAAGTACAACGTGACGACGTTTTTGTTCATCTTTTCGAAGAGAGGGAGCAATCGGTCGAGCCAAGCCAGGCCGAGCTGCGTGATTTGGCCTCTCAGTTTCATTTTTCTTCTCGTATATCTCTCCTTCTCGCGACTGCTTCTTCTTTGAAGCGCTGCTTACGCCTCGATGAGAGTGGAGAGATTTTTGAATTTTCCAAGTGGCAGCCCCTGTGGGAAAATGCTTCAAATTCCTCATTGTGTAGTCCTTATTCGTATGAATATATAGAACAGACTTTCGCAGATATAACACGACTAAAAACAGCAGCACGAGACATTTCACGTTATATATGCGTTATTGCGTGCACGATTTTTTTTGATGACGTCTGATACTACTGCTATTCTGAGAGAGAATGCATCTCATCGTCGTGATGATGCGTTACTCGTGGAACGGAAACGAAACGAGATTCAAATCTGGGAGCGCGCGTACGAACGCGCGCACGAGAGAAAACCAACCAGAAAAGACGTGGAGGAAAACGAGAGCGTGAGAAAGATGTACCGAGAGTATAAAGAACTCGTGGTATCGATGACGAGCACATGCACCACGAAGAGTATTCAGAACAAGAAGAACAACAACAACGGGAAAGGAGGAGGAGATTTCGAAAATTTTCATCCCACTGCTAAGAAGGAGGAATACGAAAGCGACGGGGAGGATGAAGTCATCGAAGCGACGCCGCCGAGGAAACAACGACACATAAAACAACAACAGCACAACAAATCATCATCGTTTTTAAAGTCGTCGTCTTTGCCGTCGTCCTTGGTATCATCTGCAGAGAAGAAGAAAAACGCCGCGGAAGCCGCCGCGGACGAAGCTTCTCTTTTCGCTTTGAAAGAAGAAGCGAAGAAGAAAACGAAACCGTTACTAGTAGTACCACCAGCACCACCGCCGAGTTTAATGATGAGGATGAAAAGTAATAACAACAAAGGTATTATTGCTGGCGATTTTTCTTCGTCCTCCTCGTTCGCGACCATCGCGAATAAGCAAAAGAAGAAGACATCATACGAGCCTTTACTTTGCGAAGAGGACGAGAGAAATCGAGCGAAGGAAAGATTCGGCGCAATGAAGAGACGGGAGATGCACGCGATGGAAAACGTCAGTTTAACGAACGCTTTGAAAGAAGACGTCGTCGTCCAGCCGAGGAAGAAGAAGAAGTTGGTTGTTCGAGAAGAACAAAGAGCGGTCGTAGGAACAGCAGCAGCGGCAGCAGAAGAAGAAGAAATAGAAATAGAAAAAGAAGACGGAAACTCAGCAGCAATGATGAGAGAAGGAAGTAAGATCAACACAGTATCGAAAACAGCCGATGATAATGGAGGAGCAAAAACGACGACGACGACAAAACTTCCACCGACGTTTTCACCGCCAAAGAAAACCGCGGCGCAAATCCGGGCGGAGCACGCGAAAGAAGTCGGCGTCGCCAAGAAAACGGCAAAATTCCGAGGCGTGAGCGAACACTCGCGACGCAAGACGTACAAAGCGCCAAGACGGAGAGCGGGTAGTGCTAAACGCGCGCCAAAAGTGTACACGCGCGACGCCGCTCGAAGTGGTGGCTCGAAACACCTCAACGCGGAAAGGAGAGAGCGAAACGCAAAAGGCAAAACCGGGAAATTTTCCGTCGGCGAGGGCGACGATGATTTGTATAGCAGTAAAAGCAAATACGACGATAGTAACGACGAGGACGACATCGAAAGGAATAAGCTGGACGCTCTGGCCGCGGAAAAACGCAAAAGATTAGAGGAGTTGAACGACGACACTTTGCAAAAATACATCGCGGATGTTCGCGAGTGCCTCTCTTTCGTTGCCGAGAAGAAAGGAGTACAAAGTATGGACGATACGAACGACGACGACGACAACGACGACGACGAAACAGCGGTATTGAAAGAGAAACTGCGCTTGGTTTTAGAGCGTGGATTTGGGTTTCCGGTGTTTAAACCTGGACAAATAGACGTGATTTTACGCGTCTTGAGAGGCGCGAACACGTTAGCGTTGTTGCCCACGGGCGCCGGGAAGTCTCTGACGTACCAACTTCCGGCGTTGCTGTTACCTGGGATCACTTTAGTTATTTCGCCTTTACTTGCATTAATGTCCGATCAAATGCGCGGTTTACCGCCGGCTTTAAAAGGCGCGTGTTTACGTTCGGACGCGTCCTACGAAAAGACGGAGGAAACGCTAGAGGAGGTGAAAAGCGGTAACGTTTCGATTTTATTCGTTTCTCCGGAAAGACTATTGAACGAGAAGTTCTTGTGTGCGCTGCGTGAATGCCCGAACGGAGTAAGTTTAGCGTGCATCGACGAGGCGCATTGCGTCTCGGAATGGTCGCATAACTTTCGACCGGCGTATCATCGACTCGGCTCGATTTTGTTCAATCGAGTGATGAGGAGTGGGATGAACAACAACAACAACAATGGTAAAATGTTCCCAGTGCTAGCGCTCACAGCGACGGCGACGAAGAAGACGGAGATGAGCTTACGCGAGACTTTGAATATTGCCCCCGAGAACGCGCTCAGAAACGATGCCATTCGCGATAACTTGTCCTTATCGGTTATCCGCGTGCCGTCGTGCTCGCGAAATTCAACGCTTTTACACTTCTTGCAAAAAGATCATCCGAAAGGAGCGGCAATAGTGTACGTTGCGTTCAAAAACGAAGCAGAATCAGTTGCGAATTACTTGAAGGTTCAGGGCGTGGTCGCTCGTCCCTATCACGCCGGTCTCGATAAAAGTGAACGCCACAGAACGCAAATGCAGTTTCAAGAGAACAAAGTTCGCGTGATTGTTGCGACGGTTGCTTTTGGCATGGGTTTAGATAAACCGGACGTTCGATATGTGATAAACTACGCGTTGCCGAGGTCGCCGGAAGCGTACATTCAACAGTGCGGCAGAGCCGGTCGAGACGGAAACGAAGCGCATTGCTTGACTTTTTTGGATCCGGAAGATTATTTACGGTCGCGGTCGTTGACGCACGCGGACGGGTGCGATGTCACGAGCATTCGAGATCTCATGGAAATTGTATTTCTCGGCAACGGCGACGTTTTGAAACCGAAGACGACGCAGAAAAAGAAGAAAAAGCAGGTAAGTGAAGAAGTCTTCAGGGACGAGGACGACGATATTGAGAAAAGGAAGACGGATTACGACGCTTACGGTAATTGGATACCGAAGCTCGGGCGTATAAAACCGGATGTCATCGCACCAGTCATTGACGTAAAACTCGAGGCAATAGAAACAGCGTTATCGTGCCTGGAATTGTGGGGCCGGGACGCGCAGTCGATAACATCTCCGGGTTCTCGCGACGTAAAATTGGACGAGGAGTATTCAAATTTACTGCGCGTGCTCCCAGATTTCCGCTCTACGTGCGAAATACGCTTCTTCGGCCGCGATCCGAAAGAGATTGCAAAGCAAAGCACGCTCGTAGATGCTATTCTGAAGCTCTGCCCGGAGCCAAAAGCGGACGGTGCGAGAATCTTTGACATTTGCAAAGCGGCATTTCTATCCAACTGTTCTCTCGATGATGTCGCGTTCCAGTTGAAAGCTTTGCGAGATAATAGAGAAGCGGGATACGAAATTCGCGACCGAGCGCTTGGTTTCGAGATTTTACGAGATCCACCGAAAGGGGATAAATTGCGCAAACTAGCGTTTGATTTAACCAAGCGCTTGGATGCAGTAGAGAAAGGTAGCGTTGGTAAACTGGATGCGTTGTATGCGGCGTTGGATTACGCCGCGGATGCAGAAGCGGACGACGTGCAAGGCGCTCGATTACGCGAAAGTTTGAAGTGGTACTTGAACGCAAGCGAAGAGGAGGGGGAGGAGGAGGAGGTAGAAAGAGTTGAAGAAGATCCGAACGGAGGAGAAGAAGACGTGCCGGTTCGCAGGGTTGCCGAGGGAGCAAAACGCCCGAAGTGCGTGTTAACGGAAAAGCGGATGCTCGTCGCCGACATTCGCGAAATACTCACGCATCGCAGAGACGGTAAAGTCGGTGGCGCCGGTATGCTTCGCGCTCGCGCCGTCGCGCGCATTTTACACGGTATAGGGTCCCCGAAGTACCCAGCCGCGGAATGGCGAAGAGGTAGTTCCGCACATCTGTGGGAGCGCCATCGAGACGTCGATTTCTATACCGTCGTTGAAATGTGCAACGCCGAGATCTTGCGCGTAAGAGGCGTGGTGCCTACGAGCGATACTAAGAATAGCGAGTAGAATACTAGTAATAGATAGTTTTTAGTAGTAGTAAAGGTACACTTTAATTTACAGGAGGGATCATACTCATCGTTACGATTGCGGGGGCGACTCGGGCTTACCGAGCGTCGTCGATTTAGACGACGACGACGACGGCAGTGGTGATGGTGGTGGCGGTGTTTTATTTTTTCTTCCGCTCGTCGTTCCTCTCGGCGAGCACGTGCTAAAGAGATTCCCTAAACCGAACAAGTCCGATGCGGACGCGGCGCTCTTTTGTTGCTGCATTTCGTGCGGATCTTTATCCGGAAACAATTCGTATTTGACGGAATCTTTACTATCTTTTTCGCTCACGTCGTCGTTTACGTCGTCGTCGTCGCCGCCTAGGTGAGAGGACGTCGTCGTCACCGACCCGGTCGGGGTCAACTCGTGCGGGTCAACTTCTCCTCTCCCGACGGTCCTGACCGTGAACGAGGATCGCGCGCTTTCCATAGTCTTCGCGGCCATTTTTGCCCCGCTCTCCGTGGTTTTCTTCATTCCGTCGTACACCGTCGTAAAACCGTCGTCCAAGAACTTTTTACTCATCATGAACCCGTCTGAAACGCCGTTGGTGATGAGATTCAAACTTTCGTCTTGAAACTCGACGATAATTCTTTGCAACACGCCTTGCGCGATTCGTTTCCCGAACGCCTTCCTGGTGCCCACGAACACTTTATCCACCATTTCAAACTTGTTCACCTTGAAAGACGTTTGCGAAACCGTTAATATTTTCACGTTCCAATCGATTAATTTCGTCTCTTTCACTCTCAGAACCAATGGTCTCTTTTGCATCATCTCGATTGGATCTTCTTGCACGTGGTTTATCATCGTCGCGTACCTCCCAAGCGCGGTCAGTTTATCCGTCACGTCCGTCGCCACCGCGCCGATTTCTTTCACAACTGAACCGGAAATCTCGATCGTCTTATTCGCCGCCTCTTGAATCTTCTTGTTCGCGTCTTCGATTTGCGTTTGAACTTGAGATTGAAAGTAGGAAAATAAACCGTTGTTGTTGGTATTCTTCGCGTTTGACGTCAAATCCTCCTCCTCCTCGCGCGTCCCAGTAGCATTCGTCCCTTTCGTCGTCGCAGCTTCATCTTCTTTTGCTTCTTCTTCCGAGGAGGAGGAGGAGAGTTTCACCGACGCTTTTTTCTTAAACACCCGAAAATTCCCTCTCCCTCTCCACTCCTCGACGAACACGTCCACGCCTCTCAATACCATCGAGTCGACTTTCGCGCTCAAAAATCCAACCGCGAAATTTTTATCCTCCATGAACTGCATCATCGGCACGAGCGTGAAAAACGAACACCGGAACGAAATCTGTTTTACGCGCATGAAGTACGGGGACGAAAATTCCGGGATCTTGGTCTTCTGTATCTTCTCCGCGTTTTCACGTTTTTCCTTTTTTTCCTCCTTCGTGGCCGCTTCATCAGCCAAAGCACCGATGTCATCATCATCCTCCTCTTCGGAAACGCAGTTCCCGACGTATACGTCAAAAACGTCCACTCGGTTCCACCGAAACTTCACTCGTTTCAGAGTCACTTTTTCGCTTTCCGGGAATACGTTTTTTTCGAGTAACGCTAACACGTATTCGGTGACTTTTGCGTCTACGTATCGTATCATCTGCGTGCGATTCAAGTACAGAAATGCGAAACTCATGAGTACGAATTGGAGGATGGAAAGGACCAACTGCGGGTGCAAAAGAGTCTGGAAAAGAAGGCGGTGCGAAAACGCGAGGAAACGAATCCACAGAGGAAGCGTTTCCTCCATCTTTTTATGACGACTTATATGCGTGTGGTACTTTAAAAGAGAGGATCTTTTGTGGGGAAATGTGATTTGAGAAATGTGTGTCTACTCTAAATTCTATTACGTGCTATGTGCTACAACTGCTCTCCCTCTTCCTCTTTTTTTACCTCTTTTTCTCCTTCTCGCGACGCCTCTTTCTCTCCTTTTTCTCTTTCCTTTGTTTTCGCTTCTTTTCTTCTTTTCTCTTCCTCTTGGTGGTCTTCTTCTTTAACGAATGTGATGATGATGATGATGATGTTGAGTCAGAATCGGAATCAGAATCATCCCTAAACTCCTTCTTCCTCTTCTTTCTCGTCCTCTTCTTACCATTACCACTATAAATCCCTAACATCTCGTTCCTCTCTTTCTCCTCCCTTTCCTTTATGATGTTCATCTCCTCTTTAATTCTTTTCTCGTCGTCTTTCTCGTCCAAATCATCATCATCTGTAATTCGTTCCTTCGCGTACCAGAACAAATCTTTCCCGCGTTGCCACCTCCCGACGCTCGCTTTCACCGAGTGGCCTAAATAGTTCTCCCGGTGTTGGGTGTCATTTTTGACGGACTCCCAGGAGAACTGGTCCTTACCACCTCGCGTGCCACCGCGAGCTGGGCCGTCGTCCATTTAGTATAGTATGAGTGTGTGATGTATTTATTCTCGCAAAGCGTGCTCGTTTTGTGCAGCACATAGGTAAAATCTACGCGCAATCTATAATCTCGATATCTCTCTAATTTACACATCTCTCTCTCTCTCTGAAAACTATTATTAAGGATTGATGTAATCCGCGGATTCGTAGTCGAAATAGTCCAACCGTTTCGTTCGAGACCACGATTTCAATAAGGCGTCTTGGTTTTTCACCGCGCAGCGAAGCGAGGACGGTTGCGTTTGCATCGTTTTCAGCCATTTTTGGAAATGACGCGGCTGTTGATGATGTTTTGAGGAGGAGGAGGAGGAGGAGGAGGACGGAGGAGAAGGAGGATGATAATATTCGACGTTTCCTAAGGTGTACCCTTGGAAATGTTGCAAGGCGAGTTCGAATCGTTCGGCGAACGGGTATATCGCTACATCCGCCAGAGACGCTCTGTCGCCGCCAAAGAGAAAGACTTTGCGTTTAGTATTACTATTGTCATCATCATTGTGCTTCTCAATTAACGCGTCTATTTCCCAAATTTCTCTCTCAAACCGCTCTAAAGTCCTTTCGTTTCTGGTCGTATCAAAACTCCAACCTCCCCCGATCGCTTGTAATCCTAAACTCACGAATTTTTGGTCGCACGCGTTGGCGAAACGCTTCGCGTCTTCATAAGATGAGGGTGATGATGACGACGACGAAGAAGTTAAAGAAGAAGAATCATCATCAGAATAATACTCCTCCCACAACCGTTCGTTAATTCGTAAGCTTTCGCTCACGAGTTCGCCAGTCTCTGAGAATTCAATCAAAGGCACGACGCCTCTCCCGTTGGTCATATCGAGGAAAAATTTTGGTTTGTTCGAAAGGTCAACGTCCACGATATCTACTTTTCCTCCTTCTTCACGAAGCAGATGTAATTCATCTAAACAAAGTCTCACTCTGTGCGCGTACGGACACAACGAGTGCGTGTAAAAGACAATCTTTTCGTGAGGATGTTTCTCGCTTCTTCTTTCAGTGTTACTACTACTACTACTACTACTACTACTACTACTACTACTTGTTCTTCCATCAATATCATCAATATCATCATCATCCCCTAACAACTTTGCATCATTTTGAAAAGAAGAAACAGAAGAAGACAAATCAGAAGAAGAGGAAGAAAACATCGCGACCACTCCTTTTTTATTAAACATCGTCTTCTTTGTCTTCTTCTTCTTTGGTGCTACCGTCATCGACTCTGACGGCGACAAAAACCGCGACACAGAAGACGAAGAAGAAGTCATATCTATTTATAAGAGAAGAAGGGAAAAAAAGTGGATAAAATGGAAACAAAAATTCATTCATCTTCATTAAGAGAAACGCTCGCTTCGGAGAAGAGAGATGTTCGTAACATCATCATCACCTTCTTCTTCTTCTTCTTTTGCTGCCCCGTCGTTATTGTTCCAGCGGCAGAAAAGCGCGACTCCTTTTACGACGACGACTCCTCTTCTTCGCGACGAGAAGAGTAGTAAGAAGAATTCGAGACGAATTTCATCATCTTCTCCCAATATGAACCCTTTCGAGTTTACGACAGCCTCGCGAACGGTGTTTGAAATCGATGCGTTTGAAACGCGCGCGGTGAAGTTGATCACAGATTTAGCGAAGCAAGAAAACGCGACGATCGATTCGGATGCGCATCCCGGAAAAGTCCTAATCGTGTGCGGGGAGTCGGAGAGATTTTCAGCGCCTTTGAAGAAAAAGTTGAAAGAAGAAGCAAACGTTGAGTCGGTTGTCTTTCATTGCCCGAAAGGCGAACCGACGGTACAGTCGGCGATTGATTGCACGAAATTAGCGTCGGAGAGTATGTGCGAACTCGTTGTCGCGGTAGGGGGTGGAACGGCGGTGGATACCGGCAAGTGCGTGGCCGCGATGTTGACCAACGGCGGCGCCGAGCGGGATATATACGATTTTCTCGAGGTGGTTGGAAAAGCGATGCCGATTGAAAAAAGACCGAGACCGTTCGTGGCGATACCGACGACGGCTGGACCCGGAGCGGAGTTGACCAAGAATAGCGTGCTCGAAGCTGGAGATAGGAAAGTGAGCATGCGTCATCCGTTGATGTTGCCGGATTTGGTCATCGTCGATCCGAAATTGACCGTGCAAATGCCGAGGGACGTGACCGCGCACACCGGGTTGGACGCTCTGACGCAGTGCATTGAACCGTACGTGTGTAATTCTCCGAACCCAGTGACGGATAGTTTGAGCATGAGTGGTATTAAATTAGGCGCGAAGAGTTTACGAAGATGTTTGGAACAGCCGGAGGATATAAACGCGAGGACGGATATGGCGTTATGCGCCATGTACGGAGGGATGGCGTTGGCGAACGCCAAGTTAGGTGCGGTGCACGGATTTAGCGGTACGCTGGGTGGTTTGCTACACGCGCCGCACGGGGCGATTTGTGCGGCGTTGTTGCCACACTGCGTGAAAATGAACGTGAAGTTGTTAGAGACGCGCGTGATGGACGAGAATCCGCAAAGTGCGAAAGAAGGTTTACGACGGTACGAAGAAGTAGCCAACGCGTGTTTAGGTAAAGACGACGCCACGGTCGCAGAATTGGTAAAATGGATAGAAGATTTAGTGTCATTTTGCGGGGTGCCAAAGTTGAGCACGTTTGGCATGAAAGACGAAGACGTCTCGGAGTCCGTCTCGAAGAGCATGCAAAGTTCGAGCATGAAGGGCAACCCGGTTGCTTTAACCGTCGAAGAGTTGGAAGAAATGCTCAGGAATGCTATGTAATAATCGTACTGCTCTATGTGCTCTAATCGACAAGAATTAAGGAAAGTCATCTTTCGCCATCATGAGACTGGTCACCCACCGCTCCAATTTCCCTTCAAACTCCCTCCCGTAATCCAACTCTAACCGTTTCCCGACTCGTTCCCACGCATCGCTTTTCTCTAACAGTTTATCTAAAACTCTCGCGGCGGCGTTACAATCTTCCGCTGAATTTTGGTTCGAGCGGAAGTATTGTCTCTCTGCGAGGAATCTCGAGTCCCCGACGCCAACGAGGACGTATTTCCTCCTCCGTTTACTCTTCGTCTTTGTTGTCTCGTTTCTCTTCTTCTTCTTCGACGCGTTCAACAGAATCTTCACGACTTCCAATCCTTCCTTTGCAATCTCGTCGTTTTCGACGGTTTCTACCACGATGACCACGATACGGGGATTTGTTGTTGTTGTTGTTGTTGTTGTTGGTGTTCTCGTCCGCATCGCGTTTTCGTTATCTTCTTTGTCTTCATCTTTGTCTTTGTCTTCTTCTTCTTCTTCTTGGATGATTTCCCCTAATTTTCGTAGCGGGGAAATGCGTCTGCGTGATGATGATGATGACGTTCGCGACGATGAAGAAGAAGAGAATAAATCGACGAGCTTTTGCGCGACAATCTCCGCGACTGGGCCGCAATGCGCGACGTCAATTTCTAAGCTCGCTTTCGTTGTCGTTTCCATCATCGTCAATTAAAATCTATATATGTGTAGTCTTTTTGTGCTAAAAACCCCTAAAAATGTGCCGCTCAACGACGCTCCTTTTCTCTCTCTTCTCGGATGTCCAGAACTGCGGGATATGCGTTTTTTAACAGTCTCAAACTCTCTAAAGTCAACTCGAAGGAATGGACGGTATCTACGCCAGGCACGTCGTCAAAGTAGTGGTATTTCACGTCGTCTTTGTCCAAGCTTTTGTCTTTACTGTTACTCCCGCTCTTGGACCCGTTGCTGTCTTTTTTCCAGGCGCTAAAGCCGTAGAGCGTGACTTTGTCGCACTGCTGAGCGGCGGCGACGATGGCGAACCATCCGGAATTTGGTTTGCACGATTCCTCTTGGTTCATGGCGTTGGAGATGGAAATCGCGCCTCTGCGTTTGCGCCAATTTTCCTTCGCGTCCTTGGCTCTTTGCGCGGTTAACGCGCAGTTCGGCGTCTGTTCGCCTCTCTCGGCGGCTTCCGAGAGCGCGTCTTTACTCACCGAGTTCCAAAGCGCGTTGGCGCGAACGATAAAATCTGGAGAGAGCAAAGACGTCATCGGAGGCTTAAACCGACGGAGAATGAGTTGGATGAATTTTCTTCGCCACGCCATGCTCAAGGTGGTCTCGTAGAGGACTAACCGACTGTTTTCCGGCTTTTTCATCTTCTTGAGCATTTCGCGTCTGCGCCAGTTCGGGTCGGTTAAATCGATATCTTCCTCTTGCTTAAAAATGAGCGGCTCAGCGTGACATCCTTTCATTCGACACTTGATTAACGTGCCCAAACAAACTTTCGCGTCGCACACGTCTGGATCGTTAATCCGTAACGTCCTGGCGTCGTTGAATCCTAGGCGTTGCGCGTGGTGCATGTTCACGATGTCGTGCGTCGTTCGGCTGCCGACGTGCTTGGAGAATTTCTTCACTGGCGGGTAATTGATTCGGAAGACGCCGTCGTGTTGATCAATCTCTTCGCCGTATTCGTGTTTCAACATCAATCCTGAGTTGGCCACGACCGCACACGTTTTATACGGACGTTTCTTTGAAATCGTTTCGGATTGCGGTAAAAGCTTGACGAGCAACGGGTGGAAGAAGAATCTCCAAATGGCGTCGTTTCCGTTCGGTCCAGGGGCGACCGTAGTCACGTACGCGCGTTTGCGTTCTCCAGCACCAACGTTTCCGACGCACTCGAACGTATCTTTCGTAATTTCCAAGTTGACCAGTTGCGGATCGACTTTCAAAGCGGTGGCGTTTGGGAGCGGCCATCGCAAACGCATCGGGCTACTCGCCGATTTCGCCGTTTTCGCGTCGTCGTGCGCTTTGTGCGCGGCGACGAACCGTTCCGCGTACCCGTACGCGTCCGTGAGTTGGTCTACTAAACACTTCGTTTCGATGGCTGCTTTGTTGTTGCCAAAAATCACGTCCGCGTCTGCATCCAACGCGGCTTTGTTATTCGTAAAGAATAAATCCTTCCCTCCTCCTCCGTCGGATGAAGAAGATGAAGAAGAAGAAGAAGAAGAAGAAGAGCAATCGCATCTCATCGTTTGCGGTTTCACCATGCAGTTGTTTACCTCTTCTGGTTTTGCAAAACCAAGGGATTCAATCATCTTCTCTCTGGACATCAAATCTACGTTCTTTTCTAATTTAAAGCACCGACCGAAATTTCTCGAGTGCGCGAACGTGCGCGTGCGTTGACACTCGTCGCCTGTCGCGCTTCCAGGTATTCGGACACACGCACCCCAATCCGACCATTCGCCGATAATACCAGCTGCGAATAATTGTTCCGACCGACGTTCGCTAATCATCGCTACTTCTGCTTTATCTAAAACCATCGCCGACGAGATCGATTGCGGCGACAAACCTTCCGTTAAATCTATGTTTTCTAAATTCTCGTCGTCGTTCATGTCCGAGTTACTCGTCGCGCGTTCCGCGTTCTTCAACTCCTCGACGGCCCCATGAATAGAGCTCTCTGCCGCGTTCTGTCTATCTTTAGCCGTTCTCGCGAGTTCTTCTAATTTGCCAAAAGAGGACGCAAATTCGGAATCAGGTTTATACTGCGCGGCCGGAGGCGGTCTCGTGCTCACTCTCGCCTGGACAATCGCCGCGTGCATCTCGTGCGCCAAATGTCTCAAAACGTCGTCTTTCGCCACATCCGCGGTTAAGCCCCTGTCCCCTTTTGCTTTCATGTACGCGTCTAACTTCTCTCTCGCTACGTCTACGTCGAATCGCTTCCCTCTCGCCTGCCTCTTCAAACTCGCAAACACATCCGACATGGAAATTTTCGTCAATCTATACCCAGCTTTCGCGAACATCTCAAATCGCGTGTGCGCGTCTTCAAACGTCGTCGCGCCTTCATTTATCGATCGAACGGCTTCTAAAACTTCCGCCGCCCACGTTGTCGCAGATATGATCACCTCATTGTTGTTTTTACTTCTACTACTACCATCGCCGTCTGCGTCGTCGTTGTTGTTGTTATTGTTCGATACCGCGGCAATATCCACCGCGTCTTCGTCTTCGCTACTCGACGTAAAACTACTGCTCTCCGCATCTTGGCTCCCACTCCCCATCACCATCGCTTTGTTGTTGTTGTTGTTGTTGTTGTTGTTGTTGTTGTTGTTGTCATTGCTTCTATTTATCATCTCTCGTCTATTATCTTTAGTACTCTCACTCCTCGCGCCTCCTCCTTCACCTAAAAACTTTGACGTTTTTGCCCTTTTGGTGGCAGCACTACCTGTAGTCACATCACCATTCTCATCATCATCATCATAAATATTATTATCAGTATTCGTTCGTTTCAATCGAGAGGAAGAACCACCAACAACGCGAAGGTGATATTGAGGACGATGATGCAGCATATCGTAATCCAAATGCACGTTCAAATGCGCGTGCAATTGCACCCACCGAACGGCAATAAACAAACCCCAAGAGACGACGATCAACGCGAAGAATTTAATTCTCATTTCGCGCGAGGTTTTATTGGAAAGTCTGTCTCGGGTCGTTTACGTCTTTATCGTCGTCGTCGGATACGGAAAGGATTATATTTATGAAGAAACAGACGACGAGAGAAAAGAGAAGAAATTAATTGAACGAATTTAACAAAATACTACTCGATGAACGAATACTCTTTTCAATCACACATCATCATCCATTCTCCGTCTGTTATTGTCATCTCTTGAGTCTCTTTGGTTTCTCTTTCCCTTGCCTTTTCGGCAAGACTTCATCGAACGCTCGATGGAAACCACCCTTTTTTTCATCATCATCCTCTTGTCGTTCGTCCATCGTCCACGCCGAGCGCAAGATTTTAACCACCGTGTCGATGTTCAGAACGTCGTGCGTTTGGTCCGGTCGCAACGTTTTTACGGGCAATTTGCGACTTTGAACGCCTAAGGATGACGCTTTCTTTTTGCTCGTTTTCATTCCTCTGGTTTTTAGATCGACGATGCCACCGACGACGAAGATATTGGATGGGTCTCGCAGTTCGGAAAGCGAGAGCGGAGTTTCCGCGTCCGGCGAGAGGTAGATGACGTTGTTTTTGGTTTGACCTTCTTCTTGGCAGGCGACGACGTCGCACTCTTCGGCGGGGTCTGGGAGCATTTCGACGTGCTTGCTCCACGTGTCCGCGTTGAAGAAAGTTTCGGATTCGTATTTGATGTCGCCGGCGAACGAGGCGAAAGTTACTCGCAAATCGCCTTTGCTTTTTTTACCGACGGAGGTTATTTCGCAGAGTTGCTTCGCTACAGATCTTAAAGCTCTGGCGGAGTCGTGTTCGTACGATAAATCGACGATGACTTTTAACGCGTTTGGATTACTTCGTGCGATTTCAATGACTTTCTCATCTTCTTCTTTCTCATCGTTGTTCTTCCTCATCGCCGCGCGCTTCCTCGCGTTCGCTTGGCGAATCTCATCGAAAAGTAACGCTTCCTCGACGGTAAACCAAACGTGCTCGTCCGATACTTTGATGATGGTATCGTCGTCGTTACTAAAACTTATTGCGATGAACGTTTTTCCTCGTCTGTCCAACGCTATTTGACTGACGTTTTCGTAACCAAGCTTAATCATCTCCTCGCCAATTGGAACGCCCGATATAAACGCGTGCGTGCGAGCGAGCGGTTTGAGTGTTTCCAACGCCAACTGTAAATGCGACGTCGTCGACGACGAAGAAGAACGACGTTCATCCCCTGGCGGTGGTGCGACAAAATCAACGTTACGACCAAACGGAAGGTTCGAGACGACGACTGTTTTACTCGGGTCGGATGTAAACGAGGTTCGGATAAACGCGTTCGCTTGTTGAAATCTCGGGAAAGGACTTCCCGAGGACGAGGCCTGCTCCGAAGGTACCGCCTGCGCGCCGGAAGCGGCACCAAAAAACCAACGCGCATTTCTTTGACTCTTTTCAATCAAATGTCCCGTCGCGTCGCTTCCGATGACGTTTCCAAATCCGAGCTGTTTCGCCGCGACGCACAGCGTGCCGGATCCGCAGAACGGATCCAAGAATGTAATCTCGGAAAGTTTCGTCGACGATTTTGGACTCGCTAACGTCGCCGCGACGGTATTCACTAAAGCTCTCGCGACTTCAAATCGCGTCCCGCTGCTATAATTGGCCGGTTTTTGCGCCCACGCCAAAGAGGATTTCACCACCGAGTGTGCTTCGCTCGTATCTGGCGCGTAGGAAGCGAGCGCAAACGTATACGCCGTTTCCGTTTCTAAAATAACAAAGCGCAAAGCGTGCTCCTTCGCTCGAACGACGTCTGGTTCGCGCGGGTCAACTCCAGTAAACGTCGCCCGAACGCCGTATTTATACCCAACATCAGCAGGCGATAACTGTTTCACTCGTTTCGTACAAAATTGCAACAGCTCGTCCGACGGTTTCCTTTGACTTTCTTCTCTTCGTTGAAATCTCGCCACGGTTTCGTAAATCAAAGCGATTGGCGGATTATAATCTTCTCCTTCCATTTCCATTCCCGGAAGAACCCCATCGCTGCACGTCTTCTCTAACCTCTCCGCGAACGTCTCCCAACTCGTCTCGCTAAAAATCGGCTCGACTTTCGCCCGGAGCGACGCCGCGTTTCGCGTGAACGCGGAACCGTGCGAATCTTGAGCCATGAACAGACCAATCGAAAGCTGGTCGAAGAATACGAAATCATCTTCAACGTAGTCGTTTTTGTTGTCTTCTTTTCCTTCATCATCATCTGAAGTATTCATCCCGCCGGTGGTACTACACGCCATGGTTTCCATCGCGTACAAGTTGTACAAATTCTCGTTCTTCAGCGTCACGTACAAGCTTCTTCGCTTTCGTTGTCTTCTCCTCTCGTTTTTGTCCTCATCATCGCGCGCAGAAAGACGACGATGACTTCGACGCACTTCCTCGAACGCCGTTCGTTCTCTCTCAACGAGCGACAAACCTTCTTCAGATATTCCTCGTAAACTTCGCCGTCGTAATTCGTCTAAAACGGATTCAAAGTACTCGCACTTACGCGACGTTTTCCTCATCGGTACCGCAGGGAATCGCCCGAGCTTGGACGATTTCGACGACGCTTTGATACCGAGAGGTGTTGGAATGCTCCTGGGCGTCGTTTTTGCGCTCATCGTCCTCCTCGCGAGCGCGCACATCATCCGTATCTCATTCGTGCATTTCCTCAAAGTTGTGACGCGCGAGAGAAACAAAAGGTTTGACTCACATCATCATCGATCGCATCGAGAAAGGAAAGAAGAAGAAGGAGCGCAAAAGACCCGTGGAAGACGACGACGACGTAAACGAGGCGTCGACCTGATGGAAGAAAAAGACAACGACGACAACGACAACGTCAAAGTAAACGCGATGCTTTTACGCGCGATGAAACATCTCGAATCGAACAGAAACGACGGCGTGGATGTCCAAACGATGATGATCGAAACGACGACGACTTTGAACGCGAAAAGAGGAGCAAATCATCGTCTGCGGGAAAGGAAAGGCACTGCTGTTGATTCGTCCTCGTATTCTGCGTTCGCGTCTCAGAGCGCATCGAAGAAGACGAGCACGAAATCTCTCTCAAAAGTGACCTTGAACGAGTTGAAGCAAAGAGCGAGAAACGCGAGGGAAGGATACGCGTTGAGCGAAAAAGCAATCCTCGCGGGAGGCGATCGAGAGACTAAGTTCGGGTATTGCTTGATGTATTTGAACGCGATACAGAAATCGGTGAACGAGATGTGCTTGGGAGGGGTAGATTTTGAGGATGCGCGGCGGCGTCGGCGGCGGTATCCGTGGGAAGCGTTCGACGAGCCGGACGAGGAGGACGATTTGGAGAAGAAGAGAGTAAAGCGGAAGAAACAAAACGAGGAACGAGAGAGAGAGAAGAAGTTAAAGAAGAAGAAGGAGGAGACTACATTGAATGGTAAGGAAGCGCGAGGAGGAGGAGTGATGATGAAAGTAGTAGAAGAAGAAGAAGACGCGAAGGCGTTGGCGCCGTTGACGACGATGGCAAACGCGAAATCTCCGAGAAAGAGAGGCGCAGAAGGAGGAGAAGAAAACGTCGTCGTCGACGAGGAGAGGACGACGACGAACAAGAAACCATCGACGATGGCGGTTAAAAGCATCAAACCGGGACGGTACCCGGGCGAATACTGTCAACTCTGCGGCGAACACGAGCACATGGTCCACGTGAAGTACGAGAGCCAAGTTTTAGGGGAAGGTAAGTTGGTGTGTTACGGTTGCCTCGTTAAGGAGAAGAAAGAGTTGGAGAAGAAGCAGAGAGAGTTGACGAGCGCAAAGGAGAGACAAAAACGGAAAGAATTGACGAAAGCGGCGAGGAGGAAAAGAGATGAAACGATCACGGTAACGAGTCCGACGACGACTCCGAATACTACTACTACGCATTCATACTCCTCGCCGGTATCGGGGGCGCCGAACGCCGTCGCGCTCCCGCAGCAGCAACAATCATCGTCGTCGCCAATTTCCGAAGCCGACGTTCTCGTCGTCGACGGCGATACGGTTACCCCCACCGCTACTGCGCGTACTACAGATGTTGCTCTTCATACCGCGGAAAAAATTGAAGCCATTCACGATATTTCCATCGTTTGCGACCGGTGCGGTAAGGACAACTTCAGAGCAGCCGGAGAATTAGAACGCCACAAAACGACGCAGTGTATCATAGCAAAGACGAGTGAGGTGATAATAAGTGACTCGCTGATTGAAACAGCAGTAACGACGACGACGACGTCCGAAAATGAAAATGAAGCCAAACAAGGCGAACGCGACGGCGAGAACGTCGGTAAAATTATCGTCGCCAACGCCATCGCGAACATAATCTCGGAGGAAGGAGAAGCAAACGAAAAGCAGCAGCAAGATGATACGAGGGAAATCCGAGAAGAAGCTTTTGTTGAAAGATCGAGAGAAGAAAATCTATCGAGAGAAGAGGTCAAGAACGAAGAATCGATTGACGACGAAGAAGAACGCGGCAAAGAGGAAACAACTGTTTTTGTTGATGTAAATACCGCAGCAGATGTTCCGCGCAAAGGTTGCCAGTCGTCGTCGCACAAAAGCGAAAAAAGAAGAGAGTTACCGCTCGCAGAGATTTTGCACATAGCAAAAGATGGCTTTCCATTCACGAAGCATGCGTCGTCGGGTAATATATCACCCCCATCTGTCGTCATTAGCGACAGTGTTCATGAGAACACACTCAACACCATCGAACCGGCAAATCTGGAACAAGAAGAACGACGCAGAAAAGCGCCTGTTTCTCCTCTGGATGAAAACAAAGAAGATAAAAAAAAACGACTCGCGGGCCCGTCGATGAAAGAGTCCGATGAAAGAGTTCGAGAGATGAAAGAGTGGAGGACGGAAAACGTGCACGCTCTGCATCACGGATACTAAAAGAGAACTTGTAATAATAAAATCAAACAATGCGGCGCTTAAAAAGAACGTAGAGATATGTTCTTCAGCTTCTATATAATTGTGTAAGGAGTTAAAAATCAATCTCAGAATCTGGATTTTGGACGCTTAACCCGCTCCTCGGCGTCGTCGGTAAACTCATTGGCGTTTCGTTTCCGTGCGTTGTCGCGTTCGTCGCGTTATCTTCCGTCATCCCAGATTGACTGTACGTCGATCCGGGACCGCCGGTCGATAAAGTCCTGTGCGGCGCTTTCCCGAGGCCGGTCGGGATATCCAAACTCTCTCTTTGCGACCCGGACTCGCTCGAAGGCTCTCCTTTTTCCTTCTTCTTTTTGTTGTTGTTGTTGTTGTTATTATTATTATTATTAGTATTATGACTACTACTATTCTCTTTGCTGTGCGCCGCATACGCCCCGCGTTGCCAACTCGTGATAAAATCCCCTCGACTGCCGTGCCCCGCGCCTCGACTTCCCGGAGGGCCTACGCTCCCGTCCCTCGTCGTACTCGTCCCGCTTCTCGTGCTCCTCGGAGAGGAACTCAAATACGCCGCCCTGGCGGAATACGTCGACGAATATCCATCTTCGCTTTGCTCCGAATCACTCGTCGCCGCAAAATTCCCACCCTGTAAGCGATTCAGTTTACGTTCCAGCAGAACGTTTTGTTGCAACAGCTTCTGTATCTGCGCTTGAAGCTTGTTCACGATATTCTCCTCCTCGGTTTCCAGCGAGTGTTCGATGGCGACTTTTTCCCGTCTCAGTTTCTCTCCTTCCCCGTGTAATCTCTGTATTTTCTCTCTCAACCGTTCTCGCTCTTTCGCCAACGTTTTCTTCTCCTTCGCGAGTTGATCCACTTGTCGTTGTAAACGGTTCCCGACAAACTCCGTCTCGCTTTCCAACTGTCTCTCCAACTCAACTTTTTCCCGCATCACTTCGTCCAACTTCTTCTGCAACGCGTTCGAGATGTGTTCCTCTTCCTGGTCTATTTGTACCAACAGTTTATTCTTCTCCGCGTTCATCGTTTCGATTTTTCGCATGAGTGCGTTCGCGATTAACTCCTCTTCCTTTTCCATCTCCGAGACGACTTTCGTCGTCTGCGCTTTAATCGCGACGTTCTCCTCGAGCAATTTCGCGTTTTTTTCCTTCTCGCTTCGTAACTCGACCGCGAGTTTTTCCAACTGCGCTTGGAGTTCAATCACGTCCACCATTACTGAGTCTCTTCGTACGCGCGTGTGTGTGTGTAGTCTCTCTGAGTCATGCGCTCGAGGAAGAGTGCGTGTCTTATAAAACCTGTGTGAGAGGAGGAGTGTATTCAAAGTGCGGAATAACCCAAAAAATCATGAAAGAAGAGAAAGCACAGAGAGAGAGAGAGTTAAGCATATATACTTTTAAGAACACCTCTGTCTGAAAAGAATTCGAGCAGAGAATAAAGGTAAAATGACGACGATGCGTCTTTTTAACGCGTAAACGCGAACACGAGCGCTATTTGTTTTATTATATAATATTTATCGCGATGTGGATTAAAATTTCTAGAAGCGCTATTATAATAACATGGTGGTGGTGGGTTTCATCGCGACGGTCTCCTGTTGTTGTTGTTGTTGTTGTTGTTTGGAGTGTTGTTGTTGTTGTTGTTTGGAGGTTGCGCGTTCGCTAAACCTTGCGCGAACGCTTGGAGGCCGAAAGCGAGGAGAGGCGCCAAATCGTCGCCCCGAGTGTTCGGCGGCGGCAAAGTACTACTACTCGTCGCGCCCGCGTGACCTCCTAAAACCTCGCTTCGTCCTTCGCTAATCGCATCCGCGTCTTCGGCAAATACCGTTTGGCCTCTCGTGTTTCTCATTCTGTTTTCCATGACTTTGAGCATTGGCGTAATCGCTCGACCAAAGGGCGTATTCAAGACTTCGTTCGGTAAGTGAACGATGTGTTCGGGAATCTTCTTCCCGACTAAAAACTCGCAACACTCGTCCGAGAAGTTGTTGCAATTGTGTTCCAACAAATTATACGTGCCAACGTTAAACCGTGGGTGTATTTCGTCCAGAAACGTTTGGAATAACTCCTCGTCGACTTGCGTCTCGCCCATTTTTAAGATCTGTTTCGGAACGCCAAACTGCGTCTGCTTTGGAATTCCAACTTGCATTCCGTGGCCAAACCAGTACTCTTTCCCGAAAATATGCACGGACGTGTGCCACACGCCGTCGATTTTCTTCCCAAGGAGTTGCTCGGAAAGCGCAGAGGCTAAGCCGTCGCTGTTTTAATGATGATAATGCGTGCAAAGAGAGAGAGGTGTGAGTCTATCTAAAGAGAGAGAGAAGAAAACGAAACGTCGCGGAATGTGAAAGCAAGCGCGGCGCACCTCAAATCGTACACGAACAGTTCAACCGCCACAAACTTTAAGTGCGAAGAGGAGGTCATTTAGTACTACTACGCGCGTGTGCGTATATTTATATATTTATCGCGTGCGTGTTATCGTGCGCGTTTATTAAAAAGTGTTCTTAATGACGAAAAGAAGAGAAGTTTACTTTTCTCTCACACGTGACAAACGCAGACACATTCTCGCGCTCCTTTATGAAGCTCTTGTTGTGCACAGTTTCTGCACCTACTACAGTACATCTAAATCTAAATCGCTATCTAATAACGACTCTGCTAAGTGTATATATGTTGTCAATCAAAGTCTGCAAAATTTTCTTCTGCCATCGACGCCTAATGATGGTCGCGTAATAACGCGTTCGATAACGCAATAGTAGTATTCTTTGAATTAATGGGAGACGTACTCGCTGTACCGACTGGGTTTGAGTCTTTCGCGAGTGCACAGGCTCTCCCAATCCGCGACGCCCGGGGCTAACGCCTCCAACGCGAGCGCGAAGGAGAGGACGGGTTTGTCGCCGCCGCCGGCGCGCCTCGCGTGTTTGACGACGTTCCAAAACACCCTCGGCGACGCCATGGCCATTCTTTCCGGGGCTAAATTAACTCGATCTTGGTCGTTTTCGGCGACTATTTTAAGAAGCGCGATTAAAAACGGCAGAGGAATTTCCGGGAAGACGTCTTGGAGTTGCGATTTTTGGTGTTGCGTTTTCAGCGCCAGCTCTTTGGCGATTGCGTACGTCGCCAAAAGACGACCGGCTGGGTCATTCGGTAACGGTTGAATCGAGTATTGGTTGTTCAGAACCGCGGCAACTTTTTGCCTGCCTTGCGTTTCAATCATTCTTTCGTCGATGGCGTTGCGTAACTCGGTGCGTAACTCGGTAGTCGCGCCGCCTTGCGTCGCTCGGAGTAAAACAGCTGCGGATTGGGCCATACCTTCGCGTTGGCGAGAAAGGAAATCATCGTTGTCGTCCCTGCCATCCGGATCGTCAAGCATGCGAGCGGAGGCTATTTCCGAATCGGGCAGAATACCGTTGAGTTTTCTTCGGAGCTTTGCATCCGCGACGTCGTCGCGAACGTCGTCGTTTTTCTGTTGCTTGCGCTTCTTGCCGTGGTTGTTTTTCGCCGCAATTGGTTCTGGCGGAGGTATTTCCTCAGCAGCGACGACGTTGGTGGCAGTCATTAACGTTTCTTCTTCTTTCTTTAGTGTCAACGATGCTGCGGTTTCAACGCTCACAAAGTCGCGATTTCGCACGCCGAGTAAGCCGATGGCGCATGTTTTCGGTAAATCTTCGCAGCTTCGCATCGGAAAGCCGCACTCGATGATTGGTTTTTCCTCCGCTCGGATGCCGGTCGCTTCCAAGCACATCCGCTGAAGTTCGGCAACAGTCGTGTTTTCTCTGTTTGGTAGTCGTAATTCGTAAATGCTGCTTCTGTTACATTTCACGCGCACTCTCCATTCGTCGCTCGCATCGGCTTTGGTGATATTCTTGTGAATGTTGTTGACGACGTTCACCGCTTCTTCTTGTTGAATTTGTATCGTCGACGCGAAGTCTTCCTCTTCCTTCTCCGAAAAGAAATTCTCCTCGTGTGATTTCGGTTCTGCATTTTCCTCGATATCTACCAGCGACAACTTCTCCAAAACGCGCCTCCCCGATCGATTGACTTCTTCCGCGAGACTGTTCTCCATCTTCTCCGCCGACTGGTCGTTTTCTTCGTCCTTCCTCTCGTAGTTGTCGTGGGAGCGTTTTTCCTTCTCCGCCTTCTCCCATTTAATAAACGCCGCTCTCGCTTCGAGCATCGTTTCTTCCGCCGTACCTCGCGCGACGAGCACTTCCACGTGCACGATGCTTTGCTGTCCCATTCGGTGCGCTCGAGAAATTACTTGTTCCTCTAAACTCACATTTTCCAAAGGTTCCATCAAAAAGACGCGATTGACAAAGGAAAGATCCAAACCTTCCGCCGCAGATCGATCTAATAGTAAAACTGGACAGTCCGGATCGTCTCTAAACTGAGACAAAGCGGCATCTTTCTGTTCACGACTGTATCCTTGTCTGGAGAGCGATTGAAGCGGTACTCGACCTTCCGTTAAACACACGTCGACGACGTGTAAATGCGTCTTGAACGAGCTAAAGACGACAATCTTTGGCAACTTTTTTGTAGCGTCGAAAGACGCGTCAACCTCGCGTCTTAAGATGGGCAACTCAATTAATCCTTTCATTCGCGTGTCCGTTCTGTACCCGTATCTTAAATAGGGAACTTGATTCGCTAAGTGCTCCAAGTCAGCCTCGCTGAAATTTTCGCGATTGGCGTGCACTTCCACCAGATGCTCTTTGACTATTCTCTCCGTAGCTTCGACGCTTTCCAACTGCGTCTTAGTGACTGCTACGTTTAACTCGCGCAAACGGCTGAGCAAAAAATCAGCCTTGGAACTCTCGTGCGAAGAGCGCTCGTCGTTCATGTTTACCGTCCAACCTCTTTGCACGTACGAGCATTGTAACTCGATGAGATCCTGAGGTACTGGCTGACACGGCATCGGGTTGTCCTCGCGAGGCGTCGCCTCTTGCATTTTGTACGGAATTCCACACTTTGCGCATCCGCGAGGTGCCGGACGACGAACTCTCTTCGCATCATCATCATTATCATCATCGTTGCCGCCTTTCATCATCGTGCTCTTATTTTGTACGCACTCGACGCACAAAACGTGCGCGCACGGCGTGACCATCGGTAAATACGCCAAAATGCCGCAAACATCGCACACAAACTCGTACCGTGTCATCGCGGGAATCACGCGATTAATCATGCCTTGAATTTTCACGGCATCCGTCATATTCAGTTTCGCTTTCAAGTGCGCGGATAGATCTTGTTCTGCTTCATCGATTTCGTCGTTTGAATACGTCAGAGGCATATCGCCGATGACGCATGCAGCTTCGCGCAAGTTCACCACCGTCTGTCTCGCTTCTTTCGCGTTCTTTGAGCTGAGTAAACTTTGCTCGTGGTTTGGGTCGAACCAATCCGCGAGCAACATCGATCGTTGCACGTGCGAAACCATACGGTTGTAGGATAACGCGTGCTCTTTCGTAAAAGGTACGGAATGTGTAATTTTCCGAACCGGAGGTAACCTTATGTGCGATTTACACGTGCGAATCATTATGCGCTGCAAAAGCTCGAGTAAAATTCGCGCCGCTTCTGATCGCGCATAAATCATCGCGACGGATTTATCCGTATCGTTTTCTTCCTTCTTCTTCTTATTGTTATTCACGTTCCTTTGCTCGAGAGGTCTTGAGACTAACGTGGCAAAAAGTCTCGCGTTGGCGTCGAAAGGCGATTGCTTCAGAAAGCCGAGCAAAGGTTGCAAGTGCGCGACGGTTGCTCCGCGAAACGTTGCAGGCGTTGGCGTACCAGTCATGAGCCATTTTGCGTGACTTTTCAAGTTTGTAATGACGTGAAACCTGTTCGATAACGCCAAAGATGCACCGATTTGGTGGCCTTCGTCTAAGACGATGCGATTGAAATGAATCTGAAAAAACGCGGAATCCTTGTTTCCAAACTGCGACGAAAGCGCGGATAATGGCAAGATAATTATATCCTTATCCGCGAGTTCTTCCTTCCACTCTTCCATCCTCCCGTTCGTTCTCCATTCGTCCGTTCTATACGTGTCGCATTCGCAAATGTTTTCGAGCTTTTGTACGTACGAGCCTAAACCGTAATAATTGTTCCGCTCGGCTCTTCTTTCCGAGTCGTGCGTTTGATTGTGAATGACGCCAATTCTAGGAATACCGTCTTCGCGCTTTCGAGAGCCACAACAATAGGCTATCTGCTCGAGCCAATGCGCAACAAGCGGCTGCGGAACGATAATCAACGTCGTTTTCGCGAGATAAATTCTCTTGCCACCGATAATCGTCGGATTGTCCAATTTTTGCAACTGCGGCACTTTGAAGCCGCTCTCCTCTCTTTCGATTTCGAGCCAAGCATCGTGAAGAGCGCGCTTGTCGAGCACGAGAATATCACCGGGTTCTCTCCCATTTTTTTTTTCTTCTTCATCTTCTTGTTGTTGCTGCACCGCCGATAAAGATGGTGGACCAAACGCGTATCCAGATTGAGATTTTGAACTCGCTCGTCGAATGATGTTGAACGCGTCTAAAACCATCGGTTGATCGTCGTTTCTTCGGAACGGTGGAATGACGAGATACTTCTTCTCCGATATTTCGCCCGCGTTGCGCAAGACGAATTCAATCACATCGCGCGTTGGCTCTTTGCCGCTTCTTGCGTGAGAGAGTTTGAACGATTGCATAAAAAATCGCGTGTTTCGTTTCAAGCTTTCCCGGCCATCGTCGTTGGCGACATCTTTTGTATTCTTGTTCGCGTTGCGATAATAATACCCAGGCGGCGAGGACCACGTCGAAACGTCTTCATTGAAATATAAATCTTCGTAGTTTCTACCACGACCAGATTTATTTTCGTTGGTCGCGTACGAGGCGAGCGTCGGCAACGCACCAACGAGCATACCTTTTTTTTCGAGATTGGCGTAGAGACCTAGGGGTGTCGACGCGCTGCTTCGACGCGACCGGCGTAAATTTGAAGTTGGCGTTTTCGATGCTGCTAATAACTGGTTGTTCCGCTTTTTCTTTCCTGGCTGTTCGTGTTTCTTGCTGTTTATCTTTGCTTCAGATGATGGCGTTTTTGCGTCCTTGTCCTCTGCATCTTCTTCTTTTATATCTTCTTCCTCCTCGTCGGCGGCGTCGTCCGCTGGCGTTGCTACTTGTTCTTCTTCAAAGACCGGTTCGTCTACGTAATACGGAACCTTTTCTTCCATGTTCTCTTTCTCTGGATGTTCAAATTTTATCGTTAAGCCTTTCGGTGGCGGCGCGTAGCTCCCTCGAGTCGCTAATATTAAAGCGCACACCGTGACGGTTTTACCTAAACCTGGCTCGTCGCACAGAGCGCCTCCGCAGGAATCGCTGAAATAGTTTGGCGGCGTTCTCGAAAGAATCCCGGTACTCGTTTGCATGTAAAACGGAAACTCCTCCCGGTTACCGTTTTCATCATCGTCATCATTAGAAGCGAACAATTCCACCCATCCTGGTTCTAAAACCACCCCCAACGAATCCCTTCGCTCTCGCATTCTCATCCACGCCAACGCCGCTCTCTGATGCGGATGCAACGTCAACTTCAATCCGGGCGACGTCTGATCCATCACCGCTCGAAACCCTTTCGAAACGCACTGTAACCGTCCCGCGGATTTAGCATCTAAATTCTTCACGATTCTTTCCAACGCCAACGCCGGTAAATCCCCAGGACACGGAAACCTCTCGTCAAATCGATCAATCGTCGGCAACTTGGAATCCTTCCGCGCTTCCGGTCGAAGCTTTTCCAGTTGCGATTTTAACGTATCGTGTTCTCCCGCGCCTCGGTGCATCTGACACCCAATCACGCCGCAGAAACTCTTCTTTGTCTTCTTCTTCTCTCGTTTTGCTTCTTCTTTCCCTTGTTTTTGTTCTCGTTCTCGTTGTTCTCGTTGGTCCAAAAAATGTGTCAACACGAATGCTAAAGATTTCGGAAACTTTGCAATCCCATCCTCTCGTCGTTTCTCCGCCTCTTCCTTCTCTACCTCGTTCGTTTTAAAAAACAATCCTCGAGGAAGTTTCCCACGCACGGCGGCGACGAACAACTCCTTGTCTTCTTTTTCTTTTTCTTTTTCCTCTTCTTCTTCCGTTGTTCCATTCACTTTCTCCACCAAACGAATCTCCACGACATCTCTCGAGAGTAAATCGAGCACGTGTTTCTCCAACACCGACGACGATGATACTCCTCCTCCTTTTTCAATCTCCCACTCCCCTCTCGCGTGCGCTTCCTCCGTGAGCAGCAGCAGCAGGTGTTGTCGTCGTTTCAACGCGCCTCCTCGAGAAGAATGAGAAGAAGTACGCGCGCGCACGTGGACGCGAAACTCGCCTCTGATTCGCATTTTGAGAGTGAGGAGAAAAAGAGGAAACGAGACGATGGTCTTCAGTATACGAACACGAATGCGAACACAAAGGCACGCGAGCAACACCACCGGCAGCGATAATAATAATAATAATAAGAACACGAATAACGCGGGAGGATACTAATAATAATAATAATAATAACAACAACAACAACAATAATGTTTTCGACGAAACTGATTCACCCGAACCAGGAAATCGAGTACGAAATCGCGCACTCCCCCGTGAGAGCGTTGAAACATTCCTACGGGAGCAACTTGCGAAGAGCGAAAAGTTTAGATTTACCTCGAGACGCGTTCGAGAGACGCGTGTCGGAGGAGAAATTTAGAAGTTTGAAAGAGCACTTGAAACGATTCGAGGAGGAGAACAACGAGGACGGGGAGGAAAAGGATGAGCATTCGTCATCTTCTGAAGATGACGACGAGGAGAGGAGAGACGAGGAGGAAGACGAGATATCGCTGGCGGGGAACGCGAGAAGAAGACTAAGGAGAAATAGTAGCAGGAAGAGCAGTAACAGAAGCGATGAACGACGCGATGGAAAACATCATCGACGAGCGCCACAGACGAGTAGTAGTAGTAGTAAGAGCAGAAGAAAAAAGTATCGCTTCCCTTTAGCCTCTCTGATCGATTTCCGTAAACTTGGGAGGCACAAGCGGTACGCGGATTTAACCATGTCTCGACCGCTCATGCGAGGGTGGTTGCACTGTTTGTTAGCTTCAGTTGGGTACCCGATATTACTATACAACAACAAATCGGAATGGTTTCGAGTGCACCCGAGAACCTTTTGGTTGATGATGTGCACGCTGGTGCCGTATACGTGTTCGACGTTTTTACACTTCATTCCGTGGAAATCGAGGTTCGCGCACGACGTCGCGTTGAGCGCAGATTTTCTCGGGATATCCTTCGGGTTCACCTCACACACGGTGTTATTCTCCGGGGATTTATTTCAAGGCACAGAAGCGCGCGTCGCTGTATGCGCGACGTCGATTCTTTTCTTCATGCAAATCCTCGCGTTTCGCCAAAAGCAAACGTGCGTGATGAAATACATGCGAAGAGAACGGTTCCTCATTTTCGCGTTCAACATCGTCTTGTTGATGATCACCGAGACGAAATACATACACGGCGTCAGTTGGAAAACAAACGTAGCTATTCAGTTTACGAGTAAATTCCTATCGCCTTTTTACTTTGTCTATTGCACTCGCATGGATTGTAAACGACGAAGCCCTATGACGATTCCGGGCGTTTGGTGCGCGCACGAAAATTGGCATCTCATGATCTTTGCAAACCATTTGATGCAAATATACGCCATGATTCGGTTAGTCGGGGATTATTGTCCAGAAAACAGAGCGTGTAGCGACGTTTTGAGTAGCTGGTAGAAAAGTAGAGTAAGAGTTGAAGGATCGGATGAAGAGAAATAGTAGTGGAGAGGAGAACGAAGAAGAAGACACGACGGATGACGAAGCTTACGTTGAAGAGGGGATAGTGATAACGCGAAGATGACCAGGATTTTGTCAACCGCTAGATTAGTTTAGTTTAGACGTGATTATACACTCATGAACCTAGCGGACAATAAAACGCGGATAAGTAATTTCTTCGTTATATATATATATTCTCTTTAACTATAATTCATACGTATACGTAACGGGGTTTGGGGTGGATGACCCTCCTCTATTTGCAGTTTCTTTCAGGACTTCCACGCCATCTCGAAGGATTCTCCAGCCAGGCCCGTATAAAGGTCGAGGAATCGTTATCCTTATAGTAGTGATATCTGTTGGAGCGCGGATGACAAATGGCACCGTTCCAACTTCAGCTGGATTGTCATACGCGATTCCAGTATCCGTTCCGTCGAGTAACGTTGACAAAGCTTTTGGGGGGGTTCCTCGGTCCGGAACAATCCCAGAAACAACGAATGGATTCACTTGCGCCCCAACAAACTCCACTTCGCTGATGTGGAGGCCGATTGTCGAACTCGCCTTGACAGAAACCTCAAAGGTGTAGTCCGATAATGATACACACGAACTCGCCGGACCGGTGTTGGCGTCGGAGCACGTAAATTTCGCTTGAAACGCAGTTGCGGAAGTAAACATGCCAGTTTGCGCCGTCGTCGCTGCGGATCCGGTCCACGAGGAAATGTCGTGGTTGAACGCAGAAGCGTAACCAAACATATATTGCATATTAGTTACTTCCGCTGTGGTCCAACTCCCAATGGCTTGGTTGAACGCAGAAGCTTGATAAAACATTCCATACATATTTTTCACTTGCGCTGTATTCCAATCCCCAATGTCTTGGTTGAACGCAGAAGCGGAGTGAAACATATCATACATAGTAGTCACTTTCTCTGTGTTCCACTTCGATATGTCGCCGTTGAATGTACTTTTATCGCCAAAGCCTTGAAAAACACTTCCATCATATCCACTCATATCCGTCACCAAACTCGTATCCCAATTCGGCATCGTCCCGTACCAAACGTCTTGCGATCGAGCCCAGTCTATACATTCTCCAGTCTCCGCAATCGCTGTAGATTCATCCAAACATTCCGCGACGAAAGTATGCCAGCTCGCGTCTGGAATTGGCGAGGGACCTTCGCACGAATTCGCCGGACCGGTGACGACGTTGGAGCACTTAAATTTCGCTTGAAACGCAGAAGCGACGGAAAACATATTCGTTTGCGCTGACGTTGCTGCGGTTCCGGTCCACGAGGAAATGTCGTGGTTGAACGCAGAAGCGTAACCAAACATATATTGCATATTAGTTACTTCCGCTGTGGTCCAACTCCCAATGGCTTGGTTGAACGCAGAAGCTTGATAAAACATTCCATACATATTTTTCACTTGCGCTGTATTCCAATCCCCAATGTCTTGGTTGAACGCAGAAGCGGAGTGAAACATATCATACATAGTAGTCACTTTCTCTGTGTTCCACTTCGATATGTCGCCGTTGAATGTACTTTTATCGCCAAAGCCTTGAAAAACACTTCCATCATATCCACTCATATCTTCCACCAAACTCGTATCCCAATTCGGCATCGTCCCGTAATTATTTTTAGACGCCCAATCCGTGCACTCGCCGGTAACCGGTGCTTCTGCTAAACACAAAAGAACGAAATCGTCCCAACTCGCCGACGGTATTGGAGTTAGAGGAGGCGGCGGCGGAGGCGGAGCAGGTGGACTCGGCGGTGGACTCGGCGATGGCGGAGGTGGTGGGGGTGAAGGCACGACAAACCCAGAAATCTCCCATTCCCATAAGCCGTTGTAGTTTTTGTTCGGTGAGTTCGGGTGCGGATACACGGTTATTCGAAACCACGCCGAAAACGCTGGATCAAAACTGATTTCAATTTCCTCTAGCGAAACGTACGTGACATCGGTTGCAAAACCAGCAGAGCTCGGGTTTGAAACACCAACGAAAGCACTTCCATCCCAGTACTCGATTGTGATATCGCCTTCAAAATGGTTCGCTCCCGGCTGAGTAAACTTCATCGACGTCACCAACTTGCTACCGGAAGCGAAATTGTACGTCCATTTTGAAGTCGGACCTGAATTGGTGTGTGCCCCATGATCCCAATCCGATATTGAAGCGTCGAATAAGTTTGAGGGACCACGACTTGACCATGCATTAGTATAAAAATTCCATGCGTACACGCGATCGCCGTTGCTTAGTTCAGAATAAGCGTTTGGCAAATCGTCGCCAGATTGGACGACGAATCCATCCGCAGTGCTGTAGGAAATTTCCCGCTGATTATTGAGCGGATCGTTATTTGACAGCGAGGAGGGGACTGGCGGAGGACTCGGTGGCGGAGGTAACGGCGGTGGAGGCAACGGCGGCGGAGGCAACGGCGGTGGAGGTAACGGCGGTGGAGGCAACGTCGAAGCAGTCTTTATGTAACAGTGGTATCCATCTCGACTGTTGAGTTTCCCTCCATCGAAAACATTTGAAGAGCTACACGGGGACGAGCCACCATTGCAATACGTCTGATAATTTTCACCATCTATACTTTGCGTACCTCCCCATTGATTGTTTTGGAATGTATTCGTCGATTCAACAACATAAGCGTTCCAATCCGTAATTAATCGACACTCAGGTGTATCCCAAATATCCCGAAGTACAACTTCGGCAGCTAAACACCACGCGAATGCGAAACACTTTGCCTTACATCGGTCCAGAGCTTGCTCAGCATTAGTACCGCTCGTGTGAGGGTTCAAATCGTAATAGCCTTTCGAGAATTTTATTGGGTAACTGCCATCAGATTGACGACACTCGCCTTCACCAAGATACGAGTAAGCAGTGATTAACCAAGTACTTTTAATCGTATCGCACGAACTCGCCGGACCGGTGACGGCGTCGGCACACGCGAATTTCGCTTCAAATGCAGTCGCTCCGAGAAACATGTTAGATTGCGCCGTTGTCGCTGCCGTTCCCGTCCACGAGGAAATGTCTTGGTCGAACGCAGAAGCGGAAGAAAACATATGAGACATATCAGTCACTTTTTCTGTGTTCCAATTTCCAATGTCTTGGTTGAACGCAGAAGCGGAATTAAACATATAATCCATCCATTTCACTTTTTCTGTGTTCCAACCCCCAATGTCTTGGTTGAACACAGAAGCCTGAGCAAACATTCTGCTCATATCAGTCACTTGCGTTGTGTTCCAACTCCCAATGTCTTGGTTGAACGCAGAAGCGGAATAAAACATATCATACATATCATTCACTTGCGCTGTGTTCCAATTCCCAATGTTTTGGTTGAACGCAGAAGCGGAAGAAAACATTTCATTCATCTTAGTCACTTTTTCTGTGTTCCACTTCGAAATGTCGCCGTTAAAGGCGTTTTTTCCAGTAAAAGTGGAATTCATATCTTCCACCAAACTCGTGTCCCACCCCGGCATCGTCCCGTAATTATTTGTAGACGCCCACTCAGTGCATTCACCGGTGACTTCCGCACCATTTTCCGCTAAGCATTCTTCAACGAACTGTGTCCAACTTGCCGACGGAATCGGATCCACCATTCCTGGGCAGCCGCCACCGCTCCACATCTCGAACGAAGCGCCGCCCTCCAACCCTCTCGCGTTGTATCGATCCCCGGGCATGGAGAACCACGTGTCGGCAACACCCGTTTCTTTGCCGCAATCTCTCGGAAACCCCACGTCCGGGTCGTTGTAGTTACAAAATTGCCACTTGTTGGCGCTGGAGCGTAAATCGTCTAAAGTATCGAAGAGATCAAAATCCGTGCCTAGCACGTTGTTCGTGTCCTTCCACGTGTACGTGAACAACGAATACGCGTCAAAGTTCGACGGAATATCTGTGATGCGATGATAATACGCGTGGTCTGCACCATTTCGAACGTATTTCACGAGCGGGCAAAGCTGAAATGCTTCGTTGAACGCTGTTTCCCCGATATCCACCGTCACTTGATCCCCGTCGTCGCTCAGCGCCACCGCCGTAAAAAACATCCCCGGCGCAGGAGGAGGCGGCGGAGGAGAGGGAGGAGAAGGCGGGGGAGGAGAAGGAGCTATCCACGTGCTTTCGATAACATTGCAAGAACTCGCAGGGCCGGAGGTGCCACACGTGTATTTCTCTTGAAACGCAGAAGCGTCGAGAAACATATTCGTTTGCGCCGATGTCGCTGCGGTTCCGGTCCACGAGGAAATGTCGTGGTTGAACGCAGAAGCGTAAGAAAACATATATTGCATATTAGTTACTTCCGCTGTGTTCCAACTCCCAATGTCTTGGTTGAACGCAGGAGCTTGATAAAACATATACATCATAGTAGTCACTTTCTCTGTGTTCCAACTCCCAATGTCTTGGTTGAACGCAGAAGCGTCAGGAAACATAGAATTCATAGTAGTCACTTGCGCTGTGTTCCAACTCCCAATGTCTTGGTTGAACGCAGAAGCTGCAAAAAACATTTGATACATAGTAGTCACTTTCCCTGTGTTCCAACTCCCAATGTCTTGGTTGAACGCAGAAGCGTATTGAAACATATTGCCCATAGTAGTCACTTGCGCCGTGTTCCAACTTCCAATGTTTTGGTTGAACGCAGAAGCGTCACGAAACATAGAATTCATAGAAGTCACTTGCGCTGTGTTCCAACTCCCAATGTCTTGGTTGAACGCAGAAGCGTAATAAAACATATATCTCATATCAGTCACTTTTTCTGTGTTCCACTTCGAAATATCGCCGTTGAATGTCCTTTTATCGCTAAAGCCTTTATAATGGCCACTCATATCCGTCACCAAACTCGTATCCCAATTCGGCATCGTCCCGTACCAAACGTCTTGCGATCGAGCCCAGTCTATACATTCTCCAGTCGCTGCAGATTCATCCAAACAATCCTTGACGAAAGTATGCCAGCTTGTACCGGCCGGAATTGGCGAGGGACCTACGCACGAATTCGCTGGACCGGTGACGGCGTCGGTGCACTTAAATTTCGCTTCAAACGCAGAAGCGCCGGAAAACATGTTCGGTTGCTGAGTAGTTGCGGCAGCTCCAGTCCACGAGGAAATGTCTTGGTTGAATGCCGTCGCGCCACTGAACATGTACGTCATATCGCCCACTTGTGAAGTGTCCCAACCTCCCAACCTCCCGATGGCTTGGTTGAAATCTTTGGCCATATTGAAGGTGCGATGCATGCGGGTCACTTGCGATGTGTCCCAACCCGAGATGTCTTGGTTGAACCTGTATGCAAAATAAAATGTCTCAGTCATATCAGTCACTTGCGCTGTGTTCCAATCCCCAATGTTTTGGTTGAACACTTGAGCGTTATTAAACATAGCTCTCATAGTCGTCACTTGCCCTGTGTTCCAACTCGAAATATCGCCGTTGAATTCTGTATACCAAATTGCAGGATTATTCCTCCACGGGTAAAAAAGATCCTTCATATTTTTCACTCTACTCACATCCCAATTCGGCATCGTGCCGTAATTCGTCGTCGACAATCCATACGTCGTGCACTCGCCCGTGACTGGTGATTCTTTCAAACACAAATCAAACGCGCCGAAGAAGGTTTCATCTGTCAAGTACGTCGGCAACGGCGGCGGAGGCAACGGCGGTGGAGGCAACGGCGGCGGAGGTAACGGCGGTGGAGGCAACGGCGGTGGAGGCAACGGCGGTGGAGGCAACGGCGGTGGAGGTAACGGCGGCGGAGGTAACGGCGGTGGAGGCAACGGCGGTGGAGGTAACGGCGGTGGAGGTAACGGCGGTGGAGGCAACGGCGGTGGAGGCAACGGAGGCGGTGATGGAGGCGGTGATGGAGGCGGTGGTGGAGGTGGTGAAGGTGGTGAAGGTGGTGGTGAAGGAGGTAATGGAGGCGGTGAAGGAGGAGGCGTGTATCGATATTTCACTCGTAAGAGTCTCTCTCTCAACTCCGCCGCCTTCTTCCTCAATTCCGTCAATCTCTTTTCCACGTCTATCTCTTCCTCGTTCTCACCTCCTGCAATTAATCTCTTACTCACGACCACATTATTCGTGCTCGCGTTGGCGTACGAGATGAGTTTCGCACGCGTGCGCATCGTGTCGACTTCCACATGCATTTCCCTTTCGTCTTTTGACACGAGAACAGTTTTCTCGTCTTTACCGTCGGGGTGGACGATAATCTCGTTCATCGGTTTTTGTTTCCGCTCTTGTGCCGCATTTCTTTCCAAAACAAAACAACTGTCATAAACGCACTCGGCTTCGTAGGAGAGTTTCCCATCCGGGGCGCAATACGACTGTTTTCCCGACAACGCCAACACAAATCCGTCGGCGCACACTGGTCTGCACGTTTGACCTATCGGCAACTTTGAAGTGCAATTACCAATATCGCCGTTCTCCGGTGCCACCGATGCGTCACAGTGCGCCGGCGAAGAAGGAGGCGATTTAGTAGCGTCATCAACTTCGACGGCGGAAACGCCTCCGCGGCCAAAGCTCGTCCCGAAAATAAAGGCGACAAACGCGAACGCGAAAAGTATCCGCTTCCTAAACGAGAGACGAAATACCACCATTGGTCGCATCTTCCCCGCCCTTCCGGTGGTCGTTCTTCTTCTTCTTCTTCTTCTTCTCGATGACTTCTCCTCCTTCGCGGAAGAAACAGAAGAACGCATTTTGCTTTCGTTTTGGTGCGTGTTTGTGTGTTGCGCAGAAACGTATACTCGCTTGAAGAGTCACAAACACGAACGAACGAACGAGAGAGAGAGAGAGAGAGTGAGAGAGAACTCCGCGCGAAGCGCACCTTTACTAAAGCGTTGTTTGAAAAGAAGAGAGAAGTCTCTCTTCCTCTCTCTCTTTCTCTCGTCTTCGCTCGCTCTCACTCAAACGACCTTTGCTCCGAAAAAACGATTCGATCTTTCTTTCTTCCTCTTCCCTTTTTCCTCCGGGATCGTCGTCTCTCGCGTGCGTTTTCTTTCCTTCTCTCTCTTTTTCTCGTCTCGTCTCTCGAGTGAAACTCGACGAGATCGCGCGTTTCGAGATATATATATATATATACGCGCGCGCGCGCGACCAACGAGAAGTGCGACGAATGAATACTCCGAGCGAGAAGAAAGAAAAACGAAGAAGCGCAGAAAGAAGAGAAATGAAACGATGTTTAAGAGTGCAACTCCAGCGAGCGCGCTCTCTTTGAGGATTTTGATTTGGAAAGGACAAAAAAAACAAGGGGTCGAAAAAACCTTCCTCTTCTTTTCTCGTCTGTCTGGCACATTTTTTTTTTTTTGCTTCTGCATTTGCCTTTTTTTCATCTTTTTCTTTCATGAAGTCTTTTTCTCTCGCCTCACAAAAATTAAAAATGTCCTCCTCTGGAAAGGACTTCGACGACGCGGACGGACGACGAAGGGACACCGAGACGAAGAAGAAGAAGGCAACGACAACGACGACAACAACAACAACAAAGGATGCGTTGGAACGCGCGTTATCGCGACACGAGAAATACGTTTCCTCTTCTTCCGAGGGACGGTTCGCCGAAGATCTAGGTATACACCTTCTTTCGTTCTTTCTCTCTGCTGTGCAACGAACTGACTCGAAATTCAATCTCTTCAATCTCTGTAAAGCGGAAAACAGAAAAGACGCGACGAGAAAAGTCGCCAAACTGACGTCCACGTTAGTCTCCGGCATCAATCGAGGCGTCTTGGAGGTGTTTGAAAACCAAAAAGAAGTCGAGAAAGAGGCGAAAGTGTTGCAGAAAAAAGTGGACGCGTTCAAGTGCGAAAGCCGAACGTGGGTGAAGAGTTTACGCGACTTCGACGAGTCGTTGAAATCAATCGGAGATTTTGAGAATTACGTGATGACGCTGGAAAACGAGTTAAAAGGAATCGCCGAAGAACTGAAGAAGAGGAAAGAGCAGTGAAGTAGTTTAATAGTTATGCGTACCTAGAGATGTTGGTATTGATAAGACTTGTAGTAATACCATTTTGCTTTCGCGATAAAAGCGCGTATGTTTAAAAACGTGTTATATGTTTTTCTCTCTCTCTTTCTCTCTCTCTCTCTCTATTTCTAAAAAAGCTATTCATGCATTTGCGCGTCGACGACGCCGGCAACTGTTGCTGCTCTGCAAAAGAGTCTTTCGTTCAACGCTCTCGCGATGGACTGTTTCGCGTGTTCGGCGGCGACGCCTTCCGCCTCTCGAGCGGCGGCGCGCAACTTTTCGCTGTCCGCACCGCCGCGGATAGCTTTTAACGTTTTCGCGTCGAGGAGGCTCGTTGTTGCAGTCGCAGCAGCGCCGGAAGTTTTCTGCGCAGTTGCTTTCTCCTTCCTTTCTTTACCGCCACCGCCAGAACCATTTCCGGCGGCGGCGACGTTGGCGTCGTCGTCGTCCAAAAGCAAGGCCCGCATGCCGCCTTCCTCCTCCTCCATCTCTGCTCTTCCTCCTCCTCCTTTCTGACCACCACCTCCTCCTAAACCACCAAACCCGTGGAATTCGTCTTCTACTAAAAACCCTCTCGACGCGTCAATCTTGCTCATCTTCTGCGCCACGTCCTTCACCGACGCGTCCACGAAATTCTTCGCCCCGGAACCCTTGCTCAAAGGCATCGAAGTAAAAGTCGAAGCCCAATACTCGTCCCACAAACGTTTTAAAATCTGTCCATCCAACGTTGATTTGAAAATCGAAATCGGCAACTCGTAGTACTTATCCTTGTGTACGCCGTAATCTTCAATCTTCGCCGACGGGACGAAATCGCCGACTCCCGAGGACGAACCTCCTCCGCCGCCGATCCTTCTCCCTCCTCTGCTGCTGCTCGTATCGGTATATCCCTCCGGATACGTTCTAAACGCGCCGATCTCCACTCTCCCACTCGCTTGACTCCTCACCGGATCGACCACAATCGCTAAATACGGATCGGTAAACATTTGATTCTGCGACTGCGTATCCACGTCGATGCCGCTCAACCAACATCCGTACCCCGGATGCGAGTGGTACCATCCAACCACGTGTTCCTCTCGCCCGTTTCTCTTCGCGCAATCGTTGTATTCAATCATGTACTCGTTCGCCTCCGATTGCGCGGACACTCTCGTTTCTGTCCCTTCCACCGGTAACGGAAACGCGTCCGCGACGATAAACTTCCCGTCTCGCGTCACTTTCCCTTGCAACAACCCCATCACTTCCAACTCCCCGCCTCGTTTCGCGTGCGTGCTGATTTTAATCAGCGCCAAAGCGGATAATTTCACCTCGGTAAAAAACTTCGCGTCTTTCTTCCACGGTTTTTCTCTGTCGATAGCTTTGTACTCCTCGCGGTCGTACTCGAACAGTTGATCGTCCGCGCTCATCTCCACGATTTCATTCGCCAACTCGAACCGAAATCTTTCCCGTAAACTCGTTCTCATCGTCTCTCGTTTCCGTTCTTCTTCTTCCTCCTCCTCGTCGTCTGGAACAGAGAAAATCGTCTTCATCTTCGCCAAGTCGTGTCGATCGTCAAACGAGTCGTTGAAACCTCTTTACGCTCGTATAACTTTACCAGCACGTGTGATGAGATCTCTTTTTTTTGAGGACGAAAAACACGAAAGTTTCCAACTGTCTCATCTGTGTCTTACTTACAGAGCAACGAATACGTATGCGTAACACATATGTGATGACAAAAAGATGATGATAATAAATTTACAAAGAGCTACTAGTACTCCTACTAGAGCAGCAGTACAAAAGTGGTGGTATTCTCTACTTTTATGCGTGATGATGATGATGTGTGTTTTAGTGTGTCGTTGACGAGGAGACGTCAATCCGAGTACCTGTACTGTTCGTCCTCTTCCGAGGACGAGTAGGCGTCGTCGCCGCCGGAGGAATCCGAGAAGAAGTCCTCGCACGTTTGGGTTTCGCATAAACCCATTCTCGGCGCTTCGGTTTCCTCGTCCTCTTCTTCTTCGTTCCAACCGCCGTATTTCGCTAAAAATGCGAGCGCGACGCCGTTCGTCCAACCGAAACCGGTTTGCGGCGCGTACTCGCCGCCGCGGCCGATGGCGCCGAAAAATCGGCAGTCGTATTTTTCGTGCATCGCGTGAGTGAGACGCAAGCCTTTAGAGACGGATTTACAATACTTGTGCGCTTCATTTTTCGCGAAATTGGCGTAGACTTCGTTTTGTTCGCCGCCGTATTCGGAGACGCCTTCGACGAGCATGTGCGTGAGCGGCGCCCAGACGTTTGGGAAGTCCCACTGTTCTCCAGATTTGACCGTGGAGCACGCGATGCCGGCGACGTCCACGATCGGGGATTGACGTAAACTTTCGCACGCGTCCAGAGCTTCTTTGGAATTCTTCTCGAAAACGCCGCACCACAGAGGGACCCAATCCGAAGCGTACGGGCCTGCCGCGAAGGAGTATTCGTACACCGCGTCTGGATCGTCGAAGCGGTTGTTCTTGTGTAAAGAAGGATCCGTGGTCGTGCCGTCGATGTTGTAGGTATCAAATTTCGATCGTCTCAAGATAAGATCGCGCCAACGCTTTTCTGAATCGTCCCAAATGACCTCGTATATTGCATTTCTTCGAGTTTCCGCCATGATTTCGAATTGCGTTGCGAGTTCTTGAGCGTACTCAACCTCTTCGACCGATTCGACGTTTTGTTCCAACTGTCTCGCCAACCAAGCGATGTCCCGTTCCATTTTGTACATGAATCCGTTCAAATCCGCGGGAACGATTTTGGTCGTTCGGATTGTACGAATTGACTGTCGATCTTCGAACCATCGAGAGGAGAAATCGTGACCGGACTCTGCGGCGGAGGCAATGTCGCGAAACAAATCGGCGCGCAATCGATCGGTTTTCTCCTTGGAATCTTTGGAATCGCAAAACTTGTTACAAAACTCCTTCGCGGTGTCTAAATCTTCGCGATACGATTCCGGTCGAGGTTTCTCGGTATACGCCCAGTATCGCGATAACGTGTGTAAATTTCCAGTCTGTTGCGAGACAACGTTTATGCACTTTTCCGGCCTCGTCATGTATTTGTGCTCGCGTTGTAACAGCTGGACCGCGTATTTCAACAAATCGATATCTCGCGTCGATTCGTATACCGCGCGAACCGCGGTGGCTAATACAGGCGGTTGCGAGCGATTCAAATAATACACGCGACTTCCGTTCGGGACGTACCCGAACCGTTCTACCATAGAGAGTAGGTTTCGAATGACGCCCGTCGCGGTCGAGTACATGTCGCTCTCGAGTAATCCGAGCGCAACCCAATACGTGTCCCAATAATACGTTTCGCGAAAGCGTTCGCCAGGGACGATAGCTACGTGTGGCAAAGGAATTAAAGAGGATTTCTGTTGTTGTGGCGGCATGTGCGGCGGTTGCTTCTGAGGAAACGCGGGGTTGATTTGAAGCTTCGATTTTAACGACCCGGTCAGAGCGCTCACTCTGTCGTTCGTCGAGGAAGAAGAACCACCTCCACTAAACGCAGTTTGGACTTGTTGATTGGCCGCCATAGTTCTAGACTTTTTCGGCGACGCTAACGGCGAATTTGGAATCGGTCCTCTTGGCGTGTTTGATCCCGTCGCGTATTCTAACGGCGTCGCCTGTCGCTGGTTCGCCGACGGCGCTACGCTTCGCGCCAATAAAGGCCACGTGTTGTTACAGTGTCTGGCGAGCTGGATCGCCTTGGCGTGATGCTTATATGCCTCGTCGTCGTCGACTTCCCCTAAGCCGCCACCGCCTTTCTTCGCGCTCGAACTTTTTCCCATCATCGCCGCTTCTTCTTCGTCTTCTTGAATGCTATTCAATCTTCCCATGCTCGTGGATAACTTCACCGTCCCTCCTCCTCCGTTTTCGGCTAATATTTCCGGATGCAACAAATTTGCAATCACCGACGGCACTTCCGTCCAATCGTGCAACAAATGCACCAACGCGTTCGCCACCGTCCCTTCCTCGCCACTACCTCCGTTACCGTTACCAACGTTCACACCCATATCGTTCAATCCGCTCGGCCCGCTATAAAAATGCCCCTCGAAAAATTGCTTCATCACCTCCTCGTTCGTCTCGCTCTCTCTCTCCATAATCTGGTCTCTCCCAGACGCCCCCGCCGCCGCGCCTACCGACGTGCTCTCCTCGCCTCTCCCGCTCCCAATCATCCCACCTTCCCCTAATCGATTATTCCCAATGTTTAAAAAATTCGAAATCGTCAAACTCGCGCTCGTTCGAATCTCCGTGTCCACGAAATCTTTCGAGTCGAGAAAGTTCATCGATTGGTGCGCGGCGTCTAAAATAGCCGCGTTCGTGTACACTTCTTGCACCGACGTCAAGTGATGATGGTGCGAATCAAAACCGTGCGCGAACGATATATCGATCGCGGGCGAATCCGATCGAGGCGGGAGGCCGATTTCATCATCCAGAAGTGGATTTTTGAACGGGGCCTTCCTCGTCGTCGTCGTCTGCGTCTGAATCGTCTTCCCTCTCCCGTCGATGGTTTCAGCGGCGGCTTTTGAAGAAGTCGTCGTCGCGAAATTGTTCTTCTCGTTGGTGTTGTTCGTCTCTTCTACTCTCCTCCCTTTTTCGTCGAAGGAGGAGGACGTGTTGTTCATCATCATTTTCTTCTCGTTGTCCAGAGTTTGGCGCAACCTTTCAAAGTCTTCTTCGAAAAACGACTTCTCCTTTTCCTCCTCGTCTTTGTTCTCGTTTTGCTTCTCGAACGCGTTCAGTATTAAAACGCTCCCCCTCGTCGTCGCTTTTCCTCGACGATGATAGTGATGATGATGCGTGCGTTCTTCAAAACCGGTTCGTCGTCGAGGAGGAAACCACCTACAGGTGGTTGTGGGGGAAACACACGACGACACTCCCGAGTTTTGTCTTTGTTGAATCGCAAACAACGCGGACGAACGAGAAGAGGAAGAAGTGCGGGAGGAGGAAGACCAACTCGTCGCGCGGGTGGTGATCGCAGTAGTAGTCGTAAAAGCGGAGATGATGATGATGGTGATTGTGTGGTTGTAATGAGAGTTTTGCGTTTCTTCTTTCTCTCTCTCTCCGTTATAATAAATTGGAGCAAAACGAGAGAGAAAAAGTGAGGACACGCGTGCGGTAAACGAGTAGATGTTGCGCGACTACGAATACGAGTAGAATGTTGATGTTCTGTTACGTAACGTAATAAATCAGTTACCATCGACGTCTTTCATCAACTCCCCGATTAAATAACTCTGCACTCTCGGTCCGAACGCTTTCGCGTACGAGTCTCGGCTACAGCATCTCCCCATAAACTTGGCGACGTTTGGCCACCGTTTAAAGGAAACGCCTTGAAAAAACTGCGGCACGTAGAGTAAATACGCGGCAACCGCGACGTCGGCGACGCCGAATTGATCCCCGGATAACCACTCGCGTTTGCTCAAAACATCGTCCAATCGTCGCATTCCTTTGGTTTCGTTTTTAATCCCGGTATCGATGACGCGGCCGTTGATGTCTTCTTTGAAACAGATGGGATCTAACGACGCGTTCGCCCACAACACCCACGAATACGCGTTCGCTTTCGCCTCGTCGCTTTTCAACTCCCCGCACTTATCCGCCAAGTATAAAAGAATCGCCCCGGATTCAAAGAGCTCCACGTTTTCTTTGTGTCTCAACGCCGGGACTTGTCCGAACGGGTGTGGGTTCGACACGTCTCTCGGTTCTTTCAATTCGAATTGGACTTCCTTTTCGTACAGGTACCAGTTGATGAGCGGCGATCGCGAGCCTTGCGAGCCGTACAAGATGAATTCATCATTAGTATTCGTAGTATTATTATTCTCGTTGTTATTAGTGTTGCGAGTATTATTCTCGCTGCTGCTGCTGCTACTGTTGTTATAATTCGTATTCGTATTCTCGTCTTCGGAGGAGGAAGAGGCGGACAAAGAGGCGCTTCTTCTCGTCGCTCTCGTCGAAAACGATGCTGAAATGTTCTTCCGTCGTCTTTGAGGATGATGATGTCTCCGAGACTCCAAATCATCATCCATCTCCGCTTTCATCATCGTTCTTGTTGTCCTCCACCTCCCAGTAAAACCACCTTTTTTAGGAGCAGTGGAAGTATTTGTCTTCTTTTTATTGTTCATCGTCATAAAAGTCGTCGAAAGAAGAGAACGTGATGATGATGAATGCGATGATGATGATGCCATCATCATCGTGTTCCCCGGAAGAGAGAGAGAAGAGGAAAAAAAGTGAAGCATCAGATTGCTTCACTTAAAAAACGTCAAAAACACACATAATAGATATGTCGACTGGCACACTTCTTTCGCGAACGACCCAAAAGCTTTCAGTCGCTTTTAATAACCCCTACCACCAGCGAGGAGGTGAACGAGGAGGACTTTTAACGCCCTCCTCTTCGTCTTCGAGTTTTAGCGCGAGTCTCGCGAGAAAAAGCACGTGGTGCTCGTCAAAGAAATTAGCATCCTCCAGAACGTATTATCCATTGGTACGAAGGAATGTCGTCATCGGATGCGCATCGTCGTCCTCGTCCTCGTCGCACTACTCGCAATCAACGATGCGCGTTCTTCCACAACAAAAAAGAAGTCACAATCAACGAACGACGAAAAGAGGGGAAATGAATACGTGCCAAATGGGAAAAAAAGGCGGCGCATTCCTGAAAGAATTCGCCCCGGAACCGACGGAAGAAGAGAAGAAGAAAAAAGAGGAACGAGAAAAAGCGGAAGAATTAGCTCGCACGGGAGGGTTCCCGGAACTTTTGAAAAACAGCAACGACGAGGTGTTCAACGTGAACGTCATGGTGAAAAACAAAGGGTTCGGGGTCCTTTGGAACGGAATCGGGACGTTAACCATTCCGGATACCGGCGCGAAAGAAAACTCGGTCAATCTCGCCAGAGTCGTCTGCGCGCAACGGAAAGCGCTGTTACTCTCCAACTGCCAACGCTTGTACCCGAAGATGCAAAAGTTCCCGATGGAATGGGCCGTGCAGCCGTTCGACGACCCGTACGCGGACCCGCTCGATTTAGATATGATTTTGGACGGAGAGTACGTCACGGAAATGGTCCCGGGGAACTTTCAGTTTTTGAAGAAAGGCCGAGCCGTAGGTCCTGGCGCTTGATTTGATGACGACGACGAGAGAATACTACGTACGTATAAAAATTGAGGAGAGAGGGTAAACGAGAGCGTAAACGACGAGAGAAAGAGAAAAAGAGAGAGAACGTAGTGCTGCTACGACGCGTGTAAAAAACCGAAGAGAGAGACCGAGAGAGAGTATAACAAAGAGCGTTTTAATTCACCGACATCCTTTTAAAAACTGTTGGGAATTTTCCCTCCTTTGCGTAAAAAGGTAGTCCTCACTTCCCTCGCTGCGTTTACTCTACTACACTCTGAATAAAATGTCTATCGCCGCGAGCACGCGACAACCACTTTTACTCCTCTCTCCTGAAAGAAGAAAAACGACGGATAATAGAGGTTGTCCTCTTCTTCTTCGCTCGTCTTTTTCTTCGAGGAAAGGGAGGATTAAGACATATATAAAGTCGTCGAATGAATCCTCCTCTGAAATGCGTCTCTCGGCGGCGGAGAGGAAGGAATTGGAGCGACAACGGAAACTGTTCGAATCGGAACTGGCGAGAAGAGAGCGCGCGAAGCAAAGAAAATCGGACGAGCCGGATTACAAAAAGATGTTTCGAGAGGAGGAGAAAAAATTGAACGAATCTTTGATGTCTGACGACGAGAGTTTCGTGAACGAAGCGGACGTGGAGTTTCGGAGGCGACAGCTGATGCTTCTGAAAGTGGAGAAAGAGTTGAAACCGATGGCGAGAGGGTACGGAGTGTCCCCGTCCGGAACGAAAGCGAAGTTGGTGGAAAAGATTCTCGAACACGAGATGAAAACGCTGGCGATGACGAGCGATTTTAACGAAGAAGACGTGGTGGAAGGCGCGAGTTCGTGGAGGCGAGCGAGGAGCGTGGACGACGCCAAAGTCGCGAGCGAGAAGGAAGGCGAGAATTGGGCGCAAACGGAACGGAGTCGAATGTTGAAAGATACGTACGGGTTTGGGCGAGATGGTGATGATGAAGAAGAAGACACGTGGAGACGAGGTGAAGATGACGAGGAAGACGATGGCTTTACCTCGTACACGGATAGCCGGTTCGGAAGAGAAGCGGACGATTCGATTTACGAGATCGAAAGCGATAATCCGCACTTGGTTTTATCGAAAGATGTCAAGAAAAGAGCGACAGAACAGGATTTGGAACGGAGATACGCGATGATTAACGGTTTACGAGAGGTGGCGAAATCAAAAGTTGGTTTAGAGAGAGATTCGACGTTGATTTTAAGCGCCATCGCTTCCGCGATTGAGGAGTTTTATAAGAAAAACGCGAGAAGGTCGGCGTTTACGACTTTAGACAGGGCGAGGAAAGGTTTGCTTTTTGGACGCGGGATTGATGTCGTCGCAGATATCGACGTCGATAAAGGGAATTTTAGATTACTCGTTCGCGTTTTAGGGAGGAACGGGACGATTGAAAGAGAGTACGACGACGCCGCGTTTTTCGATAAATGGATTCGTTCGGGAGGACGAAGACGCATCGCAGATTTAGGAAAAATGTTGAACGAACACATGAAACGAGAAGTTTCGTATAAAGCATCGGAGTATTACGACGAGTACATGGTTGGTGAAATTGTCACCGGAACAGCTCGATTGAGAGGGTACGACGACGAGTGGCTCTTAGATTTACCAAACGGCGCGACGGCGACGTTACCGGCGTCGGAACAGATTCCAGGTTCAGCGAGCGATTTCGTCCAAGGCGACGAGGTCGTCGTTCTAGTTTTAGGCGTGGACGATAACCAATACGCGGCTGGTCAAAAGGCGCCCGTTTTAGTCTCCTCGGCGGTCGCTGGCGTCGTTGCCGGGGTGATCACCGCGCAAGTCCCCGAGTTGAGAGACGGTAAATTGCAAATCGTAAACATCGCAAGAATTCCCGGTAAATCTACGAAGATTATTGTCAAAGCGAACGACCCGGAAGTGAACGTGCGCGAAACTTGCTTAGGCGTCAATTACGAACGCATCGACCGCGTGAAACAGTTGATTTGTTCCGGCGACGAGTTGATTCAAATCATCGACTTCAAGAATGGACGTTTGACAGGTTTGGTGCAACAAGCGCTCTTCCCGGCGTCGTGCACGCGAGCAAAGATGGTCAAGAAACCCATATTTGAAGACGAATTCGTGAAAATAGACGAGCGCGGTAGAATCATTCGAAACAGAAGAGACGGAAGTGTGATTGAAGCGCAAGCGATGGTGGACGATGCCGACCAGGGAGAAGAAGCGAACGAGTTTGACGATTACGACGACGACGAGGAAGAAGGTTTACTCGTGAAGAATGCTATCGATGACGATGACGACGACGACGATGAAACAACAACAGACGAAGAAGAGCCTGTGAGCGACGGGTACGGATCCGCAGACGTCGGCGCAGACGACGATTATTACTTTGAGAATGTTAAATATCGCGAGTTCGGTAAAATTGAAGCCATAGTCCTTAAAGACGATTTATCTAAAGCGATTGGTTCGAACGGAACGAACGTCAAACTCGCCGCGTCCGTGTGTCGATGCTTCATCGAAATCTTCACGGAAGACGGCGAAGCTGGCGGATATAGCGGCTTCGGAGAAGAGCGCCGCGATGGTGGCTTCAACTCGTACGACAGGAACAGCTTCAACGACAACAATCGAAGAAGAGATTTCGACCGTAACGACGATAACAACAACGATAACCGCTGGTCGGAAGACCTGAGCTGGAACCGCGACAACTTTGCCTACGACGACGAAACTTCCGCGAACTACAACGACAGTTCGTCCTTCTACGACGATTTAATCGGCACTCTCGAAGACGAATCCTGGCGCGAAGTTCCGCAAGGCAAGCCGATGGACTTGACCGATGATAACATTAGCATGGAACTGGACGCCTTAAACGAACAAATCCGTAGAAACCGCGAAGAAGGAGAAAGAGAAGAGGAAGAAGTTGTCATAGCGCCGCCGCCGCGTGATTCTTCTTCGGCAGACGAAGAAGACCACCAAAAGCTCTTTGCGAAAATGGAAGCGCTCGAATTTGACGACGAGGACGACGAAGAAGGCGGTGTTGGTAGTGGTGCCTTCAACGACGTGGACGACGACGACGACGACGAATTCTACGACGACCTCTGGGAAGACGACGAAGACGACGACGAAGAGGACTAAAGAAGCGATCGACGATGATGTGAAGACAAAATTAGAGATTTAATGTGAAGAGTAGTAGTTTTACAATTTAAAATACGCGTAAAATCATAACAAACGCACGCATAAAAAACGCCTCGACATTATCGAGACAAAGACCACAAAGAAGAAGACCACAAACGAGAGAAATGAACGACGGAGTATTATTATCGTTAGATTTTGTCGACGCGAGAGCGTTTTCACTTTCGCTTTCCGCGTTGTCCGCGCTTTCGCTGAGCTTATTTTCAGTCGATCTTCAACAGACGACGACGCTTCTCCGTTGCGCTTCAAAGAAGAAGAAGAGAAAGAAGTCGGTTTTCTTTTTAGAAACGACGACGACGACGACGAAAGCGTGGACGACGACGAGGTCGATCAGAGACGCGAGAGACGTTCTCGAAAGAATGAAGAGGAATACCTCGAGTGAAGAAGGAGTTTCGGTGAAGCAACGCGTGAGCAAAGAAGACGTCCTCGTTTCAACAATTTCGAAAGATGGAGAATTTTCGGTGGTGGAGACGTTTGAAACGCCGTCGAAAGCGGACGAAGAGTTTCGAACGATGGTTGAAATCGATCTAAAGAAAAAGAACGACGAGGAAGGAGAAAGAGCGGACGAGCGAACGGTCGCGTCCGTCCTCGCGCACGCGTTGGCGATGTTGGCGCGCGAGAGCGCGTTCTCTCGCGGAAAGGAAGAGGAGGAACGAGAGCGTGACATTTTTGACGTCGTTTTGAAGCGCGATGGAAGATCGTTGGCGACGATTGAAGGCGAGGATTGGAACAGGACGATAGAGGAAGAGGATGAAGGTGTTGACGGCGGCGTCGGGGATGTCGTCGACGATAGGATGATGGAAAAGGATGGAGTGGTATCCCATGCGGATATTGTCGCGAAAGCTTCTTTTAAAGGATGCGAGGTGACTCTCGTGTTCTCACGAACGAAAGAAGCAGAGCTGCGCATAGGAAACGATACGAGAGGGACCGCGTCGTCTTGGATACGCGAGGAAGAAAACGCAGGGAAAAAAGATATCAGAGTAAAAAAGACGTTTTCGCTCAATCCGACGCATATCGAGAGCGAAGAGTCGAAAGCGCTCGACGTCTTGTTTCAACTTCCTTCACATTTTTGGTCAAAATTTGGATTTCATCCGATCCGTCGTCTTCGTCGGCGGCGAAAGGAAAAAACAGATTCGGACGAAGAGGTTAACGATGAGGACGTAACTGAAAACGATGACGTATCCTTCTTCCGTGTATTTGACACTCCAGAGTTTGGAACTTACGTCTACGATTGTGATTCTGACGACGAAGGAGACCAAGACGACGAAACCGGTAGATCAGCAGCGGCGCGAGGCGAACCCCGGCAAGGCGCAGAAGAGGACGACGGAGTGGATTTAGAAGAAGAGATGGAACTGCTCGATTTACGAAAACAAGTCCAAGAATTACCAGACTTTGCCGCGATGAAAACGAACGAGGAAGAGATGGACGCGCACAACGTACAACATTTACAGGAGCTGTATTTACGCGACGTGTGTGTCGTTTGGCGGCAATCGAAGGAGAATGAGCAACGACAACAGCTTACTTCGCCTTCTCTACCTGAACGCTTCAGAACGTGTTTCGAAAAGGCTTTCATGGAAGCGAAGCGTAAGAACCGCCCAAACTTTACCTCAAAGAGAGAACGCAAAGAGTGGAGGATTGGCGAGCGGATCATGCGCAACGCGGCAAATATATATCGAAACGCGGTTGTAAACACCGATTTAATGATTGATGTCGCAAAAGCTGACGAAAATATCGAAGATTGGGAAGGGAAAATCTGTACTTTGCTTTGCCAAAAGAGAGCGTTTGGCCAGATACCGCTGCAGGCGCAGCAACAGAAACAAAAGCAAAAACAATAAGAACACACTTCATGCGAGAAACAGACAAATATTTAATATTATACACACACACACACAAAATATTTACTCGTCGCATTCTTTTGCGAGTGGAAATAATACCTCGCTCGCGTAGGCGTTCGCCCACTCTTCGCCGTACCACTTCGAAAACATTTTTATCGCAGGATCTCTTTCTATCTGCCACTTGTCGTGTTCCGCCAATCGCCTTCGAAAGGCTTCCTTCACCTCCGTCGTCTCCTCTTCCTCCACCTCTGCTCCTCTTTCTTCTTTCAAAATTTCAACGTACCCGCGCAAGTACGCTTCAAAACACTCCAAAACTAACTGAAAGTTCTCCTCTTTTCCTTTCTCGCTCGTAAACGAAGGTCTCGCGAAAAACATCTCCTCGCTAAAATACCCGCTCGTATCCTCGTAAAACTTCTCGCTCGGCGTCGTCGCGTTCAACTTTTCGCCGTACTTGTCCTTAATCTCTCTCGCTATCCTCTTCGCTAAGCTGTTGCTGCTGCTCCTACGACTCTTACGAGTATTACTACTCCTATCATCACTCGTATCAATACTATTCGGATGAAAATCAATCCCGACTAAAACGTTCTTCCCGTTCCCAAAGTTCAACACGTCCGCGCCGAAACTCGGCGTAAACGCTCGCCTCGGCGTGCAATGCACGTTCAAACAATGCGCAATCGTGCCTCCAGAAACGAACGTGATCCGTACTCTCTCCATCAATTCTTCCTCATTTGCTCCTGGTTTTGGTCGTAAGACGACCGTTCGCGTGGTCACTTCGACTCGCTCTCGCCCGATTTTTTCGCTTTTCGTTTCCCATGAACACCTCGATTTTTGTGTTTCTTCTTTTCCTCGGATTTCCTGTTGGACGACGAGATTTGGAAACTCCGTTTGGAAACATCTCAGCGCGAGTTCGAACAGAGGGAAGAAATCATCATCGTTTTCATCGTCTTTTCTTTTTCTACTCGTACTACTCCTACTTGCAAAATCGTCCACTGCATCGTCGGAAGCAGCGACGCTGCTCTCAAAAGCGAAAGTCGTTTTCGCGTTGGTCGTTGCGACAACACCTCGATGATGATTTAGATTCTTCTTCGTCGTCGTCTCTCTCCGGTGGTTAACAGAAGAAGAAGAAGACAAAGAAATAAAGAAATTCGGGAGAAGAGAGAGGCGTTTTGACATCCTTCCTCGAGAGAGTCGTCTCTTCTTTCAAAGTCTCCTCCTCGTCGTCGGTGTTCTCTTTTGTAGTGTTGTGTGAATCAAAAACGAATGGAGAGACACGTGATGAGTTTTTCCAATTTATCTTCATTACTCCCTCTCTTTGTCTCTCTCTTTTGTTCTTTGATAAACGAAGCACACGACACACCAGAGACTCCCCCAACGCGAGACCAACAACATGTTCTCGGTACCACTCTCATCGTCTTTTGTTTCTTCTTCTTTAATAAAGTCTTCCTCTCATCATGGTCGAACTAATCGTTCTCCCATTCGTGATGGTGGAATCACGACCAAAGCTGCTGACGTAACGCGCGAGGAGGGAAACGATGTGTTGTTAAGACAACAAAGAAGACAAAGAGGAAGAGAAGCAAAACGCGAAGAAGAAGAAGAGCGCGCGACAACAAACAACGCGACGAGAAGTAGTCGACGCGAGGTTCTCAAAATTCTTCCTTATACTTCTGGAGTCGCGCTCGTCGTCGCCACGGCGATTGGAGGATTCACCGCGCACCCATCCTTCGCCGCAGGGGAAAAACTCTCGTCCGTCGAGGAGAAAGAACTCGCGAAAGAACGACGCAAAGCGGCCGTTCGCGCCGCCGCAGAACGGGCGAAAGAAACCGGCGTCGGTGGGAACGCGTTCTCGGACTCGGAATACATGGTCGGTGAGGACCACTCGCCGAACGCGCACTCGCACCAAGAGGAAGGCAGCAAAGGGAGCTTCGTCTGATTGGATTGGCTAATTAATCTCTTCATTATAAACAACGCGTAAACGCTTGTTTGTGTAACATATATATATCAATCTCAAATATCACTATTCTTTCTCGCTCTTGTTCGTTCTCGAGAGGGCGCATCTCCTCCTCTTTACTAAAACGCGTGGTCTTTTTCACCCGCGCGATGAAGAAGCGTTCATATCCTTTCCTTTCGCTTCAACATTCGCAACGCGGACCGCAAAGAAGAGCGAAATTCGCAACGACATCCGACGACGTTTCAACGCGAGTTCTCGAAGACGACGAGGCGAAGAAACAATTTCAAATCGAAAAAAGAATCGCCTCGAGCTTCCCACAGATCCAAAGTGAAAACATCGTCGCCGTTTTGCACTTACTGAGAGACGAATGCACGATTCCGTTCATCGCCAGGTACCGGAAAGGAGAGATTGGTTTTGGGTCAATAAGTGGGCGAGCGATGAGCGAAGTCGAGATTAAACAGATCAAAGATGTATTCGAGGAGGAAGAAAAGAAAGAGAAGTTTAAAGAAAAGATTTTACGAGCGATCGAGGAGATGTTGTCGAAGAAGTCGTCGTTTGAATCGTCTGATTTGGAGAGGAGAGAGAGGGAGAAGATTGAACGCGCGCGCGAGAAGATTCGTAAGGACGACGATACCGCGACGACGATGACGCTTCGCGACATGGAAGAGTTGTGGCGAACGATTAAACCGGACGCGAAAGCGAGTAACACGCGAGCGAAGAAGGCGAGGGAGAGAGGTTTAGAACCGTTGGCGGAGATGATCGCGAGGAGAGATTTTCGAGCGGTTTCGCGGATGCGAGAGGAGAAGAAACGGTTGAACGAAAAGGACGAGGAGGAGATTTGGAAAGGCGCGAGGGATATACTCAGCGAATGGGTTGGGAACGAGAGTCTGGTGAGAGAGTGCGCGAAGGCGCAAATGGGGAAGTTTGGGAGGGTGACGTGCGCGAAAGTACTACCAGTAGGAGTCGCGGGTAAGAAGGATACTAATACTAATACTAATACGAGCAATACTAAGTCAACTCCAAAAGAACGGAGAGAACAGAAAGCGTTGGAATCCGCGGAACGGTACGACAACTTCTCGGCTTTGGTGACGCACGTGAAGCCGCACCAAATTTTAGCGATGAATCGAGCCGAAACGAACGGGACGTTACGCGTGAAAGTAGAGTTGGATTACGCGAGGCAAGTTATTCCAGCCGCGGAACGATTCATGCGCTCGTTTAAAACCGCGGGAGGAGATGAACAAAAATACAACAAGGTTTGCGAAGAGCAAATAAAAATGGCGTGCGAAGACGGCGTGAAACGGTTCGTCAAACCGTGGGCGGAACGCGAAATGCGAACGCAGTTGAAAGAAGAGGCTTTGAAACGCGCGTCGTTGGATTTCGCAGCAAACGTGAAAGCGTTGTTGTTGCAACCGCCTTTGCGCCCGCAAGGAACGGTTTTAGCTTTAGATCCCGGGTACAGAGCCGGGTGTAAATGCGCCGTCGTCGATAAGATGGGCAACGTTTTAGAAACGTTCGTGTGTTATTTACACAAAGAGATGGAAATGAAAAAGAAGATTAAAAACGTGTGCGAACAATACAAAGTCTCCGTAATAGCTATTGGAGACGGCACCGCGTCGAGAGAAACCGAAACGCTCGTGGCGAACTCGAATTTGAACATTATCGTCGTCGACGACGACGACGACGATAAGAAGAATGATTCCAAAAATTCTTGTTTGCGAGGATGGGTCGTGACGTCCGAGGCTGGCGCGTCCATATACTCTGCCAGTGAGATTGCCACCAAAGAACTTCCCAACTTGGACGTTTCCTTGCGAGGCGCGGTATCCATCGCTCGAAGAGTTCAAGATCCTTTAGCGGAATTGGTGAAACTCGATCCCAAACACGTCGGCGTCGGAATGTATCAACACGACGCGAAAAGCGGCGCTTTAGACAAAGAGCTCGATTATGTCGTCGAATCCGCCGTCGCGTCCGTAGGCGTGGATTTAAACACCGCGTCGATATCGCTCCTTTCCAGAGTTCCTGGAATGACAAAAAACGTCGCCAAAAACATCGTCGAAGAACGCGAAAAGCGAGGTCGAGCGTACTCCTCCAAAACAGACGCGAAAACAGTCAAAGGCTGCGGCGCGAAGACGTTCGAGCAAATCGCAGGTTTCTTGAGAGTCGCGGAAAGTGACGACATTCTCGACCGAACGGCTGTGCACACGGAAAGTTACGACGTGGCGCGAAAATTGCTGAAAAAATGCGCCGACGACGCGTCGTTGTTGGAAACGTTGGCGACTGGCGGCGGTAACATAAGCGCGGAAGTGGGGAAAGAAATAGGCGTCGACGAAAACACGCTCAAAGACATGGCAAAAATGCTCGTCAATCCGGAAGAAGGTAACGACGAACGTCTTCTAAAAGTAGTGCCAGCCTTAAACAATAACAACACCGCCGCGACGACTACGACAAAGACAAAAATCCAACACCAAAACGCCCAAATCGGCTTAAACATCCGCTCCGGCGCGCTCACGTTATCCACCTTAAAAAAAGGTCAAATCTTATCCGGCGTCGTCAAAAACGTCTGTCAATTCGGCATCTTCGTCGACGTCGGCGTGGAAACCAGCGGTTTAATCCACAGATCCACGTTTTGCAAGAACGAGAACAACGACAAATACGACGACGCCAAAAAAGAACCGCACGATATCGCTCGCGCGGGTGAAAAAGTCTCCGTTCGCGTCGGCGACGTCGACGTCCATCGCAAGCGCTTACAGCTCTTCTTTTTACCAGCGCCGCAGTAAGAGTAGTTTAATAGTAGTACGAATAGTAGTAATAAAGTAGTATTCGCATTTTTTTGAGCGCAACGCGAACAACAACAAGCGCGTTTTCGTGTCCTGCGCGTATTTTTAAATAACGTTTCACGATGAAGAATACTTTCTGCGTGAGAAAAAAGAAGTTTCTCGAAGCGTCTTTCTCTGTTCAGTTTTCGACCAATAAAAGACAAGAAACGAGACTTTTGACGTTTCGATCATCTTTAGTGCGAAAACGCATCACAGAAGAAAGCACCACACGACAAAAGCACGACTAAAGTTTACTAAAGATGACGACGAAAACGACGATGGGTTGTTCGTCGAACAGAAAGAAGAGTTTCTTCTTTAAAGTCTCATTCCTCGTGTACGTCTTTCTTTTGAATAAAGTGGTTAAAGCGGCGGTTTTAGGCATCGATTACGGCGCGGAGTTCCTCAAGATTTCCATCGTCGCCCCAGGACGAACGCCGATTACTTTAGTCATAAACGAGATCTCGAAACGGAAAACCACCGTCGCGGTGTCATTCATCAACCAAGATCGATGGTTAGGCGAAGAGGCGATGAATTACCAAGCCAGGTACCCGGAGAAAGTGACCACGAGGTTAAGAGAGTTGTTAGGGAAGAGCGCGAAATCGGATTTGGTTTTGGATTATAAGGAAAAGTATAAGTTGCCTTTTGAGATTCAAGAGAACAACCAAGGGAACGGACGAGAAACGGTGGAAGTTTTCATCGACGTTGAAAACGGCAGCAGTGGGAAACAAAATGGTGATGGCGATGGTGATGATGCTATTGAAAATAATTATTCATCGCATACGATCGAGGAGTTAGTGGCGACGACGTTACAATACGCGATGAAGATTGGGACGGCGTTGGGGAAAGGCGCGATTAAAGACGCGGTGGTTTCGGTGCCGCCGTATTTTTCGCAGACGCAACGAAGGGCCTTGTACGACGCGGCGGATATCGCCGGGTTAAACGTCATGGCGTTGGTGAGCGACGTGTCGTGCGCAGCCTTGCAGTGGGGAATTGATAAGGATTTCGCGAAGAACGAAACGAGGAACGTGATTTTTTACGACGTCGGGTCGAGTCACTCGTCGGCGAGTTTAGTCGAATTCGGCGCCTTGAGCGAACGAAGGTCGAAGAAGACGTACGGGTCGTTCGTCGTGAAATCAGTCGAGTGGAACGACGAATTCGGTGGCGAGGATTTAGACGTTCTCTTGGTGAACCATTTCTTGGATGAGTTTCAAGAAAAACACGGGTCAGAGACGAACGGGAAAGACGTGACGAAAGACAAGAGAGCGGTGGCAAAGTTGAGAAAGCAGGTGAGGAAGACGAAAGAGATGCTCTCGGCGAACAAAGAAGCGCCAGTCAGCGTGGAAGGGATGTTCGAGGACATCGATTTCAGGTCGACGATTGACCGCGCGACGTTTGAAGCCAAGGCGGAGAAGACGTTCCAACGAATGTTGGAACCGTTGCGAAGGTTGGTGACGGTGGAGTTGCCGAAACTTGGGTTGACTTTGGAAGACGTGGAAGCTATTGAGGTTATTGGTGGCACCGTCCGAGTTCCCGCGCTTCAACGCTTGATCGACGAGGAAGTTTTGAAGGATTCTGGCAAGTCTATCGATAAGAGGTTGGACGCGGACGAAGCCGTCGCGATGGGCGCCGGTTTGTTCGCGGCGAACATGAGCACGACGTTTCGCATGCGTAAATTTGGTGCTGCAGATGCGTTGCCGTACGGGATCGATTATCAAGTCGTCGGTGGTGTCGACGAGGACGATGAAAAGAACAACAAAATTGCGTTGTTCAATCGATTCGACGCGTACCCGTCGCGCTCGAAAGTAACGATTGAAAACGTCACCGCAAACGAGTACATTTTGAAAACGTTCATCGCCGCCGTGAAATCGGGCGACGAGAGCGAGGACAACGTCAAAGAAGAACTCGTTTTACCGCCGGCGTGGAGTTCAGCCGACGTCGCCACTTTCAACGTGTCCGGCATCGACCATTTCCGAGAAAAGTACAACAACACGGAGGACGGTAACGTCACGGTGACTTTCGCGATGGACCCGAGCGGTATCTTCTTTGTCGAGAAGGCGCAGTTCGAAGTCATCGTGACGGATATGGTTGAGATTCCTCGCCCGAAGAAGTCGAAAAAAATGGACGACAAGAAGTCGAAGAAGAATATTACGATTGAAGAAGTTGAAACGACCGCGAAGGCGACGGATGAAACCGCCGCCACCGTATCCGAGGATGAAAAAGAGGAAAAGGAGGAGGAGAAAGAAGCGGCGGCGCCGGCGGAAGAGACTACCAAGGAAGAAGAGAAGAAGGAAGATAAAGAGGAAAAGGAAACCGACGCGACCGACAGCGAGTCGGGTAAAAAAGAACAGGCGGAAGAGGGCGAAAAAGAAAGCGCTGAAGAAGAAGAAGAGAAACCGGCGGCTTCGGAGGAGACGAAAGAAGGGGAAGAAAAAGAGGAGGAAGAAGAAGAAGGAAAAGAAGAAGAAGAAGAAGACGACAAAGAAGAAGTGTACATTCCGCAATATCGCGAGCGAAAGCGAAAGTTCAAGCACGACTTACTCGTCTCCGAATCCGATAATCCAATCGTTCAAATGACGAACGCGGAAATTCTTGCATCCAAGGGTAAGCTCGAAAAGCTCCACGCGAAGGATCAAGCGAAACGCGAAACCGAAGCTGCGAAGAGTAACTTGGAAGCCTACATTTATTCTTCGCGCTCGAAAGTTCGTCAAGACGAAGACATTGAAAAAGTCACCACGGAGGAGCAAAGAGAGTCACACTTGCAATCGTTGGAAGACGCCGAGGACTGGTTGTACACCGACGAAGGCGAAAATGCCAACAAGACAACGTATGAAACGAAACACAAAGGTTTGAAAGACGTCTCGGACGCGTTCATCTTCCGAGCGCAAGAGTCTTCCGTGCGCCCAGAGTCCGTGAAATACGCCAAGAAGTGGATCGCGGATACGCGTAAAACGATTGGAACTTGGAAGGACAAAAAGAAGCACATTTTTGCCAACGAAACCGAACCGTTGTTGCAAGACATTGCAGATTTGGAATCGTTCTTGGAGGAGAAAGAAAAAGAGCAAGAGGCGAAAGAGGCGCACGAAGACGCGGCGTTTACTAGCAAAGAGGTGAAAAGCGAGTTGTCCAAGAGAATGACAAAGTATAAAAAAGTAAAGTCGAAGCCGGCGCCAAAGGTGGAAAAGCCAAAGACGAACTCGACCGGCAACGCGACCGGGAAGAACTCGACGAAAAAGAACTCGAAGAAGGACAAGAAGAAGGGCGAGGAGACGACGGCGGCTGATGAAGAATCTGAAAATACGTCTACTCCTACGAAGGAAGAAGAAGATAAAGAAGGTGGAGGAAGAGGAGAGGAAGCGACGTCTAGCGAAGAAGGGTCGGCGGCGGATCCGCCGATGCCGGACGAACCGGGGCCGACGAAAAAGAAATCGTGGTTCGGGAAAGTTTTCGACAAGAAAGAGCCGGAAGAAGCAGCCTCGGGGGATCTTTAATAAAGTCAAAAACAACACTGAAAAAGCTATTTAATAATCAATTATTATTAAACTCCTTGTTGTTGTTGTTTGGAGAATGAATATACTTCTACTAATCTATCATCAACTCGCAATCTCTTCTTCTTCTTCTATTTAAATGACTACTACATTTGCTGCTAAATACCACCTTTATTTCAACGCTATCGGCGGTGCGGCCGAAGCCACCTCTTTGTTCACTTTGAGCGCGCAATAATCCAAACACTCTTCCACGCAATACTGTCGACTCCGGAACCCGTCTTTAAAGACAAACGGTTCCTGTATTTTCGTCAGCGGTCCTAACCCGGGACCCGAGGTTGAATTGAAACTCCCTCTCACGCACGTCGTTATGCATTGTCCGGCGCACCGTTCAATTTTTTTCCCGTTTTCGCCTTTCACCTTTGATTTTAACGTCGCTTTCCTCGTTTCCCCTTCCGAGGAGGACACCGAATTCGCGATGTTTTCGATGTAGTTTTCGTCTCGGTAGTTGTACGTGGACGCGTTTGCGTACGAGGACTTTGAAGACGTTATTACACTCTCTCGCAAAGAAAAAACATTACCATCACCATCACCACTCATCGTCACGAACACCGTGGCAAGAATCGAAAAACACGTTTTCTTAAGCAGCGCCCCGGTTTTCAATAAAGTCGTTCGATGTTGCTGCTTTTCTTCTTCTTCTTCTTCTTCTTCTTCTTCTTCTTCTTCTTCCGTTTTCTTATTACTACTCGTCGTCTGAATCGTCGTCTTTGTCATCATCATCATCGTCATCATCTTTTTCCGATGATGATGACGATTCTTTTTCCTCCATCTCCTCCTGTTAATGTTGTTGTTATTATTCTTATTATTATTAAAAAAAAGACAGGACGACGACGTCGCCATCAAAATCGGTCTCCTTCTGCTCGAATGAGTACGAGTAGTATTCACCAGCGACTTACCGGTGTCTGTCGTCGTCTTAATCATCATCATCATCATCGGATGACAAATCATATATCTTTTTTTTTTCGTAGAAGAAAAAAAGTTGTTTGTGTTGTTTTTTTCTTCTTTCCTTGACCTTTTCTTGGACCTTTGACAGTTTTTGTCCTTTATATGAATCATTCGTATCTTCATTTTTAGTGTCGCGTTTATGTATTCGACCGCGCAGTAATCCACCACTTTTCACGATATAGGGATAGTTTTTGTTGGAAAGCATCAGTAAGCATGAAAGCGCCGCGATGGTTTAAAAACCTGTCGATTGCAATCGCCGTGTTGGCTCTGTTGTTAACCGTGCAAACGACGTATTCTGAAAACCATTCGGGCTCGGCTGGAGCAGCGGAGAATGAGGATTCGACCTTGTTAACAACGCCGTCACCGCCACCGTCTGCGCCACCTCGATTGGAGGAGGTGTGGCGAGGTGGCGTGTGGGTTGCCTCGATTCTGAAAACCAAAAGCGAGGAGATTGACCCGCTGACGAATAAACCAAAGGAACAGTCGTGTCCGTGCCCGGACGGGTGCACGAACTGCGCGTTCCAAGATGGGAGTTTGTTTTTGAGCAACGATAACACGGTGAGAACGTTAACGGCGTCGGATACGCCGCCGAAAATTTCGTTCGATCCAGCGAACGGAAACAGCTCGTTCGCGTTCCAATCGAAGGAAGGAACGACGATCGATTTGACGAGTTGTCCTCCCACGTCGTCGTTGGTATGCTTCGCGTGTAACGAAGGGTTGGGTATTACGCTACCGCGTTTACCGGAGAGTATTTGCAAGAAGGCATCACGCACACCGGGAGTGGCGTTGCGTGCATTTACCACTACACGTGCTCTGAAGATGGCAATTGTCAAGAGACTTTAAATCGAGAAGAGGCGTCTAATTATTGCGCGTTCGCGGCGATTCTGTTTGTCGCTTTCTACATCTGTTACGCGTGGATGCGAAGGATTCCGTTCGTTGTACAAATCATGGACCCGATCGTGACGCTGGATAGATCGAAAACGGAGTACGAAAACGTCCCGAAATTGCAACCTGCCATCGAGGGGTATTTCGGGTTCGGCTGGTTGTATCAAGCGTTTATTTCCTCGGATACGTTCATTCGAAGGTTTACGACTATCGATGAATTCATGGTAATGCGATGGTTTCGCATGTGTGCGAAATTTTTTGCCATCTGCTCGATTATAATTTGTCCAGCGTTGTGGGAGTTATTCGCGAAGGATCACTACGACGAGACGTCGGTGAGAGAAACGGCGAGTGTTTCGAATGTAGCCATCGATCACACCGGGGCGGATATTAAAATACACACGTTGGGCGCCGCGAAAAAAATGGAAACGTTCGTCGTGGTAACAATCATGATGTACATATTCTCGCTCGTTTTAGTGTTTATGATTGAGAAGGAGTCTGTTAAATACGCGCTCATGATGTGGAAGTTAGAACCAAAAGAGGTTGGGATCAAAATGAACACGGTCACGATTTTGAACATCCCGAGGTACGCGACAACCACAATCGATTCCATGAATATTAAATCAACTCTGAACCAAGTCGCGATTCAAAACTTGGAAGAGCAAAAGGATGCGATGAAAGAGAAGAAAGATCTTCTCGTGGTTAAGCAAAGGATGTTGAAAATGAAAGCGATGTTTAACGCGGTCGTTCCGTGGTGGATGCGAGACTTTGGCTCGCCGGAGATTGAAGAAAAGTACAGAGAAGACATGGCGAATGACGTGCAAATGACGCACGACGTCTCGTTCGATGAAAGCGAACGTAAAGAGATGGCTAATTTGCGCCTATTAACGAGGAGAGAAATCGAGCACATGCTCAGGGTGAAAATCGAAGCGATCGTAGGTAAAGGTAACATCATGTTTGTCTGCGTGGCGCACGATTTGCGTTTCGTGACGAAAAAAACGGAAATGTGGAAAGAGGCGAGAGAAAACGCGATTCAAGCGAACAGAAAAGTCGTTTTGATTGAATCGGAGAAAACAGAACACCCAGGGACGTGGAAACGGAACTTGAAATCACGCGAGGCTCATTTGCAGAGCGCGAAGAAACATCGAGACGCGTGCGAAGCGGAGGAAGCTTCGAAGCTGAGAGCGTTGGACGCGGCAAAGGAAAAAATTATCAATTCGCAAGCGCCACCGACGGGAGCAGTTGTCGTTCTCAAATCGCAAGCGCTCGCTATACTTATCAGTAACGTACAAATTGACGAGGATTTTGGTAAGTGGGACACGAGACCGGCACCGGCGCCGCAATCGATCGTTTGGCACAACGTTGCCTCGCCGAACAATAAACGAAGTTGGAAAACCATGCGCACTCGTATCGTCTCGATTTTGTTTGCGTTATTTTTCTTGGGCCCAGTGAACGTCATAACTGCGGCCGTGAACGACCACAAAACTGATATCGTAAACTCAATCGGCGGGACGTACGGCGAGACGTTTTATTCCATCGTAATCTCGTTGATTATGTTGACTTTCCTCGTCATCGCTCACATCATTTCGTTGCATCTGTCGAGACAAACCGGGTATATTTCTTTGAACGAAATGGACACGTTCGGGGCGACGACGTATTTCTACGTCTTAATCATCAACTTAGTTCTCGGAAACATGTCCAGTCGATACGTTTGGGAGGACATGTACGACTGGATACAAGAGCCGCACTTGTTTGCGTACACGTTCATGCGTCAAACGTTGGCGTGTTCGACGTTTTTCTTCAAATTCGTTCTCTTGCGCTTGGCGCAAGCGACGACGTTTGAATTGATTCGGTTCCCGAAACTCTTTTCGTTTCTTGTGAACTATACTTCATACAGGATGAAAGCGAAAGTTGAGCCACCGTATTCGAAAATATTGGAGTGGGCGCGACCGGAGGAAACGCCGATGCATCGCATACCGGGCGTCACGATGTTGATTTTCTTCATCGGGTCGTTGTATGCCGTCATTGCGCCTATACTTCTCCCGGCATGTTGCGCGTTTTTCTTTATTTTGTACATCTTCTTCAAGCATCAGTTAGTGTATCACTACAAACAGTCGCACCCAGGTGAAGGTGACATGTGGAGTTGGCTCGTCGGGAAAATGTTCTTCACGTTGATCTTCGTTCAGTTGGTGATGATTCTCGGTATCCCTACCATGGGGTACGAATCCGGCACGTTTCGCATATTTTTACTTCCGTTACCGTTCATTTCGTATTTGCAAATGACGAAAACAAACAGAATCTTAATGCAAGCATTAAAAACGCCTCTGTATGGTTTGAACGATAAATCGGACCGGGAAGAGAAACGCGCGGCGTTTTTAAACAAAGAGAAAAGTCGCAAGTCGAGAGCGGAGAGAGCGGAGGAAGCGGCGAGGGCGAGATTAGCCGCCGCAAGCGTGCGTTTAGCGGAAGACAGAGGCGTAGACGTAGAAGAACTCGGCGACATTGATACTCCAGACGCTGAGTTTAAAGACGAGACGGAACCGCTGCGGCCTCGGGAGTACTTGGAACCGTCGTTAGAGAGCGAAGATTCGATAACCAGGGGCATTCTCACCAACGCCAGCTTAGCGAAATTCAAAAAATTAGAGGAGACTTTAGATACCGCGAACGCGGCCAACGAGCTCTTAGAGAGAAAAGAGTGGCGACAGTATCAACCTAAATCCGTGATGCCGTTGAGTAAAGAACGTTCGGCGATGAGTATCATTTTGAAACGGTGGAGAGAAAATCACGCCAAGAGGAAAGAGAAGGAAACCGCCGGGAAGAACAAGAAGTGAATTTTTTAAACGTGTAAAAAGATAGGGCGCGAGCGAGCGAGCGCGGGGAGAGAGCACAGGGTCAACAACGAGAAGAGAGAGTACTTGTAAGTAATCGCGGGAAAACGCGTCTATTTATTAAAGATTCTTCGAACGTCTCTGTGCGAATGAATACGAGCGTCTGCTCGTAAATATCTCGTAAATCCAAAATTCCAAGCATTTCAGGGAGAGAAAAACGTCCGACTTTCTTCAAAACGAACAACGCACTCAATGTCTCCTCCTCCTCCTCCTCCTCCTCCTCCTCCGAGCGACGATATAACCACCACACCAACGTCGACTACTTTCCTCACAATCGTCAAGCTCGGCGGCCGCTCCATAACCGATAAATCCACGTACGAAACCTTGGATAAAACTGCGCTCGAGAAGTGTTCCATTCTGTTACAGAATGCGATTTCGAAGAAGACAAAGAAGAATGAAAACGAGAGAGTGATAGTCATTCACGGGGCGGGTTCGTTTGGCCACATGTCCGCGAAACGATGCGGGTTAGGCGACGAGGACAGGAAATTGAAGATGACCTCCTCGCCCTTCCTGGACGGGTGCGAAGAGACGCGCAGGAGCGTACAAAAGTTGAACGAGTTGGTGTGTGAAAGTTTAGAAGAAGAGAAAGAAAACAAAGTCAAAGTTGAATGCGTTCGGAGACATTTAGGCGACGCGTGGCGGTTCAACGAGAAAGGAGAGGTGGATGTTCTCGGTTACGCTTCCGTGAAGGAGTATTGCGAAGCGCATTGTTTCTCTGCGTCTCCTACTTCGTCGTCGTCCTCAAAGTCGCTTTTGTTGTTACTCCACGGGGACGTCGTGGAGGACGCCACGCACGGGCGTTCGATTTTGAGCGGAGATAGAATCGCGCTTGAAATAGCAAAGGCGTACGCGTTGAATAAAACGAGAGACCAAAGGGTTGTCATCAGAGTCGTGTTCATCACCGGAGCGAGAGGCGTGTTTAGTCGCGACCCGGATGGTGTTGACGCTGATGCCGACCTGCCTTGTAGGATGCTACGGAAAATTGAAACGACAATCGACGGTGAGTGGACGTGCGTGAAGGATAACTTGAAAAGTGACATCGAAGATATCGCGTACGCCACGAACGACAGTTTACGGTACAACGCGTCTAGCAGTGAACACGAAAACAACGACAACAACAACAAGAGAAAAAAAGAAGAGCAAATATCTGCAACCGCTTGCTCGCACGACGTTACCGGCGGCATCTTAGGAAAGATTCAATCTTCAGTAACCATCGCAAATCTCTCTTCGTCTCCGGGATACACGAGCGTCCAAGTGTATATCACCAGCGTGCACAACGAGAACGGCGACGAGGACGCGTTCGCCGCTCTGAGCGGCTCGGTCGATCTCGAAACGCTCGTCGATACGCGAACGGGGAAGCCGTTTCGCGGCACCGTGATCGTTCGCAAACAACAAGAGAAACGAGACTGAGTGGAAGAAGACACGAAGAACGACATAGAAGACATGAGATAGATTACGGCAGTAGTAGTAGTAGTAGTAGTAGTAGTAGTAGTAGTAGTAGTAATAGTACCAGTTAAAAGTAATACACTTGTGTAACAATATCAGAGCTCAAGAGAGAAATTGTCAAAAAGAAAAAATCAAGAAAAAAAACTGGGCTCACATCAGCGACTCGGCAAAGCGCGACAGACTTTTACGCACACCACATAAGAACAACAGACAGAAAAGGAAGAAACGCGACCAAAAAACGCGCGAATACGACGTAGAATTATACAAATAGAGTTTATACGTATTCATTTCTTTCCTCGCGCGTAGCATTTAAACACATAGAAGATAGTCGCTCGTTGATTAGGAGTTCATTTAGCAAAAGAGAAGAACAGAGAGAAAAATGAGTTCCTCTGGGACGAGAAAGCGAGAGGAAATGCTGGATGCGGATGGCAACGCCATCGTAGACGGCGTTCTAACGCCCACTCCAGATTCGCCGGCGGATTCCGAGTGGCGCTCACGAGCTGGTCCTCTGGATGTGAACAGTGGTAACGGTGGGCCGTGGAAGCAAGAAGACTGTTCGGGTAGGTGGTTTCGCAGCGCGAATTCGATTTCTGTCCTCCTTTCTACGCGTAAATTTGGATGTGTCATCATCATCGTCTTTTCTTCTTGCTCTCTCCTTTGTTTGTTTGGGTTTTTTTTGGGAGGAAAAACGACTGAAAAACAATTCTTTCTTTACTCTCTGCGCTACTTTAAACACTCGAAAAACAGGACCACAACCGGCGGACATGTACGGCAAGTTCACGTGGAAAATCGAGAATTTCTCGGAGATTTCCAAACGCGAGCTTCGTTCCAAGTGCTTCGAAGTCGGCGGGTACAAGTGGTACATTCTCGTCTACCCGCAAGGCTGCGACGTGCACAATCATTTGTCGTTGTTCTTGTGCGTGGCAGATTACGATAAATTATTACCGGGATGGAGTCACTTCGCGCAGTTTACCATCGCGGTTGTGAATAAGGATCCGAAAAAGTCAAAGTATTCGGACACTTTGCACCGGTTTTGTAAGAAGGAACACGATTGGGGGTGGAAGAAGTTTATGGAACTCGGTAAAGTCTTAGACGGGTTTACCGTGGCGGATACTTTAGTCATTAAAGCGCAAGTCCAAGTTATCCACGAGAAGATTGCGAGACCGTTTAGATGCTTGGACCCGCAATACAGACGAGAGTTGGTTCGCGTGTATTTAACAAACGTCGAGGTGCGATTTATCGTTTTGATTTCTGAATATTCGTCTTTTTTTTTTTCTTTTGCGGAGCGCGCGAACACACTTTCACACTTTTTACACGAACAAATTGGCAACGATAGTATCGCAGAGACTTAGTCAAAACAAAGAAACATCTTCTTTCGCAGTGAAGAGATCAATTCGATAAGAGCATTTCTCGTTCTGAGCAACTCGTGAATGACAAAACGAACACCCATAGAATTTGAGCGATGAAAAAATTTCTGCTTTGTTTCGGCGCCTGTATTTGCCTTTTGTATTTGTGTGTGTGTGTGTGTGTGTATGTGTGCGTGTGCGTGTGTGTTTGCGTGCACCCATACATACTTTTCTCCATAACTTGAATACTTACCGAGTTTATTCTCTATAAATTACACAGGGTATTTGCCGAAGATTTCTCGAAGAGAAGAGAGAAAAGCTTTACGCTTTACGCAAGGATCCGGAGAAGTGGGAAAATCTTCGCAATTTTTGGAACAATCGTACTTTAGCCGAAAAAACGCATCTCGCTTCCGAAAAAGCCGACGATCTCTTAAAAGGTATCGTGAAGAGATTCTTCAACGAGAAAGAAGTGACGTCAACACTCGTCATGGATGCGTTGTATTGCGGATGCAGAGCCTTGGATGCCGGCTCCACGTCTGTGGCGGACGCTGTCAAGGCCAGTGCGAATTCGTCGTACGGCTCTGCTGCTTTATCCATAGCCACAAACACTTGTGTGCTCACCGGTGATTTAGTGTGTGCGTTGGAACGCGCGGCGGATGGAACTGCTTTTGATGTCGATGATATAGACTTGGACGATTCTTCCGAAGGTCGTTCGTCGAAGCGCTCTAAACTCGGCGAGGATAGCAGTAAAGATGATTCCAAAAAAGATAACGATAGTAAAGACGCGACGAAGAAGAAAGCTGGGTTCTCTGCGGCCGATGCTGTCGAAAGAGACGAACATCGCCTCGCTGAACTCGGCCGTAGAACGATTGAGATGTACGTCTTGTCCCGCGTTTTTAACGAACGCGTCGAAGTCGCCTTTCGCGAAGCCGAAGCTCTGATGCGTCAAGAAGCGTTGATTGCCGAAGAAGAGGAAGCTGAACGCTTAGCCGCGGAAGAAAACGAAAAGAAACACTCGAAGAAGCAGAAACAAAAAGAGAGGCAACGATTGAAGAAGTTGGCCGAAGATGAAGAACGAGCGCGATTGGAAAAGGAAGAAGCCGAGAAGAAAGCCGCCATAGAGGCCGAGAAGGAAGCCGAACGCGAAAAGCAGAGAGCGATCAAACGCGCCCAAGATGAGGAGCTTCGCAAGAAACAGGAAGAAGAGCAGCGCATCAAGGATGAAAAGGAGCGCGAGGCGAGAGAGAAGCGCGAAGCTATTCAGAGGCAAAAGGATGAAGAGAAAGCGAAGAAGAAAGCGGAAAAGGAGAAAGCGGAGGCGGAAAAACGCAAAGCGCGCGAAGAAGTGGAAGCGAAGGAAAGAAAAGAGAACAAAGATACCACAAGTAAGAGTGATTCGCCGGCGAGTAAAGCTGGTAAAGGTGCCGATAAGTCGATTCCGACGCCAAACTCTGCCGGCGGCTCTCCGGGAGGATCCTCCTCTGAACCGCCGCTCGTTCGCGAACTTCGTGGTCGAATCTCTGCGCTTGAATCTGCTTTGGCAGAAAAAGCCGCTGAAGTCGTTCGACTTCGACGAGATCTCAGCCAATATCAGCAAGGAAGTCCACCGGCATCTTCAGGGAAAGGGAGCGATTCCAAGGCAGCTTCCATACCGAGAGTTGGCTCTGGATCCATCTCCGGGGAGAAGCCGACAGCCGCCGCTGTCGCTGCCGGTGCACCAGCCGTTTCTGCCGCCACGGTCGCCGGATCCGGTGGTCCTGGCGCGCCACCGTTACCTCCGGGACCGCCTCCGCCACCTGTCACACCGGCAATTGCCGTTGCCGCCGGAGGATCAGCCTCTGAAGGTGACCGAAGCGTCCCGATGCCGCCGTCCGGACCGCCGCCGCCGCCAAGAGGCCCCCCGCCTCCAACTTCGCTCGTCAAAGGCGTCGCGCAAATGTCCGTCTCTGAGAACGGTGCTGCACCGGCTCCACCCGCGCCTGGATCGTTTGCGCAAGCTGCAAATGCGGGCGGCGCGGCGCCTCCATCGGGCGCCAACGGCGCGAGGCCGGCGGCTTGGATGCAACAGCAACAAGGACAACCGCCCGTACCTCCCGTCCCTGGACAGCAAGAAGATAACTTCCCGCACTTTGGCATGATTGAAAACTTGTTGGGCGATCTCGGAGATGATTTTGACTAACCCCGCTTCTTCATTCCATCTCGTGATTTGAAAATGGATCGGTGGTGCACAATCTAACGACTCATTCACCAAAAGTCGCGCTTCTTACGTAGCCTCGCGTCGTCCCGCGAGTTCTTTCTTCTCAAAGGACCAAAAGAGGGTAGACATAAACAACACAATTTAGTCTCTAGTACTACTAATATTAATATCAGCGTCTAGCAGAAAATATTCATTTCACCATCACCACTACCACCACCATCACTTTATCGTTCTACTTTGAGGTTCTTTTTAGAAAAGCTGCCCTTTTGCTTCATAAACTTTTCCCATACGAATCAAACATAATAATGTCCTTCTCCTCCTCCTCCTCCTTGCAAAGACTCGTCTGCGGCGACGAGGCACGTGCCATTTGTTCCGTCCCAAACGATAGCGCTAACAACGAGTCTCTCTTTGCCGTCGCGTGCAGTACTACTACTCCTGCTTCTACGACGAAGAGTGAAGTGAAAATCTTTTGCGTCGACGCGCAGACGCATCGCTTGAAAGAGAAACGAGAACTCGCTTTTGTGAGTATGGACGATAAGATTGTGGACGTGGATTGTTTTCGGTGTCGAGACGATTCTGTCGTGGATAGTGGTGGTGGTGTGTTATTGATCGCCGCGTGTACCGCAGAAGGGAACGTTTCCGTCTTTCGCAGACGAGAAGGAGACTCAAAAGAGGGAGACGAAGAAGAGAAAAATGTCATCGAGAACAAAGTAAGCGAAAATGAAGGAGAACAGCGAGAAGAAGGAGGAGGACGACGGCAGTTGCGTACACAGTGGTACTCGTCGTGTAAATTTGATCCAAACGGCGACGGGCGCGTCGTCGCGATGGTGACGAGCGGAGGAGCGTCTGCGAGTTTTTACGACCACGAGAACGCGAAACGGGTTGGTGCGTTTACTACTACAGGAGGCGATGACGATGGTGTCGTTGGCGGCAATAGTGAGGAGATGAAAAAGAAGACGACGAGCAGCAAAGGCGACTGGTCGAAAGCGAATCGAAACCAGTTTGCGTTTACGAGAGACGGCGATGTTTTCGTGGTCGATTCGAGATCGAGTAACGATACCGCGAAACCTATATTTTCTCAAGCGAGCGCGTTTCGAGACGTCGCGTTTTCCGCGAGCGAGGACGGGCGGTACATCGTCACCGCCTCGGAGGATTGGTTGGTGAAGACGTGGGATTTGAGGAAAAACGGCGGAGCACCGGCGAAGTGCTTCGCCGGTCACGAAGGCGCGGTCACGAAGGCGAGATTTAATCCCGTGTACGAATCCATAGTTATGTCGAGTTCGTTAGACGGTACGGTGAAATTGTGGAGAGATTCCGACCTCGGACGTTTACCCGACGACGACGACAGCGAAAGGAGGAGGAATAAGAAAGTGAACATCGACGAGAATAGCGGCGGCGGTATTAATAACAATAGCGAAGGGGTGAGCGTAGAACTGAAAGCGTACGGGAACTTACAAACCACCACGGTGGGGTCGTTCTCGCCAGTCGTCGACGCGTGTTGGAGCTGCAACGATCCGTGGATTATGGCCGCGATAACTTTGGACGGAACCGTAGCCTTGGACGTCGTTCCGAGAAGCGAGAAGTATCGCATTTTATTGTAATTTTATTCTTTTCTTACCTAGTAGAGCTGCTTTATTAAATTCTATATATTTTTACTAAACTAATCGCGCGACGTCGCTGCTCTTCGCTTTGAACTGAATCCCTCTCTTGAAAGATTCGATGGTGACTTCCCCGGTATTCCCATCCACGCCTAGAACTTTACCTTCCTCGCCGACGAAATCATGGTTGCGCACGACCGCGCATTTCCCGCCGACGCCCGGGCAAACCGGCTCGAACTCGTCTTCGTCGACGTTCTCGACGACGGAACCAGACTCCTTTAATTTCACATCCGCTTCGCGGTCCTCCACGTTGACTCTGACCACCGTACCTTTTTCCCCGGTTTCGGTTTTCCTGCAAACAATGTTCTCGCGTAGCATCCACTTTAATTTTTTCCGTTTCTTGAAGGCTGCTTTTCCCTCTTCTTTGCCGCCAGTCTTCATCTTCTTGTTGCTAAACATTCCCCCTGCGTTCGAAAAGTCGACGATGTCTTTCCTCTTCTTCTCGCTATTCTCGAGCGCGTTGTTCAATCCTCCCGAAACGACGTGTAAATTAATCTTCTCTCTTTCCCCATCGTCTAAATCAATCGCGTCCGCTTTCCTCTCTTCCTTCTTCTCCTCTCCGCCTTTCTTATTTTGCTTCGCGATCTGCCTCGCCAATACGTTCGCCATCCGCGTCTCCTCGTCCTCCTCTTTTCGCCTCTTCTCCATCTCCATCCGATCTCTCAACTGCTCTTCCTTATCTCTCGGTTTATACGTGATGAACCACCCTTTCGCAGTCTCTTCGATGTCGCATAATTTCTCCCTCCCTAAATATTTCACGAACTCCGTCAGCGTCGTCCACTTGGTCGAGTTCATGTGCACGTGCGTCTTGTTCCCGATGTATTCGTTATACGCCACCGTGGCTTTAATCCTCGTGTTTCTGTGCGACACCGCCATCATGTCCAAAAAATTCGCTAAAAACTGTTCCGAGTACCCTTTTATGAACCTGCCGGAGTTTTCCCCGAACACGGCGACTTGACGTAAGTGCGCTTCCGAGGAGCAGTGTTGCTTAAATCCGTTCTGGTCTCTGCATTGTTTCTCGCACAATTGGCAGTAGAATTTCAGTTTTTGTAAACCTTTCATCTTTTGCCGGTTGGCGACGGCTTTCGGGGAGAGGAAATCTCCTTTGTTACTTTTCGCCATTAGTATTACTGTCTCTGAGCTTCTTCTCTTTTCTGTTCGTTATACTTGGTGGTTTTTCTTTGTCTTTGTCTTCTTGCGCGTTCATTTATGATGTACTAGTTGTTGTTCGTTTTGTTCCCAAACGTCTTTTCCCCAAGAGAAAAAAAAATCTTCAAATTCACATGTGACATGAAGAACAAAAGAGAAGAGAAAAAAGAAGAAGAGAAAGAATCGTTTTACGACGCGCTCGGGGTGAAGAATACCAGAGATCTCTCCGAGAAGACTCTGGAACGCGCGTATAAGAAATGCGCGTTGAAATACCATCCAGATCGTCCGAATGGAAACGCCGAGAAATTTTTGAGATGTACGAAAGCGTTCGAGACTTTGAGAGATACAAATTTAAAAGCTATTTACGATAAGTACGGCGAGGAAGGGTTAGAGCCTGGGTTTGTGCCGCCCCAGCAGCAGCAATTTCAGCAGCAGCAGCCTTTTGGTGGGTTTCAGCAGCAGAGGGAATGGGCGGACCAACAGAGACAACAAAGGCAAGAGCGATACGCGAGGAGAAAATTTGGTTTCGATACAACTGGTGGAACAGGAGCGAGAACGACGAGTTTCGGGATGGACGAAGCCATGCGAATGTTTAAGGAGCACTTTGGTGATATGGATTTCGGGAGTGAATTTGGTGGTGGTGATGTAGGAGGTGCTACCAATAAGCGGGGGCGAAGAGACGCGAATGGCGCGCCAATGCCTCCAGACGCGAGCGAAGGAGATCGAGTGTTTGAGTTTGAGTGCACGTTGGAGGAATTGTATCACGGGTGCTCGAAACAGCTTCGAATACCACCAACAAAAGGTTTGCAAGAAGAGATAGTGGACTTGAACATCAAGCCTGGATGGAAATCTGGAACAAAACTCACGTATTTTGGTCGCGGTGCGCCGGCGAGAGACGGCAGGAGAGGGAATTTAGTTTTGATTTGCAAACAAGTTCCACATCCCATTTTTAGGCGCGCGGATAAAGGAAACGATTTGGAATTCGACGTGCGTTTGCCTGTTTCCCGAGCGCTGTGCGGTTTTCGAGCGACCGTGAAAGGACTGAACGGTAAATCTTTCGAGTTTGATACGAGGGAAGTATCGACTCCGGGAAAAACATACGTGGTGAAAGGAAAAGGCATGCCGGATCAACACGATGCTAAGATCATCGGCGATTGCGTCATTCGAATCACGGAAGTAATCTTTCCAAAGAGTCTTGCCGACAATCAACGAGTTGGATTGAAACAAGCATTTAACGGCATCGATATTGAAGGAGTTTAAGCGAGTGAGAATTTTTTTTGGTTTATTTACCGCCGTCGTCGCTGCTGCTGTCTTTTGATTGCTCTACGATATTAAAAACGCAATGATGTGATTTCTAAATCACGCGAATTGAATACTCTTTCTCTCTCTTTTATTGCTTTGAGGAGCGATTCTTTTAAACTACGCGAGACATCGCCAATGAAAGCGCTCGCAACTTCCCCAAGAAATTTTCGGCGTTTTCATACGCGCCTACCTTTAAGTCCTCCGCATCTTCGAGAACTAAATCAAACGAATCTTCAATTCCTCGCAAAGTCGCAGTGATTTCTTTTCTCACTTTCTGCAGTTCTCGTCGCTCTGTCATTTTTGTCTCCTTTCCCTCCTCGACCTCGTCCGGTGCTTCGCACGGCGCGTAACCGTTGCTCTCTTCTTTCGTCTCATCTTCCTCCTCCTCCTCCAAAGTTTCTTTCGTTCCTACTATCCTGTTCCATCTAGCCTTGTCGCTCTCCGCCTTCTTAAAGTACGGCATTTTTTCAGTCTCCCTCATACTTCTCCAGATTTTGCCGAGCTCTTTGTCAATTTGTATCGCAGACTTACCTGGCATACAAGTAGCCACACGAGATTGATTTTGGATCACGAAGTGATTATACGCGCTGAGACAGTGGAGTGGTTTCTCTTTTTTTGCACCAGCGGCGCCATATTCCTGTTTCATCGTCGGCTTTGTCGAACCGCTCAGCAATTTAGGCATCGTCGTCGCGTCGTTTCCGTCCTTTTGATGATGACCTTTCTTCTCATTGTTGTTGTTGATGCTATTATTACTACCATTATCTTTTTTATCCTGCGATTTGCTAAATAAGTTTGCAATTAACGATCCCCCCAAAGCTTTCACTTGCTTCTTTTCTCTCTTCTCTCGTTCTGCTTTCAACTTCTTCGCGGCTTCTCTCTCCTTCTTTTGCTCTTTGGCTAATATTTTCTTACTCTCCATGATCTCGTTTCCATTTCTTCTACCATTATTTGGTTTCATCGCTGACTCAGTAATAGGATCCGACTCCTCGATGCCTAATCCTTCCAACGTTAAATTATCCAGCGAAGCCTCGGACGGGAACTCGTTCTTCAGCGGCGTAAACGCCGTGTTCAACCCTTCTAACTCCGCTAAACTCTTCGCTTCAAATTCTGCGGGTAAATGCTTCGGAAGGCCACCTAAAAGCTGCTCTATCACCGACCCCCCTGATTGTTTTCTTAACTCCGCCGCTCTCTTCTTCCCGTACGCCAACTCAAAAGTCTGACGAAACAAAGCGTTTGACAATTCGCGCGGCACAATCGAATCCCCTCTGAGCATCTCCTCGAATTCGTCATCCATCTCTCTCATCTTCATCTTCTTCTCTTGCTCTTTTGGAATCCGAAACCCGTTCCGCTCTTCCTCCACCGCTATTATTCTCAACATCGAGAATCTGTCGTCTATTTTCGACACCTCTCTCAAGGCGTTTTGTTCGACGAGTTGCTTGACGTAAAAGTTCACCAACTCGTCGCCTCCAACATCCGCGATAAAGTCCATCTCTTCGTTCTCTCTGCTCACCAGAGATGAAGAAGAAAATTGCGTATTCCTCGCGCTGAGTGGAATTTTGTTCGTGCACTTCCCGTGGCCTTCGAGAAGCATCGCCCCGGAGGAGTGTTTCTTTATCGAATAGTGGTTCACGCTCTTCTCGTCGGAGAAGGATTTCAAGCGGTACATAGGTAAGGTGTTGGTTTTAGTACCATTTTCCCCGCTCGGGGTTGAACTCGTCGTCGTCGAACCCGGCGCTGCTTTGGTCGCAGCAGAAGCACGTTTTTTAGGCATCGTTTTTTCTGTAGAAAAGCCTCGAGATACGAAAAGAATATTCAAATTTTAACCAAAACAATACCAAAATACACACGCGGTCTGAAGAGTATTAGTAAACAAATGGTGGTGGTGACTCTCTTCTTTTTCATTCAAAACAACAGTATATGTGATGTGCTAACGTTTTTTACTTTTTCGGCTTCTTCTTTGCCGGTTTCTTCTTCTTCTTCGCGGGCGCTTTCTTGCGTTTCGCGCCGCCTCTCCCAGCGGCGGCTTTCGTCGCTTTCGTCTCTCTTTGTTTTTGTTCTTGTTCCTCGAACCCCTCGTCCCCGGGTTCGAGAGGTATGTAGTTATCGTTGATGGTACCAACACACGCGACGTTTTCCGCGGACGGGTCTTCTCGTAATTGGACGTACTCGTCGAAGAAAGTTTCAATTTTCGCGTCTTCCGCGCCGACGTTGACGATGGCAACCGTGGAGGATAACAAGTGCGTTCGCGCTAAGTACATGACGCCTTTTAAATCGACTTTGACCGAGGCGTGCGGTTGTTGTTTCGACGTGGACGCTTTACTTCCTCCACCTCCAGTTGGTTGCGATTCGCGCTCGACTAACAATCGTCCAACCACGCCGACGTCACCGGACAAATCTACGGCTTCCCCGGAGCCTTTACACTCGAACAAAATCGTCGAGTTGGCGGTTTTCTGCAACGCGCCGTGGTTAATCAGCAGAGGCATTTTTGATTTCGGCACGGACGCGCCGACAAATGCCGCCGGAATCTTTCTCTTATTTGTTGCTTTATTATCTGCGTTCTCTTTGTTCTTCTCCTTCGCATCGTCTGCATCCATTTTATCGTCTTCTTCTTCGTCGTCGTCAATCATCAACACTTCCTTCTGTTTCTTCTCCGAAAGCCTCACCGCTAACGGTTTCGCGTCCTCGTCGTCTCCATCTGACCCCCACCCGGAACTGCTGCTGTTGCTTTTCTTCTCCTCGTCGTCCTCTGAATCGTCGTCTCTGATGTTGATTGTTTTATTATTATTGCTCTTCTTCGGCGTGGTGTTGTCTGTCTTTTTCTTCTCGTCGTTCGAATCTTCCTTTGTGGGAGGTTGATACTCTTTCATCCAATCCGGTTCCTCGTCCGAATCCGATTTGATTTCAATCGTCTTTGTTTCTTCGATTGTGTTCTTCTCTGGGTCTCTTTCTTTTTCTTTATTCTCGTCGTCTTCATTCCTCCCACCAATTTCACCAATTTCATCGCGCGTGGTGGTGGTTACATCAACATCATCATCCTCATCCTCATCGTCGTTCTCTTTGGTTTTAAGTGTTGTCGTTGTTTTCTTCTTCTCGGTCGTCGTGTTTTCAATCACCGAATCGATTTTCTTCAGAGGCGAGACAATATCTGGAACTTTATCGTCGTCGTCCGAAGAATCGTCGTCGTCTAACACGTAACTCTTACCCATAATGATATGTATATGTGCGCGTGTATATGTTTACGCGTACATACTATCAGTAAAGAAAGCTACTAAACGCGTTAAAGTTTTTGTGAGAAATTTCAAAAATATTTTTTGGGGCAGTTTTGGAGTTTTTTTTTCTCATTGTTTTCTCTGTTAGTGATACGTTGTTGTTTGTATGCCTGCGACGGAGCAGACGACGACGGGAGCAGCAGCAGCAGCGGGAGCGACGTCGACATCTTCGAACAACTCTGAAGAAGTCATCTTAGCGTTGCAAAGAGAGAGGAAGAACCAGTATCTGTCGTTCAAGAAGTTTGGGGAATTCAAAAACATGAGTTCTATTAAAAGTAAAGGGAAACTCACCGCCCTTGGGTACATCTATGTTTGCATTTCTGCGATTGTTTTTCTCCTGTATTGGTTCGTGGACGCCGTGGATGGGAGGTACGCGAGTGTGCTCTTATTGGCGAGCTGTTTCGTGGTGAGAGTGCACCCGGCGTTTAGTAGCGCGACTGGTAAATTGAGGTGATGAGAGATGTGGGAGGACACGCTTTTTGGAACCTCAAAGCGTCTTGGATGTAGTAGTATTAGTATTAGTAGTAGTAATGTAGTAAAACAGAGTTTAACAACAACAACAACAATAGGATTCGAGCGCGCCTCCGCGTGGGTGTGTTTGTGTGTATTTTAGTACTGTGCTTTCTTGCTAGTATTTTGTCGCATACAATAGTATTAAATATATTTACTTCAATATGCGATACAAGTACATGCCAATCCCGAGCAAGACGCAAATCAACGTCGCGTCCACGCAAAAATGCCTCGACGATCGCGCCTTCTCTACGGTTTCTTTCAACCTCATGTTGGCCGTTTTCATCTCGGCTTGCGCACCGTCCATTTTAAAATCTATGTTTTCAATCGCCGGTTGTTGCCTGGCCATCTCTTCGTCCATGTCCGCGCCGAGACGTTTCAAGGTTTGCAAACCTCGGCTGATTTCGTCCAAGTCGGTGTCTTGCGTTTTCTTTCTGTCTTCGAATTCTTGACGAAACTGACGACTCTCTTCCGTGTGTTCCATGCCCTCGAATCTGTTGTTGTTGTTGTTGTTGTTGTTGTTTAAATGTTGTTCGCGAAGTGTTTCCGGTTGTTCAAACGGGTTCGTGTAGGTCCCCATTTCGATATCTCTCGACAACGATCTGTGATGATGCGGGACTTTCTTCGACGGCGTTCGAGGAATCATTCTCGACACCCCGTCCGGAACGTCCTCTATTCTCTGCTCGAACTGGTCAATCAGCGTTTCTCTCCCGTCTCTTTCGTACATCGATTCGTCTTCGATATCGCCCCCGTCGCTCGTCGCCCGTTTCTTCTTCTTGGCGTTATTATTACTACTACTACTTTTATTCGCTAATTTTCTCAGTTTCGGAATTTCTCCTCGTAAACTGTTCTTCCCTCGTCTCACTTCCGCGTGCATCGCCGCAATCGCCGCTCGGTTCGTTTCTACTTTCGCTCGTTCCGAGACGTCCGCGATGTCGTCCAGTCGTTCTTCGAGTTTACCCAGGAATTGTTCGAACGAACTATCGTGATGATGAGTAGTATTGCTCTCGTCATCATCTTCGTTACCATTATTACCACCGCTACTGCTAAACTTCCCCACATTCACGTTCTTATTCGTTTTTCGTTGTTGTTGTTGTCGTTTCATTCGTTCATCCGACGCAGTTCCATCATCGTTTTGGGGGAGATGATTTTGGTATTTTTTAAGCAAATGTTCCGTCCTGGAGAGTAAATCGTGCGCGTTGTTGTTACCACTACTCCCACCGAGGATGCCCATTATTATTGTTATTATTATTATTATTATTACGCTCGCGTTACGTCGCGCGTATCTTTTACTTCTGTTTTGCGGGAGAAAAAGCGCGGCGCGCGCAAAAAACACCAACCAAAAGTCAAAACTTCTTCAAACGGTTGGTTTGGTTTGTACCGTTTGTGTTGTTGTTCGTTGTGATGAAGAGGCAACTTTTTTTGAATCTCTGGCGCATTTTTTTTACTAAAACCCTAAATAGACATTTTGGTGATTCCAGTTTAAGAAGACCGCATTGTGCTCTTTTTTCATCAGAGAGCACACACGTACACACACACACAAAGAGACGACGTAAACGACGACGCTTAAAACAACGACAACAACAACAATGTTTGCCGCCGCGAGTTCGTTAACGACGACGACGATATCGTCAAAGTCGAGTTTAGGAGGATATCGGGGAAAAGAAGTTGTGCAAAAATCCCGATCCTCTATGATGAGAAGTACTGCTAGGAGAAACAATGTAAACGTCGTCGTCCGAGCTGAAGCGCAAAAGACCATCGACATGAACGAGGTGAGTTTTACTCTAAATATTGATTCTTTTGTTTTTGTCTCGCTTTTGTCTATATGTTGTTTTCCCTTTTGGGATGGAAACAATGGTTCATTTTTCTTCTTTCTCTTCTTCTGGATCCATCGTCCATCGTCGGCGGATGGGACGAAAGATATCGTCGTCAAAATGGATAAAATATCGGACATTCGAAGAGATTACTTTTTATAGACACACTTCCGTCGTGTTTTGCTGACAAAATCGCAACTTCTCTCTCTCTTTCTACTATAGTCTCGCACGTATTACTTTTGCATCGCGAACGCGGATTTTATGCTCAACGACGAAAACAACGAACACTTCCCGGAAATCTTGAGAGAACGAAGACGATTTTACCGAGAGACTGAGAAATTGCAAGACTTTTGGATCGTCCCGAACCCAACATTTTTGGACGCCATGCCGGAAATAAAGAAAAAAATTCGGCAACCGTGCGTGGCGGTGATGACCACGGACGAGGTGTGGAACACGTTTATTAAGTTAAGAATGGACCGAGTGTATAAAGGTTCCGTGGAAGGGACTGGAGCGGAGTTGTTGAAATCGAACGAGTTAATCGCCGCGGACGCGTTTCCGCCGGTGGACCCGGCCAAGTGGACGGCGCCGTATAACAAATACTCGCCCGGGTGGTGGGAAGTGTTTTACCCCGGGGCGGATTGGACGCAAGGGTACCAAGCGACGGTGAATCCGTTGGCAGAAGAGGGGGTTGAGCGCACTGGGGCGTAATTTTTTAGTAGAAAGACAGACAGACAGACAGAGACAGACAACGACAACGACAACATATAGAGTGCGCGCACACAAAAGCCATCGGAGAAGAACGGCGGAAGAAGAAGAACATCATCACAAATTTTTTATATTAGAAGAAATATCTTTATTATTATTAAAGAATGGATATAGAGTATCAAAGGTCCTCTTTCTTCTTCTTTCCCTTCTTTCCTTTCTTTTTCTTCTTCTTTCCGCTACTCTTTTGTTGTTGTTGTTTCTTTTCCTCCTCCTCTTTGACGCGCGCGGCTTCCGCTAATTCCTCTTCTTCCTTCTTTCTCTCTAACTCCGCAATCTCCGCTCTCGTCAAACCTAACGTAGCATCTTCGGTTTCTTCACCCATGATATCGTTCAAATCGAACTCTTCCTCGATCGGTTCCTCGGGTTCGTAATCGTTTTCGTCTTCGCTCTCGCCGCCGTCGATTATTTTCGGCACGTCTTGAATCATAAACGTTCTCGTTTTACCATTCAAGACTAACTCGCAGTGCCTAGCGAGCTCGCGAGGGTCAAAGGAACCACTCATGGTTGCGTACCTTCCTTTTCTGGGTTGTAAAACCGTCACGGTTGGTGAATTGTGCGGTAAAACGTCGAAGGCTTTTGCAAACGTTTTCTGGACAATCGGATCGACGACGATCCACGTGAACGGTCGTCCGCTCGTAAGTTTTGCCGCTTCAAACGCTCTTTCCATGCGATCTTCAAACATAGACTGCGAAGAAGAACTCGTCCCTGGAATAAACGCGATGGCGCACAAACCGCCTTTGGATTCGCACTCGTCCTCGAATTCCTTTTGCGTCGTGACGTGCGGCGGCGGCGTCACTTTTCCTGGAGACTTCGCCTCGTCTTTCCGCTTGATTTGATTTTTGGCTTCCAGCAACCATTGGCGAAGATAAATGTAATTCATCGGTCCAGGAAACGGCGCAGAGTTCATTTGGACGTTTCCAGACGCCTCTTGTTGCGGCGTGACCGCGGGATTAACGAACAATAATTGCACCGCGGGTAACTTTGGAATGTTGAACTTTTGCAAGTTCGGGTCGTTTTTATCATCGGCTTGGAAAAAACCGAAATGGAAATCGTCCTTGAAGTTTGCCGCTAATGTTTTATACATTCCGGGCGTCTCGTCCTTTTGAGAGAACAAAACGCACTTCGGTGTGAACGGATCCGTGGCTAAATACTGGTCCAAGTTGTCCTGGGTGATTCTTAAAACAACATCCGCCGTGTTTTCGTACATCCACGCTTTCAAATTCCCGTCGTTCACCGGATGGTCCTCGGAAACTTCAAACGGGTACGATTCTTCGTCCTCTTTGTTCTCACCGAACGGGTAATACATCAACGAGAAGCACTCGTCTTTGTTTGGAAACTTACTCAACGTTTGCGTTTCGGCAAGTTTTATCGCTTTCAAGATATCCTCGCCGTCTCGGTTCACGACGTATTCGTAAAGCTCCGCTTGGAATTGAAGCTTTGCAAACGCGTCGATGGCTTCGTTCACTTTAAGGCCACACTCGTCCGTTCGCTTGGTAAACATAACTACCACCGCTTCTTTCTTTTCTATCACGTCTTGTTCGAAATTTTTCGGTTTCTTTTCAATAAACAACGAAAAATCATCGTTGTTTTCCTCTTCTTCTTCTCCTTTTTTCTTCTCGTCTCCGCTTTTATCCTCGCCGTCGTCTTTCTTTTTACGAAGTACCTCCACTTCCAACTCTCCAACTTCTGGGCCTAAGTGCTTCTCCGCGAACGCAAACACCTCGTCTTTACTCATGCTCTCGCCGTCGAACAAGGTCGGTTTCTTCGTCAAATCTGCGTCTTTATACAACACCAACTTCACCGCGTCCTCTTCGTCTTCGTGCGCTTCCAACCCGGGAAGCACCGGCGTTGGTAACAAATCGTCCGTGGAAGAGTCGTACGTCAACTCAACCACGCGAATTCTGTTCTTATGGTTCCATGCCAACGATTTCAACATGAACGGGGTCTCGCTTTTGTCCGTCACGTACACCAGCGTCGGCATCTCGTCCGAAACGACGTTCTTTAACTCGTCCACGGAATCAATTCTCGCGACTTCATCGTCCGGTAAGTTCTTCACCGCAAACTCTCTCAACGCTCTCGCGGTCAACGCATCCCCTCGATACTCGTTGGACAATTTCTGCGCGATTTTTCTGTACGGGTTCCACGTCTTTTTCCCTCCGAAACCGACGATGGCCGGCACTCGCGATATTTGCATCGACCGTCCTAAATCTTCGTTCCCGGCGATATCAATCGCGCCAAACTTAATGTTCACCGACTCTAACGATAACGCGGCTCTACTGAACGCCGGTGCCATATCCTTGCACGGTTGGCACCCGGGGGCGATGAATTGCACCACCCACACGTCTCTCGTCTCCAAAACTTTCTCCTTGAACTCTTCCGAGGACTGGAAACCAAACACGCCTGAGTTGTTTGGGTCGTACAAAGTTCTCACTTCCATGTGAAACACGTTGTTCTCTTTAGCAGATTCTTCTTCTTCTTCTTCTTCGTCGTAGTCATCGTCATCATCATCATCATCCGTTTTGGCGGCTGAAGCGAACATAAAACCCCCGGTTGTTGTTCCTTGGCTTTGTTTTCGTTTCATCAGAAACGCCGATTCATTTTCATAATTCGGCGGCATCAACATCATCATCATCATCATCATCGCGAAAAGGAGGAGAACAAACGACAACCGCAGCGAAAAACGACGAGAATTATTCATCGCCATCATCGTGCTTTTCTTCTTTTTCTTTTTCTTTGTTGTTTTTCTTGCTGCTGCTGCTGTTCTCATCATCCTCCTGTAATGTTAAAAGTTTGTTACGCTAAAAATGAGGAACGATGATGAGTTCGAGAGCAAACAAAATGTTGTTTTTTTTCTCAGTCAAAAGCGCGTCTGTCTCGGCGAATGAAAATCTCTTGTTTTTTTTCCTTGTTTTTTTGCAATTTTTTCGATCAATCGATCTCCTTTTGGTGAAGAAAATCTCTCTTCTTTTTTTTTGTAGAGAGCATACTGTGGAGCCAGCCTTCTTTTGGAGCTTTCAACTACGAATCCTTCATAAACACACACGTACAAAAAATAATTTAATAATAACAAACATGTCTGCTGCTTTGACTTCATCCACGTTCGTTGGCGCGAAAGTTTCCGTCGCGAAAACTACCACCGCGTCCAAGAGAGTCGCGTTCTCCGTTCAAGCGAACGCGAGCGGACCGAAGAAGGTACGAATTCCGATTTCGTTTTTTTTTTTTTGTGCGCTTAAAAAATCATCATCGTCGCTCGTTTCAGGCGGGTGGTGGTGCGTCCAAATTTTGCATTTCGTCCAACGAGAAAGTGAGATTGCGCACGATTTTTCTCCGAAACGTCGATGAAGCGGTCGTGTGCGAGTTTTGGAAACGATCGATGCGCGTGTATTCCGATGCGAAAGTTCACTTCGAACGCAATTACGCGCTTTTTTGAGCGTTTCAACCTTCGCGCGTCGCCGTTCCACGACGCGCGACCGATTTCGAATTTTATTTTATTTTCTTCGTTTGTTTATTTGATACGCTCCGCTTCGTCCGTCGTCTTATCGAGGAGGATCGATTTTACGTTCGAAGAAGCCGTCCAAAAGACAACGAAATCTGTTTTGCCTCTTTCTTGAGGGAAAAAACGAAAAATAAAATATCGCTTTGTTGTTGTGTGTCTGCTTTGAGCAACAACATTAACAACAACAATAACTGACAAAATCGATGATATCTTCTCCTCTTTACATCACAACAGGGTACCAAATCCAAGGGTGGCCAAGCCGGTGTCGGCTACAAGGGTTCCACCGAAGCCGGTTCCGCCCCGAAGAGACGCGACGGTAAGGCTGGCTACGTCTACTCCTTGGGCGTCCGCAACGGCAAGGCGAACGTCGACGAATACTCCCCGATCTACTCACCGGAAGAATTCAAGACGGACGGCGACAAGTACGAAGGTAACTTGCTGTACTGGGCGGCTACGCTCGCCGGTATCATCGGTTCCGGTGCGCTCGCCATCTACTTGACTTCCGCCTTGTAAAAAGTTTGAAAGAGAGAAAGGAAGGAGAGGAGAAAATTTTTGTAGAACAAAGTGTTTTAGCAAACAGGAATAAAAGAGAGAGAGAAGGAGAAGAGAGAGAAGAAAGGAGAGGAGAGAGAGTGGAGGACGAGAGAAAGAGAGAGTCATCATTTGGCGTTCAACACACGCGCTTGATATTTTTGTCTTAGTTTTAGTTGATTTTGTAAAGAAGAAGAAACGAGACGATATTATTGTGTTGATTATATCACGCAACAACCAATAACAACGGGTAAAAAAGAAAGACACATTCATTCGCCGTCGTCGTTTTTGAAACAATTTTGTTCGTTGCGTTTGTTTTTTATTGACAATAAAAAACTAGTATATGCTTCTTTCTCGTCCTACAAAATCGTCTTCGCGTCGTGTGTTGTATTGATGTTGATCTTCTCGTTGTTGTTGTTTTTCGTTTTGTTTTGCTCTACTAAATGTTGTTGTTGTTGTTATATATATATAAAAATACTCTGTTTTATTGTTTTATTGTTGCTGTTGTTCATCGAAGATCACGCTTGCTCTCCGCTGCTCCCGTTTCCAAGAGTTTCTTTAATCTGCGCGGCGTGTTTTTCCATACCACTCACCATGCCTTCTCCTCCAAACTCCTTCATCGCTTCTCTCTGTTCTTCGATGTTGATCGTTTGTTTTGTCTCCGCTTGTAACTCCGCTCTAGCCGCCGCCCTCGCTTTCTCTCGTTCCTCTTCCTCGGCTCGGATCTTCGCTTCTTCTTCGTCCTTTTGCTTTTGGATCTTTTCTTGCTCTTCCTTCTCCTTTTGCGCTTGCTCGTTTTTCACCTTTTGTTCGGCTTCGGCGATTTCTTTTTCGCGCTTCTCAATCTCTGCGTTTCGATTCGCTTCAATGTCTTTCTTTTGCGTCGCCGCGGCTTCAAAATCGGACCACAAATCATCTGGAACGGCATCGACGGCTTCCGTGGGCGCGCTCGCGTCCGCCGCAGGTGCACCCGCGGCGGCGCCCGTGTTTGCTGTGTCGTCCTTCTTGTTGAGATCGGACCAACCTTCTGGATTTTGCACCGCCGCGACGGGTTGCTTTTGGTCGCGTTTGATGCCCAACTCATCCACGGCGGGTTGTAAGAGCTGATTCGTCGACTGTTCGACTCGAGAGACTGGTCGGACGTTGGAAGTCCCATCGTCGTTCCCGCCACTGCCGGCGGCTTTGTTGCCCTTCTCGGGATTCGAGTCGCCGCCTTCCGAAGACGAAGAATCGGAATCGGAATCGGAATCGGAATCGGATGAGTCCGAGTTTGCGGGTTTCTCACCAGAAGCACCCGCTACAGTCGCCAAATCAGTGTTCGACGCTTTCCTCCTCGGATTATTCTTCAAGTTCGCTTCGCACGCTTCGAGTTCACGCATGGCTGCCGCTTCTCGCGCCTTGGCTTCCTTCACCAAATCCATAGCCGACGCCGACTTTTTGCTCTTCTTCGGTCTCAACTGCGAATCGCAGTACCTTTGAAGTCTCCAAAGCGTTTTCGAATCGAGTTCTTCGATGTTGATTTCAATCTCGTCGCCCTCGGCTTTGCCCATCGCTGCTTGCCCTTCTTGAACAATAGTAATCACCATCTCTTGCTTGCTCTCTGGAAGCTCTTGCAACGACATCGTCAACGCGTGCTTCTCATCAAACGTCATCTCTCTCGTCGGTAACGGCTCTTGATCGAGCTCAATGTACTTGCGATCTTTCGTAACTTTGCTTTGTGGAGTCGCGCGTTGTCGTTTGGCTTTCGGTTGACCGCTGCCACTTCCGACCGGGCGACCTCTTGGTTTACCAGTTGCTTTACCTCGACTCGCGGCGGCATACTCCTCCGGATCGTCGTCGTACATGTTCGCGTCAAAGTCGTCGTCTAAGAATCCGTCCATATCGCGCTCTCGAGGGGCGTATCCGCCACCACCACCCTTTTGTCTTCTCAACTCTGCCAATTCACGTTTCATTTCCGCGAGTAACTTGGCCTGCTCTTCCGCGAAAACCTCTTCTTGTCTGATCGGATCCTCCGGCGTGTTTGCGATTTCAATATCCTCCTTCGTGCGGATGTCCTCCTCGTCGCTCATTTTCTGTTCAACGTTGTATTTCACCCACCCTTCTTCGAACGCGCCGCGGACTGTTTCACCCATTTGTCCAGCATCCGTAGTCGTCCCATTATACAAGGCACAGTTATCGAAAATCAATCGCATGTCGTCCGCAAAGTCGGTCGGCCACGTGTACTTCTTCCCATCCAACTTCTCTTTCACTTTACCGAGATCCATCGGGTTCTTCACGATCTCGTAATAATCAGGGATGCCAAGCTTTACCGCGTCAACGGGTTGCGTGAAAATCCAGTGGAATTTGTTTCTTTTCACGTGGTTCAAAACGTCTCTGCACGATTTGATCAACACGTTTCTCCTCTTTTGTCGTTCGTCCTCAATTTGCGCTTCTCTCAACATCCGTCGATTCTTAATGATGCGCCCATCGCGCATTCTCTTGTGCGAGCGGTCAGAACCGAGACTCATGCTTGCCGGCTTCACCGTTCTGTTCGCGTATGGGTCCGGTCTTCTCGCGCTGTACGCATCCGGCGGCGGTAACATGTCGTTGAACATGTTATCGTACTGGTTGAACACGCCGCCGCTCGCTCGTAACTGTTCTTGTTTTCTCTCCGCCGCTTCTTTCTTCTGCCTCTCGACTTCCTCGACTCTTCTCTTTGCATTTGCAATCTCCTCCAATTTCTTTTTCAACTCTTGTTTTGCTAATTCTTTTTCTCTTTTTTTCATCGCTTTTCGTTGTTTTTTCCTCTCCGCTAACTCTTCCTCCGTGCACTCTTCGTCCGTCTTATCGCCACCGGCTAATGGAATCTCCAACACCGGCGTCGCGATAATCGACTCGACTTTTTGAAGGATGGCAGGATCCACTTCTTGCTTTGCCGGTGGTTCAGGAGGCGCAGACTGTTCCGGTTTCGGAACTGGCGCGACTGGTGCGACTGGCGCGGCGGCGGCGTGTCCTCCTCCTCCCGAGTACGGCTCCGCAACTTTGTGTCGATCGAAAATCCCAGACCGCCACGACATCGGGTCAACGCCCCCATTCATCATCGACCCGTGACTTTTCTTCCTCCCTTTCATCTCTTGCCAGTTCTCTTTAAACTGCTCAAACTCGCTCGATTTAATAAAGGCAAAACCTTTCGGGCACCTCAAGGCGAGCGTTCTCGAGAGCAAAAGTTCACCTTTTTCAGCCGGTCTCGCGCCGCTCGGGTAGTACTCCTCGTCGTCCTCGTCTCCTAATTCCATTTTCTCCGCCGCGACTCCCGCGTCTTCTTTCTCTTTCTCTTCCTGCGCGGCTTTCTCCGCCGGTCGGACGCCCCCGTTTCGCGTCATTTTTTTATTGTCTTTTTTCTCTTCTTTTCACTTCTTCTTCTTCTTCCTCTCGCGAAAGCTTCTTCTTCTCGAGTCGACGAATTTCTTCTTCTTCTCCTTCGCTTTGTTGTTGTTGTTGTTGTAGCTCCTCTTCGCTTTTAATACTACTCTGTTGAGAAAGAAATAAAAAAGATTCGTTTCGTCGTCAGCGTCGTCTCTTCGCGTTGTGCTAATCGCGCGCGCTTCAAAGCGCAGAGGAATTCGAGAGAGAGAAGGATGTGATCCTGATGTGACTAATCGAATCGACGTAATTCTCTCTCTCTTTCTGACGACGTGAACGAAGATAACAAAGACGGCAGTAAAGTTGCTCGTCAAACAATACTCTCCTCCTCCCAAAGCGTGTCGTTTAAAACGTACCTTTCTTAAAGTTTCTGTGCGTGTTAAAGTGTTAAAGTGTGTGTGTGTGTGTTAAATGCGCGCGCCGGCCGCACAATTATACAAGAGGAAAATCTTTCAATTTTGCGGCTGCCTCTTCGCAAGAAAAGAAAAAAAGAAGGAGACAAACGAAAGAAAGAAAATTCAATGCATGGAAAGATGACGACGGCAAACAGGAAGTAAAAACGTGTCGTAAAATCAACATCAACAAACACTCTTTATTATTTTCAAAATGTCTACGAGCACTAAAAGCTACTTACTACTCTTCGTCGTCGCCGCCACGAGTACTACTACTACTGCTACTACTACTACTCGAATAAGAAGAAGACAAAGACAAAGAACACGAGGGCGGATCCGCGCTTTTCTTTCCCAAACAAACGCTCATGTGCCCGCCGTGTTCTAACATTCTCAAAAACACCGCTTGGAAGCCGAACGAGTGCGCCGCTTCCACGCCTTTGACTTTGTCGTGGTAGTGGTACGGGGTCGATGGGTCGGGTTCGATGCCAAAACCGTATAAATCGACGGATTCGCAGGTGAGCATGGCAAAATATAAACCTTCCACGCCAGTTGGTGGGGAGTTGCGGCCTTTGACCGAGACGGCTTTGAGGTCGGCGAACGCGAGGTACGCTTTTTTGTATTGGCCTCGCGCGGCGCCGGCGAATTCAGGCGCCATGAAGTAAATTTTTTCCTCGCTGCCCCATTTTTTGTACAGAGCGTCCATGCTTTTTGCCGCACCAGCACCGAAGAGGAGCAACGCGTCTTCGGACGCACCTCTTGGTTTCCGTCGCAACCACGTTCGGGTCCACGCGTTGTTGATAACTCTGAAGGTGGTTTTCGAGCCGACTTTGTTTTCGAAACCGACGGTTGGACCGTCGTTGAAACGGAAAACGGCGTCGCGCGCGTCGATGGCCTCACCGTAATTGGCGTTTAAGTTGCTGCCACCGTTTCCCACGACCGCGCAGGATTTGAACTGTTTTTCGCGTAAATCTTCCGCCGGTAACACTTCTGGATTGTTCTTGCCGCTCGGATGGTACTTGTTACCATTTTGCGCCTTTGTCACTAAAATTCTCTTCACGTTTGCTTTCTTCCATTCCGGCGTTTTCGGTATCCACAACTGTGGGAGAACGATATCGAACGACTCTTTCAGTTTCTTCAAGTTCATGGCTTCTTTGGCTGCCGCGCCAACGCGATGGTCTGCGGTCGGGAGGAACGTATTGCCACCGGCGCTCGAGTCGGCGCTCTCGTCCTCGCCGCCGGTATCGTCCCCTTCCTCGTCGTTCGCGCTACCACCACCAAAACTATTACTACTAGAACTACTACTTCCTTTAGAAGATGATCGCGAACGGCTTCTTCTTCGTCCTTTTCGTGCCGTTCCCACGACGCCGGCGGTGGTCGCTTCTTCTCCTTCTTCGTCTACGTTGTTGTTGTTGTTGTTGTTCAACTCTTCCTCTTCCTCCTTCTCATGCGACGACGAGGAAGAGGAGGAAGAGGAGATGTCTGCTGAAACGCGCATCGTTGTATCCTCCTCTCGAGTCGTAGTCGCTTCTCTCCCCCACTTCGACGACGACGACGACGCAAAACTTCCAAACAATCGCACACCCAACGCGAATACTCCATTTTCATCATCGTCGTTGATGAGAAACTCTTTGACGATAAAGACGAAAAGCGAGACGCACAGAAGGAGTCTGCACGCGCGATAATACGAAGATTTTCTTTTATTGATTCTCCTCGACGACCCAGTTTTTGCTTCTCTTCTGGGAACGGAGAGGCCCATTCCTTCTTCTTTGTCTTTGTCTTCTTCTTCGTAAATGCGCGAAGTGTTTTTGTGTGGTTTGTGTGAGAAATCATGATTTTAAAATATTACACTTTCGAAATTTTCATCATCATCATCATCATCATCACAACATCTGATCGTACTTGGTGTTATCCTCGTCGTATTCCGCGCGCTTCTTTTTATCGCTGAGAATAGAAAACGCGAACGCGATTTGCTTGAACCTCGTTTCCGCCTGTTGGAGTTTCGCGGCTTCGTCTTTCGAGTGGTGTTGTTTGTCCGGATGCCACTTCATGGCTTGCGTTTTGTACGCTTTGGCTATTTGTTTCGGACGAGCGGTTTGTCGACAGTCGAGGAGTTGATAAAGTTTTGGGGTTTTGGATGATTCACCGATATCGTCATCTTTATCGTTGTCGTCGTCGTCGTTCAAATCGACGTCGGAGCCGTAGCGTCCTTTTTTCTTGCCCGGCGTTTTTCTGTTCATGGCGGAAACGAGCTTGGCCAACTTTTGCACTTTTCGAGCGATGATCGGATCCTCCGGTGATAGCATTTGCGCTAAACGGATAGACTCGAACGCTTTCATACGTTTGTTGCCTAAGAGATAGATATCGTGCGAAATGACGTGCGCTTCAACGTTGTTGGCGTGTAAGAGTAACGCCTCCTTGGCACTTTTCAACGCCGTCTTTGCCAGTCGATTACGGTCGAGTTTTTCTCGGTTTGTTTCTCCGGCATTCGTCGATGAATACTCGAATCCACGTTCATTCAGAACAGTAGAGGATGATTCTGAATCCGAACCCGAGGAGAACGCGTCGTCTTCTTCGCTGCCACTACTCGTTCCGGAGGAAGCGCCCCGCGAATACGTTAAGATTCCTACCAGACTGGACGCGCGAGCGACGAGAATATTCGCGCGAAACCGCGTCGGTTGTCGACCCATGGATAGTTGTTCCAGGACATAATCGCACTTTTCCACGCACAACTGATACTCCTCTTGATCTGATAAACTTTCGATGGATTCTGAAATCGTTTCGAGTTCTCTCAATCGGTTCGCGAGCGTCTTGCATTTTTGCGAGTGTTTCAAAAGTTCTTCGTCGCACTCGTGCTCTAAGCTCGATGCTTCTAAACATCTCAACGCACCGCTCACGTCGTTTACTCTCCACTTACACTCGGCGAGAAGGTACAAACGATCGATAGAGTCTCTGGGAAGTTTGTTTTCGCACTCGTCCAAGGCGAGTAAGACGCGTTGACACTTGATGCAATTTTCCACGTACTCAAATCGCGCGTTATTCTCAAAAGGAGACGTCGAAGTCGTTAGAATTTGTCTCAACATTTCCTCGCTTGCGATTAAGTTCTCCGCGTTCTTTTCTGCGTTTCTTTTCAAAAATTCCGCTTCGTCAAAGAGAGGTTTTCTTAGTTCGCCTTTGCGCGTCGCCTCGTTCTGCTTATTCGCGCGTTCCGTTTTACTCTTCAAAAGTGCCCTGGCCTCTTCTCGTCCTTTCGTAGCTTCCGCGTGCGTCTGATCGATGTGTCGTAAAATAAACTCGTACATTTCTATCGCTTTCGTTTCGTTATTTAACTTCATTTGCGCCTTGGCGCCTCTCGTCAAAGCCTTCTCGTATTTCGGGTCGAGTTTCAGAGCGTTGTCGCAATCCTCCGCGGCGATGACGTATCGTTCCAACTTCAACGCACAAAACGCCCTGTTTGCGAAGTATACCGCTTTCTTCGGTTCTAATCTGATCGCCTCCGTGTACGCCTCGAACGCGTGTTCGTGATCTTCGCGTCTTTGATTTTTAGTACCATTTTTCCTTTCCTTTGCCGTTTTCAAACATTTCGAACCGAGATCGTTCGCCTCGTCCGCTTTCTTCTCGTCGTACTCTCCGTCCTTCCACCACTCTTTTTTCGCGTCGCGATCGATCACCGAAGAAGTCTTTTCAAAAGTTTTTTCTTCTTCTTCCTTCTCCTTCCCCGCGATCTCGGCCAACTCCACGGTTAACTTTCGCATCTGTTTCAACATGCGTTGCACCTGGGGAGTGTCAAACGTGCCCACTTTTTTCGCCTGAAATACGAAATCTTTATACTTTTCCATCCTGTATATTTCTCCAGCTTCGATCGGGTCCATCGGACATAAACTGTCCACGATCATTTTCACGAGAATGTTCTCGCTCTCGTTTTCAACTTCGTCGTCGTCGTCAAAGTAGTGTGTTGTTGTGGTAAAATAGAAGAAGAAGAAGAAGAAAACAATGATGAGAGAAAGAAAGAAAGAAATTAAGTAGAAGAAAAAAGTCAAAGACGAAGAGTGACAAGAAAAAAAAAGGGAGAAAAAGAGAAGCGTTTTTTTTTAATCGAAAAGAAGACAAAAAAAGAGAAATTTTCTTCGGAAAAGTCTTAAAATTCAGAAGAAATCTTAACTGCCCCCTTCCGTAAATAATTCAGCAACGATGCGCGCAGCAGCAGCAACATCAGCAGCAGCAACAACAGCGACAAGACAGAATCATCATCATCGTCAGACGAATAAGAAGAACAGATCGAACGATCGCAAAATACTCCTCAGATCATCTGTTCTTCTCAGTCAACGAGGGGGAAAAGCGAATTCATTTTCATCAAATTCGTTTTCGACGGCGGCTTTTAAGAGAGATGATGAGAAGAGGAGAACCTTTTCGCCGGTGATGGCGGCAGCAGAAGGAGGATCATCAGCGAGAGACCAACAAAATACGAAGAAATCGTCGGCGAAAGAAACCGGCGTGGACGTGTGGCCGTCCGGTGAAGCGCACGATCACATGACGTTTTGCGTTTTTGGCGCCTCTGGTGATCTCGCGAAGAAGAAAATCTACCCTTCGCTTCTCGCGTTATTTTACGAAGGGAGACTGCCAAAGTCGTTTTCGGTGTTCGGGTACGCGCGATCGAAAATGACCTCGGAGGAGTTTCGCGAGAGAATACGAATGAGTTTAGGATGCAGAATAGACGCGAAAGAGAACTGCGATGAATTTATGGAGGAGTTTTTGAAGCGGTGCGAGTACGTGCACGGGAACTATGACGAAGGCGCGGATTTCGAAAAGTTAGATCAAGAGATGTTGAAGACGGAAGAGGGGAAGAAAGCGATGAGAGTGTTTTATTTATCCATTCCGCCGTCGATTTTTGTACCGGTGGCGCAAATGAGTTCCAGATACGTGCAATCGAAAACCGGGGAAACGAGAGTGATCGTGGAGAAGCCGTTTGGGAGAGATTTGGAAAGTTCGAGAGCTTTGACGAAAGCTTTAGCCGCGGAGTTGAGCGAAAAGCAAACGTACAGAATCGATCACTACCTAGGGAAGGAGTTGATTGAAAACTTGACCGTTTTGAGGTTTTCGAACATTATGTTTCAACCGTTGTGGAATAGAAATTACATTCGCAACGTGCAGATTAATTTTTCGGAGAATTTTGGTACCGAAGGCAGGGGCGGCTATTTCGATAACTACGGCATCATTCGAGATATCATGCAAAACCACTTGTTACAGATTATGGCGTTGTTTGCGATGGAAGAACCGGCATCGTTGGACGCGGAGGATATTCGCGACGAAAAAGTTAAAGTAATTCGATCGATTCGGGATATCGATATCGACAACGTCGTTCTGGGACAATACAAAGGGAAAACGAGCGGCTCGAACGTGTTTCCTGCGTATTTGGACGACGAAACCGTTCCGAAAGGTTCCAATTGTGCCACGTTCGCGGCGATCGCATTATTCATCGATAACGCGAGATGGGACGGCGTCCCGTTTTTGATGAAAGCGGGAAAAGCTTTACACAAGAGAGGGTGCGAAATTCGAATCCAGTTTCGACACGCGCCGGGGAACATTTACGCCGATAAGAAATCGAAACCAATCTCGAGAGGCGGCGGAGGCACCGCGGGAGACTCTTCCAACGCGCAGTGCAACGAATTGGTCATTCGTATTCAACCAGATGAGGCTATTTACTTGAAAATTAACAACAAAGTTCCAGGTTTAGGGCACAAAATGGACCGATCGATTTTAGATTTGACGTACAAATCGAAATACTCCGTCGGCGAGTTACCGGACGCTTACGAACGTCTCATCTTGGATGTCATTCACGGCGATAAGAGATTGTTCATCCGTAACGACGAGTTAGAAGCCGCGTGGAAATTGTTCACACCGTTGCTTGAAACCATCGAATCCGAAAATATCCCGCCAGAGTTGTACCCGTACGGTTCCAGAGGTCCGATCGGCGCGCACTATTTGGCCAGTCGCTGGAACGTTCGATGGGGCGATACCAACTAATACTACGAGGTATGTATGATGAAAAAAAATGAATACATACACGAGAGAGAGAGAGAGAAAGAGAGAGAGATGTTATCACAACATTGTCACACCGCGCCGTTGCTTTTACTATTATTATTACTACTACTACTATGTTATAAATGATACGTGTTTTAAAAATGAAACTGCTCTACTCTGACGTTTCGTATTGTCACACCAACGCAGTGAAAAAGAAGAGCAAAATTGGACCTTTTACGGCACTTTCTCACCCACTTGAGATACACCCACTTTCCGAAAGAACAGAGAAGAGAATGTCTTTTTGCCGCTGCCCCCGATCATCGTCGAACAAACGCCAAATCTCCTTCTTCCTCGTGATTGTTGTCTTTTTCCTCTCTCTTCATTCTTCTTTCGCGCAAGAGTTTGAGGATAAAGAGAAACTCATGGACGAACTCGATCGCTTGAAAACATTCACGGAGACGAGAATAAAAAACAAAGAGACGGTTTTACAGGCGAAAAAAGACGCCTGGGACAGAGAGGAGAAGTTGGATAAGAGTTTGGACGGGTTAGAGTTGGAGGATAAGCTGGAGAGGCAGTTTGAGGCGGATTTAGAGCAAGTGAAAGAGCTCGGAGGCGTGGTTAACCGACGGATGCTCAAAGAAGCTTATTAGATAGATAGAGAAGAAGAAAAAGAAGAAGATAAAGAAGACAAAGAAGACAAAGAAGAAGAAGAGAGCAGAAGTTGATCACGTGGTATTGTTAGTGTTGATGATGATGCTCTGTGATTATTAATATTACTCTTTTTCTTCTTCTTCTTCTTCTAATATTATATGTGTTTACGTAAAATCAGTTGATCTCGTACAGAACCTTCCCTCGACTTTTACCAGCTTCCAAATAGTCGTGACCTTCTTTCGCTTGATCCAACGGAAAGCATCTGTCCACCGCCACCTTCAACTCACCCGATTTAATCCAACCGAAAATATCGTTCGCTCTCCACATCAACTCCTCTCTCGTTTGCGTGTAGTCGTTCAATTTTGGTCGCGTTAAAAACGCTGATTTGTTGATTAACTTCAACGGCGGAAAGGCCGGGACGGCACCGGAAGCGTTGCCGAAAGAGACAAAGATGCCTTTGGTGGCCAAGACTTCAATCGAGGTTTCCCAAGTCGCTAACCCGATCCCGTCAATGACGCACTTCACGCCTTGCCCGTTTGTGATTTCCATAACTTTTGGGACTAAATCCACCGAGGAGTAGTCTTCGTACGAAGTCCCGGGTGCTTCGTCGTAGACAATCAACTCATCCACGCCAGTACCTTTGGCAATATCCACCTTAGACTTAGAGCACGTGCCGATGACTTTATAGCCTCTTAACTTTGCCATTTGCGCGGCCCATTGGCAGGTCCCGGAACCGGTGCCGTGGATGAGCATCCACTCGCCCGGTTTGATCAACTGCGCGTGCGCGGAGTGGGTCAAGTAATGCGCCGTCATGCCTTGTACCCCGCATGAAACGGCCACATCTAACGGAATCTCTTCAGGGACGGTAACAACCTTATGCGCTGGAACCGCGGTGTACTCCGCGTACGTTTGAAACACCGAAGAATACGCCACTCTGTCGCCGACTTTCACGCCTTGCGCTTCCGCCTCCGGCGACGTCGCCGCGACGAAACCGCCGCCTTCTTGGCCGCCAATAAAAGGTAAGTCTCTCTTATACAAACCCGAACGGTGATAGGTGTCGATGAAGTTAATCCCGGAGAATTTGTTCTTGATCAACACCGACCCCGGGTTCAGCTTTGGCGTCGGGTAATCTTTCTCGATTTTCATCACCGAGGACGGTCCGGTTTCGCGAATCACCGCAGCCGTCTGTTTTATTTTATTGTATTGGAGAGAGAGAAAGTTAATAAAACGATACGTGTGTTCATTTGCGCGCGTGTGAATGAATCCTCGTCATCCTCGTCGTCAAATTCGTTTAGCGAGAGAGCCGCAACAGCAACAGCAGCAGCAGCAGCAGCAGCAGCAGCAGCAGCAGCGAGAGAGAGAGAGAGAGAGAGGCGGCGAAGAGATGATGAGAGACCTTTTAGAAACGAACTTTTTCCCGAGCGCAGAGGTAAAACAATAAAACAATACGAGACGACAAAAAACGACAACCACTCACCATGACGTTCGGAACGGACGAATAAGAACACGTTAACTTGCCGCCACAATTCGCAAATGCGAGCGAATTCAACGCCGCCCGGGAGCCTCTTCGTAAGATGGAGTGGTATGCAACCATTTTATTTTTATTTTTCTGTCGTTTTCGAAGAGGTGGATAAGAAGCCGTCAAAACTCTTTTTCAGTCATTTTTTGAAGGAAAAAAAAAGTGCAAAATTTTCAATCGTCTTTTTTCTGGCATCTCTCTACACTATTATTTTATACGGTACGCAAGCGCTAACTAATAATCTATCATCTATCGTCACTACTCTTTCTATTCTATTCTATTCTGTTCTCTTTTTACTCGTGGTGGTAAAAAACATTTATTTGTCTTCTGTTATTGTTTGAACAAAACTTCATCCAACCAAGACGTTTCGACGAGCGATACACGTTTCTTTGATTTCGTCGAAGCGGAGGAGCCGAGCGAGAAGACGACGCTGGATTTCGACTCGTATTCTGCGCGCATTTTACGCGCGAGCACGTCGTCGGTGTCGTGGACTATTCGAGCACCGAATGAAGAGACGGCTTTAGTATTTTTGTCGTCTTGGGAAAGTTCTTTTGTCGTGGTTGTTTCGCCGAAGCTTTTGAAAGACCGGCGATTTGCTTCTTTTTTATTCGTCTCGGGAACGATGACTTCGTCCGGTTGGTTTTCTTCTCGTCGAAGGACGAACGCTGGGAACCCACTCGGGACTCGCGCGTTGATCGAACCTTCGTTGTTCGTGTATACTTGAACGTTCGTGACTCTCGGGGCGAAATGTATGGATATATCACCACCATTATCGCTTCCTTGACTTCGCGCGTCAATCGTCACTTCCGCGTCTTCGTCCCCGCATTCCACGTTTTCTAACGATATGTCACCACCGTTCGTGATGCATTTGGTATTCCCACTCGCGCGAAAATTCTTCTTCGAGCGTATCTCGCCTTTCTTCGTGTGCAACTCGCAATCGTGCACGAAAACGGAATCAATGTGAATGTTACCACCCGTTCCGGCGTCTATTCGCAAATCGTTCGCTACCACTCTCTTGGCAATCACGTCGCCGCCGTTCGTTTTAATCGACGCGTTCGCTTGTATCGTTTCGCATAAGACATCACCGTTTAACGTTTCCACGTTCACGTACGCACCTTTGACGCTCTTTAAGAATTGCACGCATGCCGGCGGCGATGATGATGATGCCAATGGCGCATCGTCCGTTCCATCCTCGTCGGTTTTGTCGTCGTCCTCGTCCACCACCGTCACGTCCACGCTCGCCTCGGCGATATTCGCGTTCACCGTCAACGAACTCTTCTTCCCCATCAGCACGTCTAAGGATACAAATCGAGGTGGAATTTTGCACTCGATGACACACACCTCGTTGTTATTGTTGTTATTGTTGTTGTCTTCGTCTTCTCCTTCGATGTCTGAGACGGTGTATGCGTACACGTCTCCGTTCTCGAGCTTTTCCGCCTTTAGTCGTAATCGCCCACCACTCCCACCGCCTTCATTTCTGCTCGACGAAGATGAAGAAGATAAAGAAGAAGACAAAAAAGAAGAAATCTCCACGCGTTCGTCGCCGGGGTCTACATTTCGAACCACTATTTTCTTCCCTCCGTGTAAATCCATCACGCGTAAGGTTTTGCCGACGGCGATTGGAAATTCGAATTTTTTTTCAACGTTGTTGTTGTTGTTGTTCAAGGATGATGATGATGAGAACGGTGCGAACGACGTACACGTAAACGACGGTAGGACCATCATCGCGCTTCTCACGATCGTCGTCTGTACGCAAGAACGCCGAGGCAGCAAAATCTGCCGCGGCATTGTTCTCTTTTGTGTGTGCGTGTATTCGTATGAAGAAGAGTTCGTTATTTTTTGTTTCGTTTGATGATGATACACTGTGCTCTCTCTAAAAATGTGGGTTTTTTAATCTTGATGAAGGTGTCTCTGTGGGTTGTTGTTGTCGTTGTTCTGTTCGTTTTGAAGCCGCTGCTGTTGTTGTTGTTGCAAATTTGGAACTCTCCACGCCGGGAACAACGAAGCCAAAAAGGAATAGGCGAATATTTTCAACTCGCCGAACCAACTTTGCGGCATAGCGTCGGTATATCCCGCGACATGCGGCGGTCGTCGGTAGCGTTGACGACGTCCGTTCCTGATGTTATTTCTATTGTTATTGTTGTCATTCCCTTCGTCTCTCGCGTTGTTGTTGTTGTTGTTGTTGTTCGCTCGAGCGTCTGCCCCACCTCCTTGTTGCGCTTCGTTTTCGGGAGGTAAATAGGCGCCAAAGAGAGCGTCCCAAACGGATTCTAAAACGCCGGTTTGGTACAAGTATCCGATGACCGCCGCCGTGATGTACATGGCCATTTTCTTCCTCGACGCGTCTTGACAAGCGAATGCGGTGATTAAAATGAGCTTGAACATGAGTTTCAAGTCGATTCGAAACTGGATGACTCGAATTACTTCGACAATTTCTTCGCCGTCCTCACCTCTTCGAACGATGCGTTGATACGGTTGATTCGGATCGAAATCGATGTCTGGATTGTTGTTGTTGTTATTCGCCCGGGCCAGCGCTGCTCCTAATGCTTCGGCTCCTTGCGGCACGTTTGGGGCAGCATCTGCCGTTGCTCCTGCGACGTTAGTGCCACTCGCACCGCTTCCTCCTATTTGGCTCGTCACATTTTCTTGCCGTTGAAAAAATGTTGATTGTTCGAGAGCGGCGTTCGTTTGCACGTACGCCAATCCCGGCGATCTAGGAATTACCGTCGCGTTCGGTCGCAAGCTCCTAAACGCCGCATTATAAGCCGCATTGTACGCATTTATCACCATTGGTGAAACCATCACCGCGCCTGGCGGTGGAGATTGTTGTACTTGTTGTTGTTGTTGTTGTTGTTGTGGCGTCGAGGTTGCGTTCGGTTGCGCGCTCGCCAAAACGTTCCTATCGACGTTACTACTCCTACTCCTATTATCGTCACTCGTCTCTCTCGCCTCCAATCTCCTCTTCTCTCTCTCTTCTCTCTCGCGTTCCAGTTCTCGATTTGATTTTCTCACGATCATGTGCACAATCTTCACTTCGTCTTCGTCGTCTTCTTTTCTTTCGTTTCCTCGTCTTCTTTCCTCGTCTACTACATCCTCCTCGTCGCTGCTGCTCAGATATCTCAGTTTCTCTCGGTTCAACCCCAGCGCGTTTTCCAACGTCTCCTCGTCTTCTTTTAAAACTTTGCCTTGGTACAAAAAACAGATGTATTTCGGATTGGTTGGTTTATGTAAAGAAGACGATGATATTAAGCGTTTGCTCGCGTCAACTTTCAAGTCTTTCACCGTTTTCTTCGCGTCGATTCTGATTTTTCTTTTTTTCTTCTCACCAAAATCGTCCGTTTCTCTCGAATCATCATCGAATAACAACTCGGCGTCGCTTTTGATTTCCACGGTCACGTACCGCACACTACTCTCGTTCTCTCCTCCTCCTCGTTCTTCTTCTTCTTCTTCTTCTTCTTCGAAAAGCTGCGCCTCTTCAATTTCCATCTTTCTTCTTCTTCTTTCTCGTGTCGTCAATCAACTGCTGCGTGTGTAGAAATGAAATGAATGAAGAAAGAAGAAGAACACACAAAAAAGGAAAGTTTTTTCGTGGTGTGTGACGTTTTCTTTTTTTTCGAGGGAGAGCTAAAAAGAAAAGTTCTTCTCGATGAGAAAGAAGAGAAAAAGTGTCATCAAATTCTCTTCTCTTCTTCGTCAAAAAAAAAACATTGGACAGAGGAGTTTTTGTGAAAACAACACACAAGTCTTTTCTACACACACATATAATATATATAATGCCTCCTCCTTTTCAAGACGAAGACGAAGAAGACGAAGAAGAAGAAGGAAAAGAGGAGTTATTTCTGGAGGAGACTTTGCGCGCGGCCAAATGGTGCGCCTTTCTCGCCGGGAAGGAAATCAGAAACGCCTGGGGAACGACTTCGAGTGAAGTGAAAAACACGAAGAAGAACGACGTGGATTTAGTCACTTTGACGGATGAAAAGTGCGAAAAGATGATCAAAGAATACATACGCGAGAGATTTCCGGACCATTTGATCGTAGGTGAGGAGGAAACCGCGGCTGGTGGGGACGTTATTCCCGAAATGAGTGCGAAACCGACGTGGTACATCGACCCAGTCGACGGAACGACGAACTTTATTCACTCGTATCCAAACTCCTGCGTCTCGATTGGTTTGACTATGAAGAAAGAACCCGTCGTCGGAGTTGTGTTTAACCCGATAACGAGAGAGATGTTTGTCGGGGTGAAGGGGAGAGGGTCGCAATTGATCAACGTTGGCGGAAACGACTTGAACGAAGAAACGGACGTAAAGACGATTCGGGTATCGAACGCGACGACGTTAAAGAAAGCGTTGATTGCCACGGAAATTGGCGTAGGAAGAGACGAGAAAACTATAGATGCCATCATGGGACGGATAAGAAATATCGTGCAAAACTCGAGAAGCGTGAGGTGTACCGGGTCGTGCGCGATGAACATGTGCGCCGTGGCGAGCGGAAGAGTAGACGGTTTCTTCGAGATTGGATTCGGAGGTCCCTGGGATAACTGCGCGGCGACGGTGATTGTCAGAGAAGCCGGCGGCGTTGTGGTCGACCCGAGTGGTGAGGAGATGCATTTAAACGCGAGACGAGTGTTGTGTGCAAATAGTCGAGAAATTATGGAGGAGTTTGTAGCGGCGTTGAAACCGGTGGAAGACGGACCTGCGGAACCGCCGAAGCCGTCGTTAGCGACGACGTTGTAGATTGAATGTTATGATTTTAGGATTACTTATTATTTGCGCGTGTATACAGTGTGGTACACGTATGTACTATATTATATATATAGGTGTATGATTAGTAGAAGTTTTTTCGTTTTCACGTGCACTTGGAGGCGGCGAGCATTCTTTTCCGATACATCCTCGCCGCTTTTCGAACGCTCGAGTGTAACATCGACTCGAGCGCAAACGTAAACGCGACGACGCCGCCGAGAACCGTCACTGAACTAATCAACCATTCGAATATATTCTGTTCCGTTTCAACGTGCGAAATCGCTATCGGTGATATTGCAAAGGTAAACTTGACGTACGCGCCTCTCTTCGATATCGCGTGCGTCGCGCCGTTGGAGAAGTCGTTATCTTCGCCGTGAACGCCGTCGAAATACGACGAACTCTCTTGTTGCGCAGACGAAGGTGAGATTTTGAACTTATTCGAAGAGAACGTGTATTCGTTCAACGTCAACGTAGCCGCGTTCAACGGAACGATAGACCGGGTGACGACTTGCATGTGATGTTCGTGGATGGTATTTCTATGCTGCGAACTGAAAATGTTTTCGCCTTTCGCGAAGCCTTTCTCCGTGGCGAATTTACCGCCGCCGTCTTTGGCCGCTAAAGACCACGCTTTACGAAACTTCTTGGGGACGTACGAACGTTTCGTCGACGTTGTTGGCACGTACTCGCCGAACGAAAAGTGGTTGATGATGTGAGTGCTGTTGATTCGGTGAAGATCGATGGTTTGGCCGTAACTTCGAGCGCTAAAATATACGGCTCCCGGAACCTTCGCCAAACGAATCCTTCCTTCCACCGTACATCCAGACGAGCGAACGGTGGATTCATGTCGACCATCTCTATCGAAATCGTACCCTAAGCGATGCGCCCGAACGTTTCTCGGTGGCTTTTCTTCTTCGCCCCCACCTCCATCAGAAGAAGAAAAAGAAGAAGATGTAGAAGGCGCATCGTTTATCGTTCGAGTATCGTTTTCCCGCATCGTTCGCAACAAACTCAGTGTGAATTCGGCCATAGCTTCTGATGTCCTTGGTCCGTGATAGACTTCGAAATGACGAATGTCTCCTTTACTCTTATTGAGCAAGATTGCGTCGCTCGAACTTCCTCTATACACTCGTATCGTCGGGTAGGCCAGTATCTTTTCGTCGTCGCAAAGCTTTTTATTTTCCTCCGCGGTGCAGTCCACGCCGGCGAACGCGGCAGAAAGTCTCGAGTTCAACGACTTTGCGAGAGCTTTTTGAACTGTGAGATTGTGTTATTAAATAAGTGTGTAAATAAAATGACGTTATGTGAAATACCGAGTTGAGCGCCTCGTTCAAAGTGCGGCGCCAATGCTGCACAGTGCGAACACCAAGGCGCGTGGAAATTCACTAAAAGAACTCCGTGTGCGTTGACGTTTCTCTTGAAATTTTCCGAGTTTAAGAGCAAAGCAAAACGCCTGTATCCGTACTCGTCTCGTCGTTGCTCGAGACTGCTTTTGTCATTTGCCTCTTCTTCGTCGTTTACTTCACCGCCGTATTCATTATCGTCATCGCCGACGATATAATCGAACTCGTCGCCTTGCACGATTCGTCCTAGGGGTTTACCTTCATCTCCTTCCCAATACGGGTGTAGCGACCTCGGCGCGATCGCGTGAAAATGTTGCCTCGACCCGACACCCATCGTCGCGTGTTCGATCGCCAAATACGGAATTTCTTTCGACATCGAGTGCTTATAAATGCTCTCACCGCTCAAGTTGAACGCTCTGTGACCAACCGCATCGACTAAATCCACAGAAAGGTGCTCGCAGTTAATCGCGGGAAAGCTCACATCAAATTGCATGACCAAAGTCGGATCCATGTCGTGATCGACGCTCAAATCCGTCCTCATCGACGTCGCGAATAGCTTTTGCACTTGCGAAGTGACCAATCCAAAAATAAACCACGCGAATAAGAGCGTCAACACGCCGCCTTTGTTCGAGCCTTCTTTGCTAAACTCTTCTAAAGCGTCGTTTCTTTTGAACACGTCGACTGTTTTTAACGTCTGCGTGACGAACGTTTCGTTGGATGGCGATTCCCCGGGTAACGAGTTCGCGCCGCCATTGCTCGTCGTCCGGCGCGAAATCAGTCCTCCTGAACCACTAATACCACCATTACCACCACCTTTACCACCTTTACCGGTCAACGATGCGTTCATGTTTATTGTCTGCTGCTTTTAAAGAAAAAAGCTCCGAGTATTTTCTGACAAACTTTCATGTGAAGCACAAAAAAATTTTCATTTGAAAGAAAAAAACTTTTCGTTCGTTCCAAATACTTCACAAGTCACATATAAAATTTGACGATGATGATGATGAGAAGAAGAACACAAACACTCATGAACTACATCATGAACGCCGCCGCGTCGAATAACTATCGTTGTTTCGATAAGACGGCTACAAAAACGAGTAGCAGTAGTAGTTGTAGTAGTTATAGGTCTCTCTCTTCCTTCTTCATCGGATATCAAAATCGAGAAGGAGCAAAGACGTTTAGTAGGACGACAGTTAGTACTCAAGGAAAAGTGGATAACAACACATGGACGACGACGACGACAAAAACACAAAAACAAAAGTCTGCGAACAATATCTCCACGTCCACTCGTTCAAAAATGGGATACATTTCGCACCAAAGAACCGCAATCACGAAACGTTTGTGGAACGATCGATTGGAGCAAATGAACGTGGAACATCCACACGCGCCGGAACAAACTTTGATAAAAACGAAGAAAATCAAAGAGCACGTGGTTTTGTACGATTTTGAGAACGATAAACAGTTGGCGAGAGACTACGCGACGCCGTGGAACACCGCGAGAATCGGTCGAGTTCTGGAGGATATGGACTCGTTAGCTGGGAACGTCGTGTTTACACACATAGACGATAACGACCCGGCGACGAGGCCTCCGAATGCGGTGACCGCGAGCGCGGATAACATTCGACAGTTTAAGAAGTTACGGTTAGACCAAAAGACGTTTTTACACGGGTCGGTGGCGTACGTCGGGACGTCCTCGATCGTGGTCAGATGCGATTTGAAAAACGAAAAAGGCGAAGTCTTAATGCGAGCTGATTTTACATTCGCGGCGAGGTCGAACGTGACTGGTAAAGCGACGCCGGTAAACCAGTTGGACATGAAGACGCTGACCGAGGAGCAGAAAGCAACCTTCGACGAAGTGAAAGCGCAGATTGAGTTGAAGAAGAACAGAAAGATGGATAAGATGCCCATGCGTGAGGAAGTGCGAGTGTTTCGTAAACAATGGGTTAAAAAAATGCGGGAAATGTCCCGAGTGGCAAAAGAGATGCCTTCGAGAGCGGTGTTGGACGAGAAATTATCAAAGATAGTTTTGACTTCGCAGACGGTGCACGAAAATTTGTTCGTCGCGCAACCGCAGCAGGTGAACTTATCCGGGCGGATATTTGGTGGATTTTTGTTACGGCGTGGATTTGAATTGGCGTTAGCGAACGCGTACACGTTTGCGGGTACGTTTCCACTTTTCGTGAACATGTCGGACGTGGATTTTAGAGCGCCAGTCGAGGTTGGCGATTTGTTGAGGTTTCGAGCGCACATCATCCACGTCGGCGAACCCGGAGAGTTCGATAAGAAAACTCTAGAACTGAAAGAGACAAACGTGTTCGAAAGCGGGAATGATATTGAAAGAGATATCGTGATGCAAGTTGAAGCGATCGTGGTGAATCCGAAAACCGTAAGTGCAACCGTGACAAACTCTTTTCTAATCACGTTTCGAGTTAACGGCGGGTTGTTACCGACGGTGTTACCCGAATCCACGGACGAGGCGTTTGGCGTGTTTGAGAAGGTCATACGACCAAAATTGTGCGGATGGGATTAATGAATCGCGTTTTGCGTACGTTTTCTTCGCTAGATATATAGTATGTATAAATATACAACAACATCAATAACAACACGTAACAGCAACACACTACATATTCAGGAAGCTTGTAATATATTTATTGCCATAATAATAAAAATACCTAATAGTTACGACGAGTAGGTCATTCGTTTCTTCTTCTGCACAAAAGTAAAACCGAGCAATACGCGATGACTACGAGAATCGTATTGATAAAAAAAGCCTGCGCGTAACACACGCGACCGGACGTGCACTTCCATCCTTCATCAAAAACGGCGGAGTACTGATACACCGCACCTGCTATCTTTGTGCTCATGAGATACCCACCAAGAGCGGGCGCTAAACCAACCAAACCTCGGTTGGCGCCGAAATGTTTCGGTCCAAAGACATCAATCGTCACCGTCGGCATGGACCAAAACAAAGCGCCGTAAAACCAACCTGTGACTGCACATCCAGTGGTTAAAGTCAAAGCTAAAGCACTACTCGGCATATCCTCCGACGCGGTCCAACACGCAATCATACCAAAAAATGCGCCGACGATTAAAAACGACGTAAACCGAACGCGACCGACGCGCCCGGAGGTGTCAAAGTTTGACATAAAGCTCGAAACGATATTCGAAGAAGATCCTCCCAAAGTGCGTAGCTTTCGCGATGAATGCGATTCTTTCACGCCGCTACCATCCAAAGGTCGCTTGGATAACTTATCGCTCCAATAACCAGCGTGTAATCGACCTAACGTGTTTGTGCATGCAAACATTTTCAGAAGCGTCAACGGCATCGAACTCGGCAAATTCTCTCCGAATGCTTTCGCGATTTGCGTCAAGTTGTTAATCACCGTGACGCCAGACCCGAGCGAGAACATGAGTGCGACGAAGAGTAAATAAAAGTTCATCTCCTGTAAAACCTCTGTCGGTGACAAGTTTGTCATTCTGCTTGAAGCGTTGCTATTAGTACCTTGCGGATTTTCTACGTCGTCCATCGATTTCATTTCCGACGACTTTTGATCCGTCGAAACCACCGAACTCGCGGCGACTAATTCACTCTTATGATGTAATAACGAGTTTGTGCCTAACATCGTCACGCGATACAACGAGTACGCGATGCACGCAAAAATAAACAACGCAAGCGGGGACGTCGCTTGCGATCCAAATTGGTGCGCCAAGTACCCTGAAACCGCGACGTGTACCGCGCCTATTGCCGTAATCGTCAAGCTCCAACGCAAACGATCGTCGACAGTTAAATTTCCAGTGACAAATGCTCGTTTAACATCGTCCGTCATCGACCCTACACTCCTACTACTTTCGTTATTTATATTCATAGCGTTATTACTGTTTATTTCATCCAAAGCGGATGAAGACGGCAAAGCGAATCCTCTCGGAACGCCGACGACAGTGGAACATAAAATATCAACGCCGCCGCAAAAAACTGCCAAGAACTGCACGAACGCTACGCTATTCTTCCCAATATCACTTCCGGCGGTGGTGTTCATGAAAAACACGTCAAAAACTATACTAAAAACGCCGCTCGATAAACCAAAAAATGCCATGATTAAACCGACTAATCTCCCGTGTTGCGTCTTGTCCGTAAAATTCGCGTAATTCGCCCCCAACGCGGCAGTCAAGCTCGTCGAGCAACCCGTCCCCATAATGTACGCAGCCACGCTCGAGAAAAACACTGTTTGCGGAAAAATAATCCCTCGTAAAATCATCGTCGTCATTCCGAACCCAATCACTTTACACGTTCCTCCCAAGAACAACGTCGCTTTACTCCCGAATCGATCGAAATACATCCCGCCTAAAACAGAGAAGAACGCCCCGAAATTCCCACACGTACCAATAAACGTCAACTGCTCTTGCGTCAAATTTAATCTCTCCTTCATAGTTTGCGAGTATAAAGGGAAACAATACAAGGCGCCCGAGGAGACCATCACCAACTGAGACAGAAGTAACGTCAGCCATTTCGAGGCGAAAAACTTCTGGCCTCCTCCTCCTATCATGATATTTGAGGAGGATTTCGGACTGTTGTTACTGTTGAGCTGCTGAACATCGATATTCGCGTTGTTCGTCATTTGAACGGGACGCCCGGGTTGGCCGCCGTCAAACTGCCGTCGAGCGCGCAAAACGTCAGCGGATTTGATTTTGGATTTACAAAAAGAGAGAGAGAAGAAAGATTTCCTCTTTCTCTCTTCTCTCTCTCTTTATTGTTCTCTCTCTCTCTCTCTCTCTCTCTCTCTGTCGTCGTGTAAATGATAACTTATATATACTTTTATCGAGTGTTTGCTGCAAACAAACCCGAAGAGCTCAGAAAAAAGACGAGAGAGGCGGGTGGTAAAAAATGAAGCAAGGTAAGAGAGAGAGAGAGATCTCTTCTCTCTCTTCTTTATGTGTTTTTTTGCGATTTATTTTTTTTTCTTTCATCATCAAACATCATCATCACAAAAATCATCTCTCATCCTTTTTCTCATTCATCAAAGAAGAAAGAAAGAAAGAAAGAAAGAAGCGAGAAAAAATGAGAGGCGATGGTGAAGAAGAAATAGCTTTTTCTGTCTCTGATTTATCTTCTTCTTTGTCTTCTTCTTCTTTGTCTTCTTCTTCTTCCTCGACGACGACGACGACGCAAAGAAACGTTTCGGTGATTAAAGGCGAAGAAAGTTTCAAAAAAAAACTCGACGAAACGAAAGGAAAACAACTCGTCGTCGTGAACTTTGGCGCGAGTTGGTGCAAACACTGTCACAAACTCTCGCCTTCCGTGTTTGATGAGGCGGAGAAGTATCCGAATTCGGAATTTATATTCACAGATGTGGATTTATTACCGGAAACGGCCAAGTTTATGCGATGGACGCCGACGGTAGGGATTTACAAGTTTGGAAGGAAAGTGGATGAAATCGAACAGTGTAAAATCAGGCAGCTGAAAGACCGGGTGTGGTTATGGAGCGATTTGAAAGAGACTCGATTCGAAAGTCGAGGGTAGATTAAAGTAGAGAATAGTATTCATTTTTAGAGAATTTAGAACACACATGCACGCGCGCGCGATACTTATATATGATGTTATTCAAAGTTTATTTAGTAACTTCCTCATCGACAGAGTCCGTGGACTTTGCTTGTTTCTTCGCTCTCGCTTTTCTCTTGACTTCAAACTCATACTGTTGACCACCTTCGATCAAATCGTCGTCTTCGACGCGTTTCGCTGAAACCACCGCGACATCTTCCTCGGAGATGTCACCTCGGAGTATAGCTTTCGCGATGGAGGTTTCGAGGTATTGCTGAACCGCTCTCTTAATTGGACGCGCGCCAAATGCGGGTTGGTATCCAATCACACACAGCGCTTCTAACGCAGATTCCTCGATTTCAATCGCAATGCGTCTGTCTTTTAATCGAGATCGAACGCGTTCGATTTGCTGCAGCACAATCGCCTCGACTTGTGAACTTAGCAACGGGTCGAAAACAATCCATTCGTCGACTCTGTTGATAAACTCTGGACGGAAGTGTCCACGAACTGCATCCATCACTTTCGTCTTCCTCTCACCCGTGGATTTCTTCGCCTGTTGCTCCGTTTCCTCGCCGGCATTGAGTAAACCGTCCAAAACGAATTGAGAGCCAATGTTGGAGGTCATGATCAAAATGGTATTCTTGAAACTCACCAGTCGCCCTTGAGAGTCGGTCACGCGACCGTCGTCTAAAATCTGTAACAAGACGTTGAACACGTCCGCGTGCGCTTTTTCCATTTCATCGAACAGTATGACAGAGTACGGACGTCTTCGCACAGCCTCGGTAAGTTGTCCGCCTTCTTCGAAACCGACGTATCCGGGCGGCGCGCCGATCAGTCTGGATACCGCGTGCTTTTCCATGTACTCAGACATGTCAATTCGAATCATCGCATCTTCGGTGTTGAATAAGAAATTCGCGAGCGTTTTGGCGAGCTCTGTCTTGCCGACGCCAGTTGGACCCAAAAATGCAAACGAGGCGATCGGTTTGTTCGGGTCACTCAACCCAGCTCTGGAACGTTGAATAGCTTCGGAGACCTTTTTCACCGCTTCGTCTTGACCGACGACTCGTTTATGTAATTCCGAATCCAAATCTAAAAGCTTCTCTCTTTCACCTTGTTGTAACTTTGCAACTGGGATTCCGGTCCATTTCGCGACGATTTCCGCGATGTCGTTCTCGGTGACTTCGTCCGATAAAAGTTTGTTTTTGTTGTCTTTTTCGGCGATCAAAACTTCCTCGGCTTCACCGAGCGAGCGTTGCAACTCCATCAGAGTTCCGTATTTCAACTCTGCGGCTTTGTTCAAATCGTACGCGCGTTCCGCGTTTGCAATTTCTACGCCGACGCGTTCAATTTCCTCTTTCAGCGTTTGCACCTGGATCAACTTATCTTGCTCTTCCTGCCAACGATCCTGCAAATCTTTCTGTTCGATTTTCAACGCGTCAATTTCTTTCTTCATGCGTTTCAGTTTCGATTCGGTCGATTTCTTGTCAGTCGCCGAGGTCATGGCCGATCCATCCCTGGACAGAGACAAGATTTCCATTTGCAACTTAATAATCTCCCGGTCGATGGCGTCTAAAGCCGTCGGTTTCGAGGTAATTTCCATTTTCAATTTCGCCGCAGATTCGTCGACTAAGTCGATGGCTTTGTCCGGAAGGAATCTATCGGCGATGTACCTGTCGGATAAGTTCGCCGCCTCCACTAGCGCGGCGTCAGAAATAGAAACGCCGTGGTGCAATTCGTATCTCTCACGCAAACCTCTCAAAATTGAAACCGTATCCTCCACCGAAGGTTCTTCGACCGAAACTTTTTGGAAGCGTCTCTCCAACGCGGGATCTTTTTCAATGTGCTGTCGAAACTCGTCCAAAGTTGTCGCCCCAATGCATCTAAGTTCACCTCTTCCTAACATCGGCTTCAACAAGTTTCCAGCGTCCATGCCGCCACCACCGCCGTTCCCACCGGCACCAACGACGGTGTGGATTTCGTCGATGAACAAGATAATTTTCCCCATCGAGTCGACAACTTCTTTCATCACCGCTTTCAAACGGTCCTCAAACTCGCCTCGAAATTTGGCACCGGCGATGAGTAAACCCATATCTAAAGACATGATGGAAACATCTTGTAACGAAGTAGGCACGTCTCCGTTGACGATGCGTTGCGCCAACCCTTCGGCGATGGCAGTTTTACCGACCCCGGGTTCGCCAATCAAAACGGGGTTATTCTTCGATCGTCGTGATAAGATTTGAATCGAGCGACGAATCTCGTCGTCTCTCCCAATTACCGGATCCAATTTACCTTTTTTCGCTTCGTCTGTCAAATCTCTTGCGTATTTCGACAGCGCGTCGTATTTCGATTCTGCGCTTTGGTCCGTCACCGTTTGGCCTTTTCGTAAAAAAACGATGGCTGCTTCCAACTGTTCCGTCGAGATCTTTAAATCCTTTTCGAACAAATCTTTGCCAAATCTCGCATCTTCGGCTATGGCCAGCGTCAAATGCTCCACGGCCACGAACGCGTCTTGTAACTGCTTCGCTCGGTCTCGCGCGTTATCCACGGCTATTTCCAAGTGTCTCCCCAAAACTTGTTGCGAAGCGCCTTGCACTTTCGGTTGCCTCTCGATGTATTTGTTCGTCTTATCGATCACAGTTTTCATGTCCACTCCTAGATGTTTCAAGATTTTCCCGGAGAATCCTTCTCGTTGTTCCAACAGAGCCAAAAATAAGTGCTCGGTTTCGACTATTTGTTGCGACGCTTTTTGCGCGTTTTCCGGAGCAGCTACGATGGCTTCCCAGGCTCGTTCGGTAAACTCAGATTGCGAGATTTTCTTTTGCGGTTGTTCTCCTCCTCCATCCGACACGGCGCGCGTGACGACGATTCTTCCGTTTGTATTTTGTCTTGCCGCGTTGATGAGAGGTTTTCTTCTTCTCTTTCCTCTTCCAATATTATAAGTACTCTTATTGTTCACGCCGACGACGTGCCTTTCCCCTTCAGAAGAAGACGATGGAAGATAGAAGTTCGACGACGACGCGTTTGTTTTTATCATCGAGCCTCTTTCTCCTCCTCCTCCTCTTTTGGGCGTCGTCGTCGTTCGAACATTATTATTATTATTACTCCTCCCTGTTGGTCTTCGTTTCGCTGTTGCTCCTAATGCTGCTCCTAATGCTGATATCGGTTGCGCGCGATGATGATGACAACACGAAGAAGACAAAACCATATTCTTCATTTTTTATTCCTAGATTTTTTGTGCGGCGGCGGGAATTTTTTCTCTTTCTTTTCTCTTTCTCCCACCAAACAACGAACATAACCGCATTATATTTACGCGTCGGGTTACAGACACAGACTACTTTAACACGCGTTGATATATATCTTCAACGCACCTAAACACACACGCAGATTACCTACTATTATACCCAGAGAGGATGTCGGCGTTGTCTTTGAGCACTCCGATTGTAACTAACGCCAGAGTTTCCTCCACAAGAAGAACGCGCGTGAGTAGCATAAAAGCCTCCTGCTCCAAATCGTCGTCGATCACATTGCAGGGTGCGCCGTTGAAGGGCTTGAAAATGGCCACGCAAAGAAACCAATACTCGGTGTTGATGCAAACGCCGCCGTCGAGAGGCAAATTGCAAGTGTGAGTGTTTCGAGTCTTTCTTTGCTGTAGTTCGAATACTCGCGCTTCGTTTCATCGAAAGAAGACGACGAGAGTAGCGCACGTCTTTGTCTTCTTCTTCTTGTTTTTGTTCGTTTCTTTTCCCTTTTTGGTCGTAAAAGCGTGGCGGCGGTCTCTTTTTTTTGCACCAGACAAGAAGAAGAGAATTGAAATATTGAAAGAAGGAAATAAATAAACCTTTTTGCGGACGACGGACGACGTGTATTATTAAATCTGACCTTTGACGTTTCTTTGTTCTTCTTGTTCTGTATTATTACGTGCACACAGTCAAGCCGCTGGTGTCCCGAAAGCCGCTCCGGGAGAGAAGAAGCAAGTTTTTGGCATCAACTTGCCGGACAACGAAGGGTTGTCCTTTTTGATTCTCGCCTCTGGTTCTCTCGGTTCCGCGTTGGGCTTCGCCGCCTTGCAAGAAGGCGTTTTCCGCATCCCGGGCTTTAAGTTTTCCGCGTGGATGACCGTGTTGACCACGTTCACGTACTTTTTATGCGGTGCTTTGGAAATGAAGCTCACTAAAGACTCTAGAAAAGGTTCTTGGAAGAACTACGGCATCTTGTCCGTCTATACCTACGGCGGCATGGCCTTGACCAACTACGCCTTGTCCTACTTGAACTACGCGACGAGAATCGTCTTTAAGTCTGCCAAGATCATCCCAGTCATGGCATTCTCCGTCATGATCGTCGGCAAGAAGTACAACTGGAAGGAATGGTTGTCTGCCGCCATCTTGGTTGCCGGTATCGTTCTCTTCACCTTGGGTGACGTCGCGTCTTCCCCGGCGTTCGCGCCGATTGGCGTTGCGTTGATTGCCGGTGCGTTGTGTGTTGACGCCATCTGCGCCAACTTCGAAGAAAAGAACTTTTTCAGATGTGAAACGCCGTCCACGACGCAAGAGGTCTTGTGCTACGCGTCTTTGATTGGTACCGTCTACGGTTTGATTCCGTTGGTTGCGTCTGGTGGTTTGAACGCCGCGATTGCGCACTCCATGCAATACACGCAAGTCGTCCCGATGATCATGGGCTTCTCCGTCATGGGCTACTCCTCTGTCTCCTTCATTTTGTCCTTGATCAAGTACTTTGGCGCCACGGAAGCTGAAATTGTGAAATCTTTACGTAAGGTTTTGTCCATCGTCATCTCCTTCATGCTCTTCCCGAAAGAGTTGAACTGGAAGTACATCGCCGGTTTTGGCGCCGTCCTCGTCTCCACCGTTTACACTTTCTATTTGAAGGACCAAAAGAACAAGGCCAAAGCGGCTGCCAAAGCCGCCGAAGGGTCTGCTTAATCTAAGAACAACATTTTTTTGAAGAACTACTAATATTGAAATAAAAAACGAATACGATAAAAGATAAAAAGAATTACAGAAGGACTCAATCACTCACGCGCTTACGATAAACCCATACATGAATAAATATAGTTGGTTTAGTAATTTTGTTCGTTTAAAAATTCAAATCAAATGTGTAAATGTATTTTCTCTCGTTTTAAGTTGTTGGTATAACCGTGCTCGGGTATCCAGCGCCCAGCTTGGGTATCCAGCGCCCAAAGCGGACGTTGTCTTTTTTTATGTTTTTTCTCTTTCTCTTTCTCTCTCTCTCTCTCTCTCTCTTTCATTCTCGCTCTCTTTTCTTCCCTTTTTTCTTTTGATTTTATTTGATATCGTTTATAACACTACGTCGTTTGAAATGATACGTTCGTGATAATCGTTTGATGTCATGAGGATGCGTTTAAAACTTTACGCATCAAAATCAATCGGAGTAGACTTCCACAACGCCGAGAAGATCAAGGCCGATGCAACTTGTAAAATCGCAATCGGGTAGAAGAGCGACCAAGCCCAGGAACCGTTGGTGAGTTCCATGAAGTATCCAATGAAAAAGGTGGACAACAAGGAGCCAATAGCAGCGGCAGTGTTAGTAACGCCCAACATAATCGAGGCATACTTCGGGCTCAAATCTTGGTGGCCGCAGAACAAACCGGTTCTGACCCAGGCGCCCATACCAAAGCAGAAGGCGAGAGCAGACATAACCATAACAATAGTCGTGTTCGTTACAGCTGCGGCCGGAGTTTTGGAAACGATGAAACCGACGGTGGACAACGCAACCGCACCACCGCCAAAGCAAAGCGTTTGCGACAACTTACGCACGTCCGTTCTGGAAAAACCATTTTTGTTTTCCAAGGAGTCCGTGATCGGGGCAACCAAAGTCGTGACCGCAACGGTAGAAAGGTACGGCAAGATACTAAGGAAGGACGATTTCGCGAGGGAAACGTTCAGCGCGGAGGAAAGGAAACTCGGTAACCAGGCCAACAAACCGTAGGAGAAGTAGTTCCACGTGAAGTGCGCAACCATCAAAGCCCAAAACTCTTTGGATTTAGCAAACTTACCCCATGGGATGTTCAATCCACCGGCAGCCTTCGCGGTTTCTGCCGCTGTTTCCTTCATATCGACGGATTTGTCGTTGGCGAAGCCAAGCCACCACCAGGCACCCCAGGCGAAGCCGAGAAAGCCGAAGAGGTAGAAAACCGCTTGCCAGCCGCCGAGGAACAAAATGATCGGCGGCGCAATGAGCAAACCAAGTAAAGATCCAACGTCCAAACCACCGAAGGTAGCAGTTACGGCTTTAGAGCGCTGCGACGGCGGGATGGTCTTCGCCAAGATGCCAGTCGCGGCGGACGGCGCGACGCCTTCGCCCAAACCGACGAGAAACCTGGACGCGAGCAAAGGAGCCATCCCTAACGTGGCGCACCACGGGGCAATCAACGTACCAAGAGACCACAAAATGACGCCATAGAACAAGACGGCTTTACCGCCATACTTGGATGAGAGCCATCCACCCGGAATTTGAGTGAACGCGTAGCCCCAAAAGAACGCGGAGGCGACGAGACCTTTTTGGGTAGCCGTCCAGCCGAAAGATTTTGCCATCGGGACGATAGCGACGGACATGTTGACCTTATCCAAGTTGCACAACACGAACGCGACGAACAAAGCGAACACCATGCCCCATCTTTTCTTGTTCGTACCTTCGCTCATGTCGAATCTTTCGGATTCTGGAATACCAGAAGTATCTTCAGCGATCGAGCCACCGCCCGCTTTGGCGATGACATTTTGTCTCTTGTTGTTGTTGTTGTTGGACGCTTTCGTCGTCGTCGTCGTCGTCGCCGCCACCGAAGCTTCTTTCTCGCGTTTTAAATGAAAAGACGAATCGATAACGCGACTGCTAAACTCTGATGACGTTGCGTTGTTCTTGCTAAGTTGTTGTCTTTTTCTAAACGTTACTTTATTTTGAATCCGACTGCTGGACGATGATGATGATGATCGAGCAGCCGTCTTGTTGGCGCGAATCATCATCGTTTGGTTTGACGTGGAAGCAAACATTGCGCGAGGAGTATGAGAGAGTTTAAAGTTTACCACGTGAAGTGTGTGAGTAATCTTCCAGTTTCTCGTCAAGTCGTTTACGTCGTCGTCGTCGTCGTCGTCGCTCGTTAAGTGCGGAATAAAGCGTTTGAATAAAAAACCTCGTTTGTTCGTTTGTTATTCGTTATTCCCTTTTTCCTTTTTTTGTTCGTTTGAAGAGAGGCGGCGGCGTTGTGTGCCAAACGACGAAAAGCTGTAGGCAAGAAGAGAGAGGGAGAGAGAAGTTTTTTCACTTTTTCTTCTTCACCACATCTTTTCTTTTTCCTCTCTCCTTTCTCTCTCTTTCTCTCTCCCTTAATAAGGAACAAATGCTACTGCTCTAGTAAAACAGAATAGAAACGAATACTACTTACTACTAATAAGAGCGAAGAAAGAAAGAAAGACAAAAGAACAAAACGAAAATGGTAAACTTTCGGCAGATGAAACGCCCGACTCCCGCGCAAGGCTTGAAGGCGATGATTCGTTTCGGCATCGTGTGTTTCTTTTTCGCCATGACGGTGAACTTTATTGCGACGCATTATCACTCGAGATATCCATCCACATCATCATCCACATCATCATCTGCTTCATTGGCGCGGAGCCATGATGAGTTCTCTTCCTCCTCGTACTTTCCGTCCTGGATGTCGTCTTCTTCGCACGGTGATGAGAATGACGAAGAAGAGCACCACGACGACGACGACGACAACGACGCCCATCATCTTCATCATCCTCATCGCCATCGTCGCGACGACAGCGTTGATAACTTTGCCGTCTCTTACGATAACAACAACAACAACAACAACAACAACATCGGATGCTCGTCCTCTGCGACGAATAAACGAGTGAAAAGCGAACCGTTAAAAACAGAATATACCGATATGGATGTTGTCATCGTCATGGTGGCTCCCGTATGTACGACGCAACAAGTCGTCGAACGCTTGAACTTTCACTATCACTTTCGGAAGATTTATTTCGTCGTAAAACAGGTGGAAATATGCCCGTATTTACGTTCATTGGCGAAGAATATCATATGTTTGGACGAAAACGAAGTCATACCTGGTGTCACGTATTCCTCGTTATCCGAACGAGGCGAGAAGTTGAAACAGATTGGCCAAAAGGAAGGGTCTAATCGAGTCGGATGGTATTTGCAACAATATCTCAAGTTGGGAGTGGCGTTACACGTGAAAGATTTATCGGAGTATTATTTAGTTTGGGACGCGGATAACATTGCCACGCGCCCGTTAGAGTTAGTGAAAGAGACGACGAAGAGCGAAAACTACGCGGTTCGGTTTTGCGCGAACCCGGTGACGCATAAGAGCACCGGGTATGCAAAGTTTTATAAGCGCATCGTAGGCGATAAGTTGATGAAACCAGGCGGGTACCCTAAAGACCCGAAAGGCGATTCGTTTAACTACGTCTGTGGGTTTATGGTAATGAAAAAAGAATACGTTCGGGAGATGACGAATTATATTACGCATTATTTAAAAACTGGAGCGGATAGTCACTTGTTGCAACACTTGAGAGAGGAGGAGAAACGGTTCCCGTGGGACATTCACGCCGTAGCCAACGAGGTTGCCACTGTCGAAGGTGGACACTATTACTTCTCCGAGTACGACACGTATGGATCCTGGGTACAGAAAATGCATTCAGATGAACATCAAGTGGATTACTCGAGCGAATATGCCAGAAATCCAACCGTCGCAGTTGCGCCGAGTAGTTTAACCGAAGCCGAGTTTAAAAAGTTAGCGCGCAATCCGAAAAACCCTCTTCCGTACAAGTTTCCTTGTTGCATGAAACACGAGAAGATTTGCGAACGCGCGAGAAAAGCGGCACGATCGAGCGACGGTTTAGTCCACGTTTTAGTATGGGAAGAGCACAAGATGCGATATCGAGGCACGTCCAGTCAGTGCACGGATGCGTTGCCGAGAGAGCTGAAAGAAGCAATGGAGGCGAGCGGCGGCGATGGCGTTAAGCCCGATCGTTAGTATCGAAACGATAATAGCAATAGCAGCGGGCGTTTTTTGTGTTCTTGATGAGAAGCGTCGTCGCGTGCGATAATAGATACGATGTGATGTAGTTAGTTTAAAAGTATCAAACAAAGGTTGACGTTTTTTCTTCCTCCCTTTTTCCTATGTGATGAGTGCTTCCTTCTCTTCACTTTTTCATTTTGATCATTATTGCTTCCATCATGTCCATCCGCTTTCACTTGCTCTCGACTGAAAAAAAAGTCCACCTGCGCAGACTCGATTTGTGGCTCGGATTTCTTTGTGAGAAAAAGAAAAAAAAAGATCTTTCTCTCTCACATCAGATTACTTTACATTTCTATTATTTTTATCACACATATACTAAATACATACTAAAAAATGGCAACTTCTTCGAGTGCGTTTATCGCGCAACCGAACTTCTTAGCAGCATCCAAGAGAAACGTGTTTAGTACGAAGGTGCGTCTTTTGTTTTTTTACAAACGCGAGAGATGAAGAGATGACGACGAGAGAGAGAGCCACAAGGAGTGGTGATGACGTGCAAAAATAAAAACAAAAATTCATTTTCCCCGCCGCGTGGACATCCATCGATCGACAACAACAACAACTACTCACACGCAAAACCCTTTCTCTCTCTTTTTCACTACAAACAGGCCGCGTCTTCTAAATCTCGCGCTCGAACCGCCGGCGGTCGAGGATCGGTCGTCCAAACCAAAGCGTTTTTCAACTTTGGTGGTAAGAAGAAAGAAGCAGCCGGGCAACCGATGGTGTGCATCGACTGCGGATATATTTACAGAGGTGATTTCAGCGCGTTGCCGAACTCGTACAGATGCCCGACTTGTGGGGTCGGGAAGAACAGATTCAAAGCCGCGATGACGCCGGCGGTTGGTGTCGCGCCACCGAAAAGACAGGCACCGACCTTTAACACCGCGGGCGTCTTAGCCGAAAAGAAGAGAAACAAGGAGGCGTTCCGAGCGAGAAGAGCGGCGGCGGGTAAGGCGAAGAGTCCGAGAGAGTTGGCGAGAGAGAAGATGCTCGAGGAGCAAGCGAAGAAGGACTCCAAGAAAGGAGGTGGTTTCTTCGGTCGCTAATTACTCGTTGTTTTTGTAGTAGGAGAAGAAGAGGAAGATACCGATGACGATGCGACAATTACTTCAGAGAGAGAGAGTGAACGAGAGACAGAAGAGAGTTTTTAATAATATAATAATCCAAATCTTTTTTATAACACCAGACAGACCACTCACTACCTAGGCACCAGTATGCGCAGTATTAATCCAAAACCTTGGCAACGACGCCGGCGCCGACGGTTCTCCCGCCTTCTCGTAACGCAAATCGTAAACCTTGTTCCATGGCAACCGGAGTGATCAACTCAAACGTGCACGTCACGTTGTCACCTGGCATGACCATCTCGACACCTTCTGGTAACGTGATATTCCCGGTAATATCCGCAGTCCTCATGAAGAACTGAGGTCGGTAGTTGGAAAAGAACGGCGTGTGCCTGCCGCCTTCATCTTTCGTCAAGACGTAAATTTCCGCTTCAAATTTCGCGTGCGGAGTAATCGAGCCCGGTTTGCAAAGCAACTGACCTCTCAAAACTTCCTCTCTCTTCACACCTCTCAAGAGTAAACCAGCGTTATCACCCGCTTGCCCTTCGTTCAATTGTTTCTTGAACATTTCTACGCCAGTTACGGTCGTCTTCTTCGTCGGCACGATACCGACGAGATCGACGTCTTCGCCAACTTTAATCGTCCCTTGTTCTATTCTTCCAGTCGCCACCGTGCCTCTCCCTTGGATAGAGAACACGTCTTCTACGGGCATGGAAAATGGCTTATCCAACGCTCTTTCTGGCGTCGGCACGTACTCGTCGATCTTGTCCATCAATTCTAAAATTTTTTCCTTGCCAATGGCGTCGTTCGTCCCTTTCAACGCGTGCAACGCCGATCCTTTAACGAATGGAATATCATCTCCAGGAAACTTGTAAAACGATAACAACTCTCTCAATTCCATCTCTACCAACTCCACCAACTCTTCGTCGTCCACCATATCGATCTTGTTCAAAAACACGACCAAACTCGGCACTCCGATTTGTCTCGCCAACAAAATATGTTCTCTCGTTTGTGGCATTGGTCCATCCGCCGCAGAGACGACTAAAATAGCCCCGTCCATTTGCGCGGCACCAGTGATCATATTCTTCACGTAATCCGCGTGACCTGGGCAATCCACGTGCGCGTAGTGTCTGTTCTTCGTTTCGTATTCGACGTGAGCGGTGGAGATGGTGATACCTCTCGCTTTCTCCTCCGGCGCTTTATCGATCTGATCGAACGCGACTTCTTGCGCACCGCCAACTTCTGCCATAACTTTCGTAATCGCCGCCGTTAACGTGGTTTTCCCGTGATCGACGTGACCAATCGTCCCTACGTTCAAGTGCGGTTTCGTCCGAGCGTTGATGTCGTACGCTACACCTCTCTTTTGTTGTTGTTGTTGTTGTTGTAGTTGTTGTTGTTGCGTGTTGTAGTTGTTGATGTTATTGTTGTTGTTGTTGTTAAACAACAATTTAGAGGAAGCAGAGGAGGAGAAAGAGAAAGAGGTCGTCGCTTGGATACCAGCACCACTGCTATAATACCATCGATGCGCTAACGCGTTCGCCCCGCGTCGCATCATCGTGCTGGCGCGCGTTGTCGTCGCCATTATTGTTGTTCTTGTCTGTTGATACAAAACAAAGAGGGCAGATGTGAAGATTTTTATTCGGACGACGCGAGCCGTCACACAAACACACGAAACATCAATAATCAGTCTTCTCAGTCGCTCTTCAAATCTTCAAATCTGTCACTCGAAGAGAAGCTTCTAATGATAGAGTGATGAAAAATTTTCAAAACTCGTCTCTCTTCTCTCTCTTCTGTTGTCTCTCCTTTTTTCAAAAACTTCATCTTCAAAAACTTCCAAACGCGCTTGTGCTTCTTATTATCACATCATCATCATCATCAGGAGCGAGAGAGAGAGAGAGTCAGAGTCAGAGTCAGAGAGAGAGTCAGAGAGAGTCAGAGAGAAAGACAGAAAGAAAGAGAGAAAATGCCGCCGAAGAAATTGGTAGAAAAATCATCTGCTGGAGGAAAAAAACGAGAGAGAAACGTGAACGAAGTGGCGAAGAACGCGCCGGCGAAATTGATGATGACGACGACTTCGGCGTCGAAAAAGGCGAAGATTACGGTAAAGAGTGCGAAGAAAAAGAAGGCGAGTAAAGAAGAAGAAGAAGAAGAAGAAGAAGAAGAAGAAGAAGAAGAGGAGGAAGAGGAGGAAAATGTCGTGATTGATGAAGACAACGAGAATAACAGAGAAGAAGTGCGACGACCGCACTCGTACGTCGGGGTGTCCGATCCACCGGTGTCAAAGATTCTCAAAGAGATTAAAGAAGCCATCAAGGTTTCCAACGAAAAGAATGTGCAAGCGCACATAGGTTTATCGAGTCAGGAGGTGCAACACTTGACGATGGAAGCCGCGCGGTTCTTTCTCTTCCAAACGGAAAAGAACGGCAACGCGCCGATTCCTCGAGCGTTGTACACGGAAGCGATGGCAAAGATCATGAAAGGAAAGAAAGTCAGAAACGTGGCGAGTTACATTTTGCCTCGTGCGCAGTTGCGGTTGTTGGACTATCTCGGTTTGGAATTGAAAGAAGTCCAAAGAGTGACCTCGCAAGTGGAACAGAGCAAGAGCAAAAGTGCAGAGACTACGTCGACGACGTCGTTCATTCTTCGTTCGGCGCAGCCAATCGACGCGCGCGTCAAGTTTGTGGACAAGCACATTTCCAAAACGAAAAAAATGTGGAGAGGACTCGTTATCGCGATATCGTCAATCATTCAAGTTAACGGAGGCACGATGGAAGAATCAGCGCTGTTTCGAGCGCTCGGACGATTCGGTATGCGAGCCTCCTATAACGGCAAAGGACCTGGATTAGGAAAATGGTCCAACGATTTTGAGTGCAAGCATTGCGAAATCATACCAAAGCTCGTTTCTCGACGCGTTCTTTTACGAGATAAAATCACCGCGGCTTCTGGAAACGACTTCACTTACCAATACGAACTCGGCGAAGGCGCGTTGGAGCACTTTTCGCAAGAGCACTCCAAACAGTTCGTCAAGGAGATGATGCACTCGTACAAAGAAGAATTGCAGCCGAATATTGGTCCTTGACCCGAGAAAGTGGTGTGGTCATCGTTGTAAAATTTATATCGCAGAAATGAAGAGAGATACTCCCGCATACATCATCCTGTTTTGATGATTCTCGCTTTCTTCGTTTATTGTCGTCACTTTTTAAATAATTGGTTTTATCTACTGTATTTATTCTCGAATACGCCCTCGAATACATCAACGACGCAGACATACACACACGCGCACACGCGCACACACACGCATCATGAATAGCTTCTTCGGCAGTTTGTTCTCTCCTGCTCCTCAGCAACCGGGAGAGAAGATTGACTTCGTGTACATTTCCGAGTGGTTCCTATTCCTTTCCTTCTTCTTCGTGTTTGCGAGTGGATTTATGCACAAGTTTGTGGACGCGAAGGCAATTGCAAAAGCAAACGGTGGGTCGTTTTTAGGCGCGTTCCAGATGACCTGTTTTATTCCTTTGGCGTACGTGTCGTATTATGGAATCAACACGTGGTATTTCAGCGAACACTTTCAATCTTCGCGAACGGCGGAGGAACGTTTGTTTGGTCCAGTTTCTGAAAACGTGAGGAAAATAGGAGAGGTGCAAATAGCGTTTCAGGCGTGGGATTTTGTCATATCTTTGTTTAACTCGGAGTTGAATTCAGTGGAAATGTTGTTGCACCACGCGATGACGGGATTGTTGTGCTACTGGATGTTAACTATACCGTACATGGCGTGGTACGGGGTTTATTTCATGGGCGTTTGCGAGACGTCCTCGTTGCCGTTATCGGTCGTAGATTTCATGCGATTCTTTCCAGATTATAAGGAGAAGTATCCACTCATGAACATGATAAATTCCTTGTTATTTGGCGCGTTTTTTGTATGGTTCCGAATTATCAAATGGATTCAGTTTAGCGCCGGTGCGTGGAGAGATTCGTTGCACGTGTTGAAGATGAAAAAATTGCCCGTGCCGAGAAGCGTCGTCGTAGGTGTGTTGGTTCTGAACGTGTTCTTCACGGCTTTGCAAGTCGTCTGGTGTGGCTTACTTCTCAAAGAAGCGAAGAAGATGTTTTTAGGAGGAGGAGAGGACGACAAGAAGAAGGACGAAAAGAAGAAGAAGAAGTGAAGATTAGTGTATATGTACATTGTGTAGTTACTTTTTAAGCTGTGCGTAGAAATACATCGCTGCTAGCAACAGAAACAATCGCGCGGTTCCGTGTGTTCCTGTATGAATTTCGCTCCAAGAGGTGCGCCATTTCTATCGACCAGATTCGATATCGTCGCTCTCAATACCATTATCGATTCCACTCGTCTCGTTTTCACTTCAACTAATACTAAACCAGTGCTCACTTGCACTTCTGCCTCGTACACCTCTTCCAGCTTCTCGATTTCGGACTTTAACCAATCCGCGCTGATATTTTTCATCATTGTCACTGGTTTGCTGTTTCCAGAAAAGGGATTGTTTTCGTCGTCGTCGTCGTCGTCGTCGTTGTTGTCGTTGATTGGGGTCGATTCTTTATATCTCACGCGGTCCACTTTAAACTCCAACACTAGCTGTTTGTAAAGAATATCTCCTTTTCGCCAAACGTCCCGGCCACACATTCCCCCGAGCAAGAACATCTTCACAAAGACATCAAAACAAATGTTACCGCAATAGTATCCCTGCCCTTTGGCGTATTTTGTTGTCACGTTAGCAAACATTATCGCATAATCTTAGTCGTTGGTAGTCGCGTCATGTGTTACTCTTCGATTTATTTTCGCGTTCGTTGTTTGTGATGTTTTTTGTTCCATTGTAAAACTCGTCAGAAAAACAACGAGATAAGATGTCGGGGGAAACGACGACGACGACGACGTCGGTTACCGTAAAATGCTTCCCGGGGAAGTTGCAGTTGAATGATTTAGAAATGTTAGGCGGCGTTTTCTCGACTTCAGACGAGTTTAACGGAGAGGAAGACGGAACGCAGCCGTATTTATTATACGAGCACATCGGGTTGCCAAAGTCAAAAATGGTCGCGTTTTCTCACACGTGGACGCCTGAGCAAGAGAGAGGGAAGGGAATAGCTAAAGCAATCACGCGTGCGGCGCTAGAGTGGGCGAAAGTGAAAGGCTACACAGTGTTACCGACGTGTTCTTATGTCAAGAAGTTCGCCGAGGATAATAAGGACGAGGACTATGTGAAAGGCGTCGTCAGCGACTTGAAAGGAAGTCGAGTCATTAGCAACAACGTCAAAATGTAACACGTGTGTATAAACGATGTGAGGTAGTAGTAGAAGTAATAGTAGTAGTAGTAGTAGTAGTGATACATACCAGTAAGGAATTCGTTTACTATTATCATTATTGTACGCGACACGAGTGCTCCTCGGGCGTGAGAAGCTTGCTCAGATTTTTATCTGCGCGACGGTAAAACGCGTTGTTTGCTCTTTCTCCTTCGTCTTCGTCTTCGTCGTCGCGCGACGCAATGCTCTGATTCAGCGGCGTGTGCGACGCGAACGAAATCTGGCGTATTGGACTCTCGTCCTTCGTCGCATTCGACTGGTCTGAAATGTTGTTATTAATGCTGTTTTGATCTTCCACGTTGTTACTAATGCTGCCGTTCGCGAGTGCGCCGCCCCGCGGTTGTTGTTTCATCGCTCGTCTTCTTTGATGTTGTTGATGCTGCTCCTGCTCTGGACTGAACATGCCTCGATTTCTTCTTTCGCGAGCGATTTCAGCGAGCAAACGATCTCTGCTCAACGTCAACTCCCGTTCGGTCGTTTCGTACACGTCTTTTTGGTGCTTCTTTTCGTTTTCAACTTTTTGTAGTTTCAAAGTCACGTCGCTCAATTTTTTGTTCATCTCGTATTCTCGCTCCTGCATAAACGCAGATTCTCGGAGCAAAGCGTTCTGAACGACCGCTTTCTGCGCTCGCACGTCGTCCAACTCTCGCGTTAACGAATCGATTGAAACCGATAACATCGCGGCTTGGTCTTCCATCTCCATAGCGCGCATGTTTGCCTCGTCAAACGCTTCTTCCAAATCCTTCGTTCCGTTGAGTTTCTTCGTGAGCCTTTGTATTTCAAGTTCCTTTTCTTTTAGCTGCGTTTCTAATCGGTCGGACAGCTGCGTTTGAGCGGATAACAACTCGTCTTTAGCGCGCAAGGCGAGTTCCATAGCTTTAAACGTATCCAACACTCTGTCGTTTGTGGTTTGGGAGTCACCGGCGCCGTTTTTAGTAGCGCTCGTCCCGTAATACGAGGAAGAAACTGTCGACGAAGCTTCAAAATCGGCTTCTTCATCGTCGCAGTACTCAATGTGACGACGCGTCGCAGAAGGTGGCGTGTTTATACCTCGATTGGTATTCATGTGAATATTTCTGTCGTCGTCGTCTTCGTGATGGTGTTGGTTATCGCGAGCAACGACGTTCGCGTTGCCTAAGACTATCTTACCTATCCCGCCTTTTCCGGACGAGGAGTTCTTGAGCGCACTTAGCGTGGTATTACTAATACCACCGCCACGTTTCTGCCGACACTCTGGCGTCGGTAACAGGTTCAAAAGTGCGTTCATTTTCGCGCACCATTCTTCCTCTCCTCTTTCTTTGAATAAATAACTTTTCTTCTTCTTCTTCTGTTGTTGTTGTGGGTTGTTATTCCTTTTCAAGAACAAATCTTTTCCGTTTTGGAGTTGCACGCGTATTATTATTGCGTCCTCCTCCCCTTTCTCTCCTCCTTTCCTCGATGAAAATTTCTCCAACGCGTCGAAACTCACGATTGACGTCGGTTTCGACGACGAGAGAGACGAAGAAGAGGAGTAAAAAGAAAGCGTTCGTATTTTCTCGTCAACAGAAACGTATCTCTCGTTCCATCTGTTCAACAGCTCGCCTTTTTTAAAGAACCAACCCGAGAGTTCTCTGTTCTCACATAAAGGGTTGTTGGATCTCTCTTCATCCTCATCTTCTCTGTATTCTTTCACCTCCGAAGCGTTCATTTTCTTCGTTATCTGCTGCTGCTGCTGCTGCTCGTTTTCCTTGTTTTGCGCTTTCAACATTTATGCTCCCCCCCTTTTTTTTGTTAACGAACAACGTGTTTTACTAAATTTCTTCCGTTCGTTTGTTGTCGCTTGATAGATAAATAAGAGACGAGCTTCAAGCGCAAGCACAACAACAACAAGAACAACGACTGATGATGCTGGTTGTGTTATTGTTTGTTTAAAACTAAAAACGAATAATCGATGATGCAATTTGCGCGTCGCGGGGGCGCGCAAAACGTGTTTTTAAAATAAAGGGGGGAAGACGCTTTCTGTGTTTTTCAAGCGAAACCGATTCTGTGATTTTTTTCGCGTCAAACAAAAAAAACAGAGCTCTCAAAAAAAGGGTCAGTCAACACAGCAAACTTAAATCCATCCTTTTGAGAGAAGGCAAAAACATCGTCATAAAAAAAAGAGAGTGAGAGAGATGCCGTACGAGCCAAAGAATGTATTAATCACCGGCGGGGCTGGCTTTATCGCCTCCCACGTGGCCATCCTCTTCGCGAAGAAGTACCCGCACTGCAAGGTGAGCAAAGAAGCGCTCTTCTTCTTCTTCTTTGTCGTCGTCGTCGTCGTTGACGTCGTTGTCGTCTGCGCTGTGTTTAATTTTTTTCTGTGGACGGCAACGCCCCTCGGTCGTCTCCTTTGCGTCGTTCGTTTTGAGGCAAACAGAGGATCGATAAGATTTTTCACCGCGATGATGATGTGTGTTTCTTTTTCTCTCTTTCTCTCTTTCTTTCTTTGGATGGAATACAACTGACAACTTATTAAACTTTACTTCTTCTTCTTCTTCTTCTTCTTCTTGTTCGTTCATCAGGTCATCGTTCTCGATAAGCTCGATTATTGCGCCAACGTGAAACACTTGAGCGAACTTTCGCACTTGTTAAATTTTAAGTTTATCATGGGCGATATTCAATCGGCAGATTTAGTTTCGTACATCCTACGAAACGAAAATATCGATACCATCATGCACTTCGCGGCGCAAACGCACGTGGATAACTCGTTCGGGAACTCCTTTGCGTTCACGGAAAACAACATTTTGGGCACGCACGTTTTATTAGAGTCGTGCAAAACGCTCGGTACCATCAAGAGGTTCTTACACGTCTCCACGGACGAAGTGTACGGGGAAAGCTCGTACGAGTTGAACGCCTCGAACACCGAGCACGCGAGTTTACTAGAACCGACGAATCCGTATTCAGCGACGAAGGCGGGCGCAGAAATGCTTGTCATGGCGTACGGACGCTCTTACGACTTGCCGTATCTCATCACGAGAGGAAACAACGTGTACGGGCCACACCAGTTTCCGGAAAAAGCGATTCCGAAATTTATCATGTTAGCAAAAAGAGGTTTACAAATTCCTTTGCACGGGGACGGGATGGCGACGAGGTCTTACATGCACGTCGCGGATGCCGCGAGCGCGTTTGATAGCATCTTGCACCACGGCGAAGATCGAGGTGTGTATAACATTGGCGCGCAAGAAGAACGAACGGTGCGCTCCGTCGCCGAAGATATTTGCAGTGAATTGAAGTTGAACGCGGACGATATCGTCACGTACGTGAAAGACCGCCAATTTAACGACCGCAGATACTTTATCGATTGCTCGAAGCTCCTCGCTTTGGGATGGAAGCAAGAAAAATCGTGGGAGGACGGTTTGAGAGAAACCATCGCTTGGTACGAGAAGAATGGCGAAAACGATTATTGGGGCAATCTTTCGGCCGCGTTAGTCGCGCACCCTACGGGTGGGCACGTCACGGCGTCGCCGAATGTTTTCGAGGAAATCGCGGGAAGTACGGCCGAGGGAAAAGCCGACGACGCGGCGGAAGCTAACAGACCGGTGTTTTTAATCTACGGTCGAACCGGATGGATCGGCGGTATGCTCGGTCGCCTCTTGGAAGAGCAAGGACATAAGTACTACTACGGCGCGGCGAGATTATACGATAGAAAAGCCGTGGAAGATGACATTGCGCGATGCAAACCTACCCATATTCTGAACGCTGCCGGTATCACTGGTAGACCGAACGTCGATTGGTGCGAATCGCACAAGAAAGAAACGGTTCAAACGAACGTTACCGGTATTTTGACCTTGGTCGATCTCGCGGATGAGAACGGCATCCACGTCACCAACTTCGCCACCGGTTGCATTTATTCCTACGACGAAAAACATCCAATTGGAGGTCCGGGATTTACCGAGGATGATGCGCCAAACTTTGGCGGTTCCTTCTATTCGCACACGAAAGGGATGGTGGAAGACTTGCTCAAAAACTACGACAACCTCTTACAGTTGCGGTTGAGAATGCCCATCGATCACCGATTGGATAATCCGAGAAACTTCATCTTTAAAATTGCAAACTACGACTGCGTCGTCGACGTGCCGAACTCGATGACGGTTTTGGATGAACTCGTTCCGTACGCCATCGATGGCGCGTTGCGAAAGCTTACCGGGATTTACAACTTTACCAACCCAGGAGCAATCTCGCACAACGAAGTTTTGCAACTGTATAAAGATTACTGTTCGCCGAATTACACGTGGAAAAACTTTTCATTAGAAGAGCAAGATAAAATCTTAGCCGCTCCGAGAAGTAACAACGAGTTGTGCGATAAGAAGATTAAATCCGCGTGGCCGCAAATTCTTAACATCAAAGACAGTTTGATTAAATATGTCTTTGAGCCGAACAAACAGAGTGGCGGTAAAGTGAGAGGCGGCGTTAAAGGAGAATGTTAAAGAGCAGCCGCGTGCGTTGTTCTTCTCTGAGAGTTCATCTTGTTATTAGTTTTGTTAAATCCCGCGTTGAAATAAATAAATAATTCTTTTTACTCACACACCACTTAAGTGTTGCGCGCACGAGTATCGTGAATCACAAAATACTCCACGCGCGGAGAGGAACGCATGGAAATGGCTACCACCGTAAGTACTGTAACTACTGCTATTCCCACCACCTCCACGCCAACGATGCACGCCGCCGAGGAGGGCGAAGAAAACGAGGAAGAAGCACTACCGCCGACTCGAAGAAAAAAGTCAATTCATTACATCATGCAGTCGAGGGATAAAGACAACGAATACTTGAAGGAGTTCATACACAGCGATTTATGCGTTGAGTTTCAAGAGAAAGCAGAGTGGAGGTCTTGGGCGTGGAGCAAAAAAACGTCGCAGCTTAAAAAAGAAATCGTTGAGAGTTACGCGGTAGCAAAGAACGTTGATGTTGTTCTGGCAGCCATGCAACGAGCTGGAAGGGAACGGAGTGAAAAAGTTGTCTTCTTCGACATGGCGAGTGGGAAAGGATTTACGTCCATCGTTTTGGCAAAAAAGTTTCCAAGTTCGACGGTACACATGCTTGATAACAATAAAAACATGAACCTCTCTCATTTAGACGCGGTGCCGACCGTACAGTTCAAAAATATTGATCTGTTTTCTGAAGAAGCCGAGAGTTTGATTATGGACGCTCTCATCGAGCACGACGGCTTTGGCGTTATGGTTGGAATGCATTTGTGCGGTAATCTCAGCCGGCGTGCGATTGAAATGTGGACAAACATAATGACAAAAGGTGAAAAGTTGCGCGCAAACTCCTTCAACCTGGGATTGGTTCTTTCTCCGTGCTGTTTGCCTCACAAAGTTAGAGTTCCGAAGAGGAAATATAATGATTTCGGGTACTGGATTCAATCGACGCAACGACAATTCGGAATTGATGGATACGATTTATGGGCGACTTCGTTGTATAATCTCGTTTGCTCTCACGTGGGACATACCATGCGCTCAACGCAGAAAAGATTTTTCCGGGATGAGAACTTGTTATCGCCCACGAATTGGTTTATTTTAGTGACTCCAATGGAAGCGAAACGCAACGACATCTGTCAACCGTGCGTGTGATATATGCTTGACGAATGTATTTGTAGCTTGTGCAGCAGCAGTAATAATAGTAATAATAATAATAATAATAGTAATAGTAATAGTAGCTCAGTTTAGTTTTGTAGTTCTAGAAGTGATAGAGCAACTTAGCAAAGCACTTTTCAAGAGAGATATCTTTCTTTGTTAACTAGTCGCGTCGTGGCTACCCGGATTGTCAACACGACAACAGCTATTGCGTAATACGAAAATAGGCACCACCAAAGAGCATAATAACGCGCTTCTGGATTTAGATATTTGTTGATCGCAAACACGGCGGCCATAAAGGTACTCGTTCCGATGGCTGTCAATCCCGCTAAAAACGAAAGTTGTTTCATCGCAACCATAACTCCGTATAAAGATTTTGACACTATATTTGCTACCGTTGCTGCAAACACTGGAAGCACTACACTTCGCGCGCAAGCGATGACGGAACTGTCTGTTGTGAAACCAGAAGCGCCAAAGTAAAGCAACCAGAAGCATATCGACGCCGAAACGATACCAACCATGTATCCCATCGCTTGAACGATAAGTGCCATTTTTCGAGCGTTTCTACCATCATTTTTCGGCGTAAACGCAATATATTTAGGTAACATTGTTTGTCCAACCTGTACTAGTGGATCTCCGCATAATGCGCAGACTGTGAAAATGTTTCCAGCTATTCTGTGCGCGGCAGAAGCGACGTTTCCGATTGCATTCGCCTGTAAAATAAGAACCACGTATAATGACAAGATGGAGAAACTCAGAAACGTTATGGGAGCAAAAAACTTCATCACAGGTGCACACATTTCCTTCGTTGGGATAATTGACATCGGCGGAGATATCATCTGCGTAGATGGAGCAGGAGGTGGAATGTGAAACAACTTCCGTCTTCTCAGAACTGTGAAAATACAAATGGCGCCAACATATAGCGATGCCGACGTTGCCCACGCTGCTCCGGTTGCACCTTGCTTTAACGTCACAACGGCAACATAATCTAAAATAACATTCGTGATTGCTGCTAACGAAACGCACATGAGCGGTGTTATCGTATCCTCGCGTGCGACGAGAGAAGCGTATCCAGCACCCGTTAAAAATGCCGCCGGCATTGCTAATCCTCGTATTTGAACGTATTTTCTTGCGACTTCCCTCAAAGGTCCAATCTTTTCTACGCCAAGCAATGAAAGCAATGCGTCCGGAAAACATACGAGTAACGCAGCGAGTGTTATCGCGAGCGTGAACGATATAAACATTGCCCCGTACACTTTTCTTTCCATGTCGCGTTTCGGCTCTCTCACTGCCAAACCGTTCGAGACGATAGACGTGACGCCAGCGGTAACGAACATGAACAAGTTCACCGGGTAATCCGTCAAAGGAGTGGCAACACCTAACGCAGCTAAAGAAACAACGGCGTCTGATGCGTATCTACCTACGAAAGCAGTATCTGTCATCGTCAATAAAGGTGAAATAACGTTCGACGCCATAAGTGGGAGGATGAAAAGTATTATGCCTTTGATTTTATCTCGAACGACGAGTGGCGCCGTCGACGGATCCTCTTCTTCTGCACGTATTGCTTCTCCTCCGGCAGCATCATCGCCGTTACCCGACGCGTACGCCGCCGCCGAAAAAGTTGTCCCGTGCGCTCTTACTCCGCTACTTTGTCGTTGTCGTCTTCGTCTTCGTCGTTGTCTTTGTCCTTGTTTCTCTCTGTTGTTGTTCGTTACACCAAACCAATGGGAAAAAACTCTTCTGTCGCCGTCACCACCGTTTCCTTTTCCTTCTTCTTCTTCTTCTTCTTTCCACCTCGAGATGGCGGATGGTGCATTTAAAGATCCGCGGCGAATACTTCTTCTCTTAGACTGCGCAGTCAAGAAGGACGACGATGTTGACGATGAACGCGCCGCCAAAAGATTTCTGTTATCCATCTTCTTGATGTGTGTTGTTATTCTCTCTCTATTTTTTGTGAAGGAAGTGCGCGACGAGAAAGCGACTTCAAAAGCTGTGAAGAAACAAACAGTTAAGGGCGGGTTGATATACATTTTTACATACAAAGTTCTTTATTACACGCTGTTTTGTTACTGTTTTATGTTTAATCATTTAAACTCTCGCGGCGCTTTTCCATCTCGAATTCACCGCGTATACCTTCGAGTGTTCCACGACGCCCGCGTCGCCATTTTCAACAACCTCAGCATCGAGACATAAAAGTGGCTCAGTTTTAGAGTCATCACACAACTCACGATACATGTCCTCTTCGTCGTCGTCGTCCGCGAAAATTCGAGTAACTGCGACATAAATGGAAAATAACACCAACGAAATCAAGGATACGGAGATAAAGCACGTCAACACGCGCTCGCGTCGCATTTTGCGTTCCCGGTAACGTCTGTATTGCACCGTCGTCGGCGGCGGCTTTGGCTTTTCACCAAGTCTGCTGCTGCTTCCGTCCTCTAAACTACCAAAGAATCCATCCACGACGGTTTGGAAATCCTTCATAAGTGCTACGTCGGCGTCCATACCATCATCGTTTGAAGAGGAGGAGGAAGAGGAGAAGAAGACGAAAGGTTGCGAGCGTGAATACCTGTCGCCTTCGCCAGGCGACGATAAGGTTTCAAATCCAACGTTATCATTGATGATATCGCTGTTACCGTCTTCTTCTTCAACGAAAGAAATCAAAGGGACTCGAAAGACGCGGCTGGAAAAGTAAGTCGGTTGCTGCGAGAGATAGTTTTGACGCGCCGAACCGAGGAAAGAAGCGTCTGAAGTCTCGTCTTGACCAAACAATGACGAAGAGGAGGAGAAAGTGGAATCATCCATCCCATCTCCAAAGAAAGAGCGCATCATCATACCCGGAATAGAAATATCCAAATTTTCATTCGCATTCGTCGTCATTCCGTTCCCGGCTGGACCTTCGCACGCAATCATTTCTGGCATCGCTCCTTCTTCTCCCTCTTTTCCTTCTCCCTTTGCCTCTTCGGTGCTTCCTTCTTCCGCGTAGGATGACGAGGCCATCATCGTTCGCGCATCGTCGCCTTCTTCTTGAACCTGTGATCGGTGAGTGAAAGAGAAAAGGAGAATAAAAGTCAGTACATTTTTGATTCGATTCGTAAACAACTTGGATTTTCTTTTTCGGGCCAACACTCTTTTCCTAGAAGCTTCTTGCATCCCCGAGGGGAGAAAAGAAAACAGAATACCGTGCCGTGACGCGGGATTCGCAAAGGACTATAGCGGGCACATCGCGAACGAGAATTCCGGACAAAAAGAGACTAAACATAACACGCACCATTTCTTCGCTGCTTTCGAAATCAAACCCGGCGCCGTCGCACACGCACGACTTGTACACGCCGCCTTGCCACGTCTTACACAGAGATTTATTCTCGTTGAGTTTCCCTTCCCCGCAATTCTTTTCGCAGTTTTCCAGGAATCCAACGCACTGGTCGTCCTCCGCGGAAGCGTGAAAAAATGGAGGCGAGGAGGACACCATTGCGAGGACAAAAACGGCGAGGATAAAATGCAGTCTCATGATCTGCGCTTTTATATTCGCAAGCAAAAAAACGCGTTTAAAGTGTACAAACTTTTGAAGTATCGAAAGAGAAGAATGACGGAAGCGTCAGCGAGTTTGTTTTATCTTTCTGATATTTTTATTTCTTCTCTCAAATGCAGCTAATTAAGGATACAACGGCAGGGCGACTGTTTCGTTACATTTGACGAAAATACTCTGGATGTTGCCCCATCGTCGAGGGATGTGTTTTACCGCACCTTCTATGGCAACGACGGTGTTTTCCACGACGTCTTCTACGCTCATCGCGGATGTACCCGTTTTCACGCGAACGCACGTCCCGCTACTCAAACTCAAATACGTCGCCGACGTCTTGCTTCGAATTTCCTTGGCCCAGTCCTTCTTTGTCAAATCGACCGGAATCGGTTGTCGCTTCTTCTTGAAAAACGTCTTACCGAGCAGTTTAGGTAACACTGGAATCACTCTCTCGTCTGCTAAGAATAAATCGTACGAATCGCACAGCTTTCTCTTCGCCTCGTGCGGTTTGTAGTTGTTTCGCAACTTGCTCACTCCTAAAACTTTCGCTATTCCCGCTTTGTCCTCTCCCATGGACTCGACCTTCAATTTTGCCTCTTTGTGTCCTTTACCGTCGTTATCTTTTACAATCAAGCACAACTCTGCGGTTTCTAAGTTAATCATAGAATGTGGAATGCGAATGGCTTTCATTTTCGCGTTGCTCTTCGCGCTTCCAACCGGTTGCGTTCGCAAAGAGATGAGAACGCTGTACGCATCGTCGCCTTCGTCTTCAAACAAAGGATCTTTCTCTTTCTCTTGCTTTACTTTGTCCAAATGCAAACGCAACGCGGCGATTGCTTTTTGTATCTGCGCTTTATCCACTCGGGATGGTTGAGGTTGTTCCTCGTCCTCTTCTTCTTTCTTCTTCGTCTTTTTTTTTGTTGTTGTTGTTGTTGTTGCTGCTTTTGTTTTCTTCGCTGCGCTGGCGGCTGGTGCCTTCTTCGGTTTGGCAACCATACTTTTTGTGGAGTTGAAAAAAAAAAAAAAAGAAGAAAAAAAAAGAGATGTTTTTTCGAGATGGAACGAGAGAGAGACGCAACGCAGTCCGCACAAATAAGCTGGCAGGCGTCCAAACGTGGCTTAAAAAAATTACATGAACGCGTCAACAACGACGAGCGTCGCAACGCGCGCGCACGCGAGAAAAGTCTCCTCGAGCGCCGCGAAAAACAGAGTTAAACGCTCATCGTCGTCCTATTCCACTTCTTCCTCCAAAATCTCCACGTCGTTGTCCTCCAGACAAAACATCGGTTATGGTGGATTACGACAGAAACGAGGAGATGACGTCTTTGTTGTTTCCACGAAAGCGATTCAAGAACCGGAAACGGAAACCACAACTTCATCCTCCTCATCTTCATCCTCGTCATCCTCATCGATGCGAGATATGAAGTCACAGATGAAAGACATACGAATGCAAATGGAAGAAAACGAAGACTTGAACGTGTTAATGAGCGGATTACGAGGAACGAATATCGACCAGTCAGATTTTGCTGAACAAGGCGTTGAGATGAAAGTGATTGATTTCGATAAATACGACGATGGGACCAACGAAGATAAACTACCTCTGGTATACGACCCCGAAGCTATTGAGCGTTATTGGTCGAAACGATCCGGTGCGGTCGTTCAAAGAGCATTTCAACTCGCCACAATCGGTGGAGGATTTATCAGCGGCTTGGTCGCCGACTTCATTACGAAGAAAACGGAGGAAAATTCCGTGAAGCGAGCGATTCAACTTCGAGAAATCGTCACGTCGTTAGGGCCGGCATACATCAAACTCGGTCAAGCGCTCGCAATTCGTCCAGATTTACTCGGTCCGCAAGCTATGGTTGAGTTGCAAAAATTGTGCGATAAAGTGCCTTCGTTCGATAACGAGCTCGCTTTTCAGACGCTCGAGAACGAGTTGGGATGTAAATGGCAAGACGTGTATTCCGAACTCGGACCGGAACCAGTCGCCGCGGCTAGTTTAGGACAGGTGTACAAAGGTGTCCTTAAAAGTAACGGAGCGACCGTTGCGGTAAAAGTTCAGCGACCGGCAGTGTTGGAAACAGTATCGATTGATTTATTCGTTTTGCGACGCATCGGATTATTCCTTCGCACGGTTGAAGGATTCAACACCGACGTCGTCGCGCTTTTAGACGAATGGGCTTTGCGATTCTTCGAGGAGCTTGATTACGTCAACGAAGGTCAAAATCAAATCAAGTTTGCGGAGTCTATCAAGAAGGATTTACCGCAAGTTGTTGTCCCGGGGACATACATGGAGCACACGAGGCGAAAAGTCATCACGAGCGAATGGCTCGAAGGCGAGAAACTCTCGCAAAGTACCGCGGACGATGTCGGAGATTTAGTGAAAGTTGGTGTCATTTGCTATCTGAAACAGCTCCTCGATACCGGGTTTTTCCACGCGGATCCTCACCCGGGGAATTTGATTCGCACTCCGGACGGAAGACTCGCTATTTTAGATTTCGGTTTGATGACGCAAATTGACGAAAACATTAAATACGGCATGATTGAAGCTATTTCGCACTTGATCCATCGCGATTACGACGCCATCGTGAATGACTTCGTGACGCTCGATTTCATCGAAGAAGGCACGGACTTGTCGCCTCTTTCGGCGCCACTCGGGAGAGTTTTCGATCAAGCGCTCGAAGGCGGCGGGGCCAAGAGCATAAACTTTCAAGAGCTCGCGGCTGATCTCGCACAAATTACGTTCGATTTTCCGTTTCGAATTCCGCCGTATTTTGCGATTATTATTCGTGCAATTGGTGTCTTGGAAGGTATCGCGCTCGTCGGTGATCCAGACTTTGCGCTCGTCGACGAAGCGTATCCGTATTTATCGAAACGTTTGTTGACGTCAAACGACGACGCGCGATTACAGGAGGCTCTTCGCTATATGGTCTACGGGAAGTCTACTGTATTTGACGCCGACCGCTTGATTGATTTACTCGAAGCCTTGGAAAGCTTTAAAAGAGACGTCTCGACGTCTTCGGGCGTCTCCGCCGAGGCGAGCGCAAACTTGGAAAAGAAAACATCGCGAGAAGCTTTGCAATTCGTTTTATCTCCGCAAGGTAGTTTCTTCCGCGAATTTCTTCTTGATGAAGTAGTCAAGGGCGTGGACGCCTTGAGCAGAGAATCTGCGGTGGCAGTGTTAACCAGCGTTGGCTTGAAAGACGCGAGAATTCCCATTTTATTTCCCGTTCTCGGGTTGCCGAATAGCATCGCTTTGGCCCCGAAAGTCACGCAAGAGGATAAAGATACCGCAGAAAACGTGACGAAACTTTTGAACTTTTTACTCGGCCGAAGTGGTAATAGTTCAGGTTCGAATGAAAACGCATTTACGCGAGAGACGTTCGAGGAAATGCGCCCGTTTTTGCCCGCCGTTGCGAACCAAATTCTGCCGACGCTCGTCGAACGCCTGTCGTCCAGGTTAGCGGCGCGAGCCGTTCGGGAGATTTTCGCGTAAAGACAATGTGTGTGTGCGCGCATGCGCGTGTATTCGTAGTAGAGAGCTAATCATAGATTTAAATGCGCTTTGTATCATTAATATATTGTTGATAGTAGTATTCATCGCGATTAAATAAAGAATAATTTCGCACATATAAACCAAAACGGTCGGTGGACTAGTATTCGTATTTTTGAAGCATCGACCAACCAAAGAAAAAATAAAAGCCCCTAACTCGTAGAGGAGCCGAAATCACTACACGCCATTAGTTAGCGCACACACGTACAAACATGGTGAAGCACAACAACGAAATCCCCCACCAGCACTTCAAGAAGGATTGGCAAGGGTACGTCATTATCTCCTTTTACGCCGCGTTTATCGTTCGCGTCTTCGAGAACGCGCGTCGAATAGCGTTCATTTTCTCCCTTTTTTCCCTTTACGCGCGCGAACCCCGCTCACTCACGAATTTTAATCTATTCTCTTATTACAGGAACTGCTCGCAATCTTTCGTGCGAACATGGTTTAACCAAGCCGGTCGCAAGAAGTCCCGTAGAATTGGTACGTTTACATGGTTACTTTTCGAATGAGCACGTCGCGTGTGGTCCGTTCGGGTGCATTTCCGCCCGTCCACATTTTCGCTTCAAAGCGAAAAACAAAGCCCTTTCGCCATTTACACCAGCTCTTTCGCGGAAATGACGTTGGACTCTGTTGGTTTATGTTCGTTTCGCTGACGTCTCTCTTACTCTCATTTTGCACCTCTACTAAACAGCACGCGAGAAGAAAGCAAAAGCTACCTTCCCGCGCCCAGTCTCTGGTGCTTTGAGACCGGCGGTCCAATGCCCGACGCAAAGATACAACTTTAAGCAAAGACTCGGCAGAGGTTTCACGCTCGAGGAGTTGAAAGCGGCTGGTATCCCGAAAAAACTCGCCCCGACCATTGGCATTTGCGTCGACCACAGGCGAAAAAACAGATCGGAGGAGTCTTTGACGACAAACGTGGAGAGATTAAAGGCGTACATGTCTAACTTGATCCTCTTCCCGCGTAAGAACTCGAAGCCGAAGCACGGCGATGCGGACAAGGCTACGATCGCGGCTGCCACGCAGCACAAGGGTGCTACTATTATGCCGTTGGAGAAGAAGAAGTCTGGTGCGGTTGAGATGGTCACGGTGACGGATGAAATGAAATCCTTCAAGGCGTACCAAAAGTTGAGAACGGAGATGATGAACGTCTGGCAGGTTGGCCCGAGAATCAAGAAGGCGGAAGAAGCGGCCAAGAAGGCGGAGGAGGATGCCAAGCTCGCGAAGATGAAGTAAGCTTTTTTGATTTTTGAGACAGTCAGAGAGAGAGAGAGAGAGTTTGTTATAGAAGAGATTCCAATAGATGTAATAGAAAGAATAATATAATAAGAATAATTTAACGATGATTAAGCTAAGAACGAACGACGAGGAAGAGGAGTAAGGGGAGGACGATGCACGCCGGAGTTCGTCTACATCCCCAATCGTTTCCTGATCTCGACGTATCGCTTTTGATTCGAATCATACTTCGGATCGCACGCGTTCCCATCCTCGTCTACGAAAGGTATTAACACGTCGCTCACATCCACGCCTTGTTCCTGCGCCTTGATGGTCACGTCGTATAATTGATTTCGCATAGTTAATTGACCGAGCATTCGAGTCGGGAGGAATTTCGGGTCCCCTTTCTTGGGAGGTTTCCAATCATCTGGAACCCAATCCATGCCTTCCGCGTCTCCGAACGGATAGGCATCCCCAGGTAAATCAAAATCGTAATACAAATCTGAAGTATCTATGCCATTCTTCGTGCATTTTTCCATCTCTTCTCCCACTCTTTGCTCCAGTCTCATTTGCGAAGCTTTCGTCGCACCAACGAGAAAAACAGATAAGCCGCCGAAAGCGACAAATCCAGGCGGTAACGCAGAGGTCGTCGCGAGCGAAGAAGAAGCTCTGCGCTGAGATGGCGTGTTACTGGTCGATGGTTTCGAAACCGTGAGTGGAGCGTTCACCGCGCGCATTATTACTATACTATTTGTATTTGATTTATGATGATGATGATGAGAAGAGAGTATCTTCGTGAGTTTTTGAGGCATGCAGGAAAAGATCTTTAAAAACAGAAAAAGATAAAAGAGCTCTCCCGCACACTCCTTCCTCTCCTCAAAAGTATTTTCTTTCTCTCTCTCTCTCTCTCTCTCTTTCATCTGTTGCGAGCTAAAAGTGCAACGTCAGAAACGAAGGGATACAGAAGAGCGAGTAATTAACGAGATCAACGTCATGTCCGCCTCGATGTCCACGTCTATGGCACTCGGAGCGCGACACAGCGTCGCGCAAAGAAAGAAGGTATCATCATCTTCATCGAGACCAAAACATTTTAGAAGAGGAAGACATACTGCCATCACCACTGTCGTCCCGAAAGCGGCGGTTTCGGAGCCTCAAGACAAAGCTGAAGCTGCGGCGGCGCGATTGAAACAGCTCGAAGAGATGCAAATGGACGAAGACGCGAATAAAGAAGTCATATCTTCCGGTGTGCGTCAAGCGTTTCCTTTATCCATGGTCATCGGGCAAGAAAAGATCAAATCCGCGTTATTGCTGGGTGGTGTCGATGGCGCGCTCGGTGGTATTGCCATTTCAGGGAAAAGAGGTACTGCGAAGTCGATCATGGCGAGAGGGTTGCACGCGCTTTTGCCGCCGATTGAAGTCGTGAAAGGTTCCTACGCAAACTCCGACCCAGAAAATCCTCGCGAATGGGAAACCGGACTCGCGAACATCGTGCAAAAAAATCAAAAAACGGGCAACATCGAAACCTTCATCAAAGAAGCGCCGTTCGTGCAGGTGCCCTTGGGCGTCACCGAAGATCGTTTGGTTGGTACCGTCGATATCGAAGAATCCATGAAGCAAGGTAAAACAGTCTTTCAACCTGGATTGTTAGCTGAAGCGCATAGAGGTATCTTGTACGTCGACGAGATTAACTTGTTGGATGACTCCGTATCGAACTTGTTACTTTCTGTGTTGGCAGAAGGTGTTAACGTCGTCGAACGGGAAGGTATTACATTGAGACACCCGTGTCGACCATTATTGATCGCGACGTTTAACCCGGAAGAAGGTCAATTGCGCGAGCACTTGTTGGACAGAATCGCGGTGACTTTGAGTGCAGATCAAGTCATGAAGTTTGAAGATCGCGTTTCGGCGGTCGATCAAGCCATGGGTTTCCAAGACCAAGCTGACATTTCGGTGAAAAATGCGGCAGAGGCTACCGATGGTATTAAAAGCACGATTATTTTAGCTCGAGAGTGGTTGAAAGAGTGCACAATCAGTCGAGAACAGGTTGAATATTTAGTCAAGGAGGCGACTCGGGGTAAAGTGCAGGGTCACAGAGCTGAATTGTTCGCCGTAAGAGCGGCAAAGGCTTTGGCAGCATTAGATGGTCGATCAAAAGTAAACGCGGACGATTTAAAAGAAGCCGTCCGTCTCGTTATCATCCCACGATCGGAGCTTTCTGACATGGAAGAACCACCGCCACCAGAGGATGAGCAACCGCCGCCGCCGCCGCCGCCGCCCGAGGATAACATGGATGATGACGAAGATCAAGATGAAGACGAAGATGAAAACGAAAACGAAGAGGAAGAAGAGGACGACGTGCCAGATATTCCCGAGGAGTTTGTTTTTGATGCCGAAGGAGTTGTCATGGACGACGAAGTCATGCAATTTGCCAAAGCCACGAATAGAAGTGGCGGGAGATCCGGTCGTTCGAAAAATGTCATCTTTTCGCAAGACCGAGGACGTTACATCAAGCCAGTTTTACCCAAAGGCAACACGATTCGATTAGCCGTCGATGCAACGCTGCGCGCGGCAGCGCCTTACCAAGCCGCGCGAAGAAACCGAGATCCAAACGCGGAGAAGAAGAAAGTGTACGTCGAGAAGGGCGACATGAGAGCGAAGAAGTTGGCACGAAAGTCTGGCGCTTTGATTATTTTCTTAGTCGATGCATCTGGTTCCATGGCTTTGAACAGAATGAATGCATCGAAAGGTGCTGCGCTTTCCATCTTAGAAGATTCTTACAAGTCTCGCGACCAAGTTTGTATCATTCCTTTCCGTGGGGACGAGGCTGAAGTTTTGTTACCGCCGTCTCGCTCTATCTCTATGGCGAGAAATCGGTTGGACACGATGCCGTGCGGTGGAGGTTCTCCGTTAGCGCACGGCTTATCTGTTGCGGCTCGTACTGGCATCAACGCTATGTCGTCGGGCGATGTTTCGAGAGTTACCGTGGTGTGTTTGACCGACGGTCGAGCGAACGTTGCGCTTGGTAAATCTATGCGAGATCCAGAGTTTATGTCCCCTGATGCCCCAAAGTTAAGCAACGAGGAGTTGCAGTCGGAAGTTTACGACATGGCGAAGTTGATGACCGGGAACGGCATGTCACTTCTCGTTATCGATACGGAAAATAAATTCGTCTCCTCGGGTATGGCGGAAGAAATGGCGCAAAAGTGTGGCGGTAAGTATTACTACCTCCCGAACGGAACCGATCAAGAAATCGCGGCGGCGACAGCGAATGCTATGGCAGAAAGCAAGGCTTGATTTGATAATAAACTAACTGACTATGAAATTAAACAAACGACACAATTGAAGAAAAAGGAAAAGTACACGAACGTAATGATAATAAACACAATCTTGACTAGTAATTTTATATTTAAACGAAACCCAACCTTCGACCTCTCAGAACTCTTCATTCCACTCATTAATTGAACTTGCTGCCTGGCGGCCAATCAATGCCGGATCTTTGTGGAAAAAGAACGAGGCTGAGAGAAGAATGTATGCTAATATCAACACTAATCCTTTCAACCAATTCGATCTTCCATCCTGACAAACGAACGCGACTGTGATGACAGTTGTGAACAACGTCGCCGTCTCAAACATTTGCAAATTCAAATCCATAGGCTTGTCCATGAACCAGCCAACAATGACGCAAAACGGTATGACTAAAAGCGCGATTTGCGTCGACGAACCGACAGCTACTCCCAACGAGATATCCATTTTATTCTTCATCGCGAACATTACCGCCGAGGCGTGTTCGGCGGCGTTCCCAACGATGGGTAATAAAATTACCGAAATAAAAGCAACAGAGAAATCCCAAGACGCCGAGGCACCTTCGATAGTTGCGACTAAATAGTCGGATAAGATGGAGATAAAAACTGTAAAGACTCCAAGCCAAACGATGGAATCCCAAAAGCCGAGAACTAGTTCCTCGTCGTCGTCGTCGTCGTCGTCATCTTCTTCGTCTTCATAAAGATGCGTGTGCGTGACCAGTTGAAAATACAAAAACGCCAAATAGATTAAAAGAAGAATTGTACTCGAAAATCGAGAGAGAGCGAGTTCCGACGCGGTTCCGTGCAGCTCGGTGTGCGTAAAGTGCAACAAGGCTGGGAGCGATAACCCCATCACCGCCAACAAAAGCAAACCAAAATTCATCATGACGCCCTCGGCGTTGAAATATTGTTCTTTCCTCGACATGCCTCCAAAGAGAAACGCGCACCCAAGAACTAAAAGCATATTCGAAAGAATAGAGCCGAGCAAAGACAACTGGACGACACGTAATAATCCAGCTTTTAAAGCGTACATGGAGACGATCATTTCTGTGGCATTCCCAAACGACGCGTTCAACAAGCCGCCTACGGTTGAGTTTGTATATCCCGCCAACTGTTCCGTGACGAATCCCAAACGCTCGGCTAATGGGCAAATCGCAATCAACGAGAAAGTAAACGTTATGCCGTCTCCCCAACCGCCTCCGTTGGAAACAATCGCTAACGGGACGCACACCAACAGATAATTCAGTTTGTTTGTAAAAAACAACTCTTGCGTTGCTCTTTGCATGTAGACTGCGAAACCATCTTTCATCACGTCTGGTTTGTTCGCTTTGAAAATTCTGTTTTCACGCGAGGTGTTGTGAAAGCAATAGAGAAGTACGTGCTTCTTAGTACACAACAACGCGCGCGTTCTCGTCCACGTGGCCGAACAAACAAACTCTCGAATACGAGAAGAAGAAGAAAAGAAGAAAAAGAAGAAGAAGAAGAAGAAGGGTGCGAAATTTCTTTTATTAAAATCAGAGAAGGAAAGAACTTTTACGCGATTGGTGTCTAGAAGAAAAAGAAACGTACCCTCGTCCATCGTCTTCGTCGTCAGAATCCGGGCTAAACCGAAGCACGTCGGAATTGGAGACACCAGTGGTCATCTCGATTTCCACGGATTCTTTCTTCTTCGACATTTCTGTGGATGATGAGAGCAGCGGTGTTAGTCGAATACAATAATGAAGAGATAAATAACAAAATTTTTTTAGTAAGATCGTGTGGAAATCCCAAAAAAACAAAGACAATGGGAAAGAACTGAAAAAGAAGAAAGAGAAAAGAACGGAAGCGTAGTTCGCAAGGAGGGAGGGGGTCAACAAAATGCTAACAACTAGAACAAATATATTTACATTTCAACCATGCTTACTGCTACCACTGCTACTGCTATGTCTATTATTACTGCTACTACTACCATGCTTAGAAGGAGAAGAAGAAGACGAAGTTCCTAACAACGCCGCTCGTGTAGAACTGCTCAGTCTACTCAAAGACTCTCGCAATCCTTGATTTTGAACGCGATCGTTAAACTCATCCTCTTCTTTTCGCCTATCGTTCTCTTCTTTTCTCACTTCCCTCAACTTTTCTAAACGCTCTCGATCTTCCTGAGCTATTCTCGACTTTATGCTTTCCAACTCGCTCGAGGTGATTCTTTCAGGAACGGCGATGCGAATCGGTCGCAACGTATTCTTCGGCGGTCGAGGCAAGTAGTCCGCCCACTTATCCTTCAGCGCGGAAACTCGTAAACCTCTTTCAAACACATCTTTCTCGGTATTCTTGACTCTATCTTCCATTTGTTTGAACTTTGCCCAACCGATTTTAAACAACGGTTTGTCAGGAGGCGGAGGAGGTGCAAAAGTTAACGACGACTCGACGTCCACATTGTCTGGAACGTCGAAACGTATCGGGTTGCCTTGCCATACCGACGGCGTGTCTCTTTTCTTCCTTCCGTTGTCCTGCGTGCCTCTTCTGTTCTTACCGTTCTTGAAAGTGGACGAGCGATAGTACGACTCGTCGTCGTCGTCGTCGTCGTAAGAAGAAGAAGACGATGAAGATGAGAACACGAAGAAGAAGGCCAACGCAACAAAGATGAGAAAGAATACGACGAATATCTCACGCGACTGTCGTCGTTGTTTCGGTTGCTTCCGCGTGGTGCCATCGCGTTTCATGATATCGAGCCCAGTGAAAGTGAGCGAGAATAAAGAGAGACGCTTTGTCTTCTTCTTCTTCTTCTTTCTTTCTTTCTTTCTCTCTTCGTCAATACGGTGTAATGTGTTCTGTCCAGAAATGCTGCTTTTCATTTTTCTTGTTGGCATAAACTTTTCAAACACGATTTTTTCCGTCAAAACTTCATCTCTTTTTGCAACGAAAGAAGGGAGAAGTGCGCGCACTTACGGTGTAATAAAACAGACTCGATCGAGAGCAGAAAAAACGTATCGCGAGGAGAAGTGTGTTTAACTCAAAAAAGTTGAACGGAGATACGCATACATCAACAAAGAGAGAGAGAGAGAGAGAAGGAGAGAGAGAGAAGCAGAGAGAGAGAGAGATTTCATAAAATTAGTAGTTGAGAAAGAAAAAGAGAAGATGAGCAAGTCTGGAATGAGTTCAGCGGCAAAACGCATCCAAAAGGAACTCGCGGAAATCAGTTTGGAACCACCGACGAACTGTAGCGCGGGACCAAAAGGCGATAACTTATACGAGTGGGTGAGCACGATCATGGGTCCACCAGGTACGAACAGCTCCTCGCACTCTTCTTCGTTTTTTGTTTTTTTTTCCCTCTCTTTTCGCGAGCGCGTTCACACGACGACGAAATTCAAAAAAAAATCTTAATTCTTCTCTCTCAAAACAACAACCATAAATAAAATAAAACAGGCTCGCCGTATAACGGAGGCGTCTTCTTCTTGGACATTCACTACCCGACTGATTATCCATTCAAGCCTCCGAAAGTTACCTTTCGTACGAGGATTTACCACTGTAACATAAACTCCTCGGGACAAATATGTTTGGACATTCTCAAAGACCAGTGGTCGCCGGCGTTGACGATATCGAAAGTCTTGTTGAGCATTTGCTCCTTGTTAACGGATGCTAACCCGCACGACCCGTTAGTCGGGTCAATCGCGCAACAGTTACTGAATGATAAAGAAGCGCACGATAAAACTGCAGCGGAATGGACGAGGCGATACGCTCAAGGATAAAAAAAGGCAACGAAAAAACAAACGCTTCGCGAGTTTTCGATGTTATTATTCTTCGTAGAAATATATAGAATACTACGACAACGGTTTTGTGAATAGCAATTTTGATATCAAACTGTTTATCTTTCATCGCTCTCTAAATGTATCGTATCAATGCGATAATACTAGTCTGCGTTCAATTGCATCCAACTGTCGTTCGCATTCTTCTTTTCTCGCTTTCTTTGATGGAGTATCGATAACGAATGGTAGTTTTTGATATATCGCGTTCAAGTATAGCCACTGTTGTCGTAACACCGCTTCTTCGCCGTTTTCCTCCTCGGTAAGCAACTCTTTATCGCGAGCTAATGGCGCAGTCACAACACGATTATCATGTGCGATGTTTTTCTTAATCTCTTGTAAATACTTCGGAACTTTTCCGCGCGTCTTTCTATTGTACTCCTCGAATAGCCTGGCATCGCCAGTTTTCGTCACCTGTGGGTTTCCTTCGGTAAAGATAACATCGAGTGCGTTCTTTTTCACTCGATCGATTACTACTCGCTCTCTCAGTTGACCCCGGTCAGACGGTATTGGTGCTTTTATTCTCGCTTTTTCGCGCGCGCTGTCTTTGATGGTCTCGATCATTGGTCGTCGAGCTCGCTCGGCTGCGTTCAATTTCACCGACGAGCTACGTTGAAGAAACGATTTCGGGTCCGGTTCCAGAGCATTCCTTGCCTTCCCAAACGTAGCAGCTAAACGTCTATCGTTAACACCAAACGTAGGGAATGCAGATGGATGGATCGATCCGGTGTATTTGCTCTTGTATCTTTCTCTCGTCTTTTCTTCGCTTTCTTCGTCTTCGTCTTCCTCTTCTTCTCCTTCTCGTTTCTTGTAGTCCTCGTCGACTTCATCGGCTTCGACGTTCGATGACGGCGATGGTGACACTTTAGTAATCAGCGCGAATACCGATTCTTTCTCGTCCATCTTGACAACCGTCCCGCTTCTGGTTACGCGTTAAAGTGTCGAGTGGTCAAAGTTGTGTGGTGTATTTTTTATTTTTAGATTTATTTTGACTTTTTCTTCTCCAGTTTCCCACACTCCGAGAGAGCGAGAGACAGAGAGAGGAAGGAGGAAGGAGAAAGTATCTTCAAAGAAAGGAGCTGGAAAAATGAGACGTTCACTCCGTCTATTTTGCATCATTCCTTTCTTTTTGCTGTTCGCGCTACCTCCTACAGTGCACGCGTCGTTGAAAGCTCCGAGGCGCGTGTCCTCGTCACCGCACATTCTAAAGCCGGGAGAGGAAGACGCGTTCCTTGAATCGCAACTGAAATCGTCTTCTTCGGTGACACCATCGTCAACCCCAACCTCGGGTGATGACGATAGACACCATCATCAGCAGCATAAACATCACACGCATGAGCACGCGCACCGCATAGTGAAGAAGGAGCACCACAAACGCGCCGCGAGTCACGAATGGACAGATTCCAGCAAAGAAGTAGATACAAAAACACTAACAGCAACAGTAAAGTCGTCTGAAGAACGCCCACACGTAGGTGTATACGGAGCAACGAGTTCAATCAAGACTGCGTCATCATCATCATCATCATCATCATCATCACCATCACCATCATCATCACCGTCGTCGTCGTCGTCGTCGTCCCTGGATTTGTCCCCAGAAATTTCTCCCTTGCCTGCGCCAAACTTTCCGCTACCGTTTTGCGCGGAATGTGACGGATGCGCAGTGGACTGGACGAAAGCGTCGATTTCAGCAAACTCTGTGAACCAGGTGTGCGCGGGAACTGCTCCGTGTTCGGGGTGCGACGACGTGATCCTTCGTCGCATCAACGGGACATATGCGTTAAAGAATGAAAAAAGACAAAAGTATAAAGTAAAGCGTGAAGTCGGCGCCAGCGCAGCAACAGTTCTACGCGCAGATTACGTCAACAAAGATGTGGGAGAATCGTTCGACGCTTCCGGGGAGTTACTCTCTTTACCATTCGTCAAGTTTCCGTGCATTCCTGGGTTACCGCGTCACAATCGCAAGTGCGCCAGGCAACACATAGAAGACGAGAAAGGCAAAGATTTGTTATCCATTCGAAACGTTGAGTCCGTGCAGAAACTGAGCGATTTCTGCGGATTGGAAAACGTCGCCTCTCGAGCGTGGTCGGCAAAGGTGAAATCTACCGCACCGGCGGGTATACCGATAGATCCATGGTCAGTGCATCCAGAATCCGTCGCTGTCGATCAGCTCGGAGCGTTCACTTCCCCGGCTGCAGGCATTGGGTTAAACTCCATATGTCAAATTGCCAACTCGGATTCGGATGTCGCGCATATTATAGATTCGGTTCCATCGGAGCAAATCGTTCGAGCGGCTTTGTACGAATTCATCTTTTGTTCGGGTGACAGACACACGCAAAACGTTTTCATCGATGACGATGCGCGGGTAAAGCTGATCGACAATGATAACCTTCTAGGATGGCAAGTATATGACGAGCAAAGAAATAGACTCTGCGCAATCAGTTCGCTCTTCCTACCCGGGAACTTGGAATCGTGGCGAGTGCGCGAAAGCGCCGAGTGCGCGGGAAAACTTGGTTCGTTAGACTATCGGTGTCATGTGAACGCTAACGCGCAAATAAAGCTCCCTCGGCGAACGAAACAATGTTTAGAGCATTTTAAATCAACGAGCGTGGATGAGTTGGTCGAACAATTTGGCATCGTTCATAACGTCTTTGCTCGAACGCTGAAGCAAAGAAGTATCGATTTGCTCGACTCGGGATTACCGAAAGCTTTAGAAAATGCGATGAAGACCGAACACGAGATTGCGAAGGAAAAATCAGACATATTTCATCCTGAATTGAATTGGGATGAGATGACTCAGCAACAACGTCAAGGAATGGTTGCTGTGCGCGACTCCTTTTGGCGACGTATTGAGCCCCCGAATTGTGCGGGAGTTCCCATGGGCGGTCGTTGGGACAACGCAGTAGAAGATTTGAGAGCGTAGAAGTAGAACATCGATTGGAGTTGTTATAGGCAAATACGTAGGCAGATAGATTCGTAGTTTATGCGCGCTTTATCACTCACGCCCTCTTGTTTTTTCTCTTTGCTTCAGTCATGGCGTAATCTCTTTTCCGGATGAAAGTCATCACCGTGGCGTTGAAGTTGCCAAGTGCCATCAAGACGAAGAGCGACCCAGCCACCAACGCTTGCCATTCGCTCAATCCTTTTCCGTTGCGCGCGAATTCTTTGTACCACCTCAGCAAAACTTGACATCCAAACACGAGCTGCATCGTCTGTAACGTTAACAAAAGCGGCCACAGAAGCTTTAATCTGCTTCCAGATTCTGTCGCCGAAACGTCCATCGGCGACGCTTTGCCAATTGCGACACGCGTATACATGCGAAAGCGCTGGTATCGATTCTGAAGAAACATGACGATACCTTGGCAGAACGTGAAGAAAAGGAATCTTCCAATAAACGTAACGCATGAAGGGGAATCGACGTCCATGGTTAAGACGCACAACGCCATTGCCATGGAGTAGTAGTGATGCTGAATCCACCAAGGCCGAATGTTACTTCCGTTTGCTTTTAGGATGTTCTCGCGCAGTCCGAGCGAGGTGTAAAAATACAACAGCCAACTGAAATATGCCTGTAACGCGATGGGGTACGAAGCAGTTAATACTGTCTCCACGAATTCTGAGTGCTTGGAAGCTGCTATCTGGCTTTGGAGAAAGAAATGCCCCGAATGTTTCGAGTTGTACCAAATAAACAACACGAGCGGAAAGAGGAAATAGCTGATGGTTTGCGTTTCCCGGAAGTTGACGTATTCTTCCTTTAATCGCATTCTCTCTTCCGTTTTACGGGACACTAAGTTTACCGCCGACCCGAGTAAATACTTTATGAATCGACTGTGCTTGGCTGGCGTGACGAATCCCCCGAGTTGCCCACCCGGACCGGCGCCATCAAAAACCAAGCGCGCGTTTGCCACGTGCTCGTTCGTCGCATCTTCTTTCTCCAACTGTTTCAGCTCGTTTTTCAGCTCGTCGAGTTCGCTCCTCAACAACTCCAAAGTCGAGTTGACGTGCATCACTCTCCCGCTAATGTTCTTGATTTTAGCTTCCACTTTTGAAGCTCTCTCGTCGAGCGACGTCATTCTATCCTCGTCGAACTCGTCGTCGTCGTCGTCGTCGCCGCCTTCCGCACTCATAATATTTGGTATCTTCTTTTTTGCGAATAAAATGGAGAAATTTGAAAGCGAAATGGAGCTTGGAAAACTGCATTGTGAACTCTGAAACTCTGAAAGGAAGAACGAAAGGAAGAACGAAAGGAAGAGAACGACGCGATGATTGTTTCTGAGGTTGAGCAACAGATGCGGGAGAGGAAGATGTCCGCGCTGCAATCTTTAACGACGTCTTCTGCACCTTCATCTCGCGTGATGTTATACACGACGCCTGGGGAAGTTGTTGACGGCGTCAATGCATCGGAAGGTTTCCTAAAAGGCCACGGGACGCAAGTCTCCGAGGGAGAGTTGAGAGCGACGGTGTCTGGTGTCGTAGAAAGAGTGAATAAGTTAGTCTCCGTGAAACCGATGAAAGCAAAGTACACGCCAGAAACTGGAGACGTCGTGGTCGGTCGGATAAACATGATTTCCTCGAAAAGGTGGAAAGTTGATATAAACTCGAGACAAGAGGCGGTTTTACAACTCTCGAGCGTAAACTTACCAAGCGGTCAACAAAGACGACGTAACGAAGCTGACGAGTTGAACATGTCGCGATTATTCGACACCGCTGATGTCATATCGGCAGAAGTACAGTCGTTATTTCAAGACGGCGCGGCAAACTTACATGCGCGTTCCACGAAATACGGAAGGCTTTCGAGAGGCGTACTCGTGGAAGTATGCCCGAGTTTAGTGAAGCGGCTGCCACAGCACTTTCACGCTTTAGAAGTTGCACCGGGTGTTTTTATAGAGGTTCTCATAGGATGTAACGGATTCATATGGGTCGGGTCGCCCGGCGCCGCAACATCGAAGCAAGCGACAAACGAAAAAAGCAAGACGCACGAAGAGGAACTCGTTGTGGTAGATAAAAAGGAACGAGAAAACATCGTGAGAGTGGCGAATTGCGTCCGAGTGTTGGATGAAATCTTCTTTTACGTCACGCCTCAATCGATCATGAGCATTTATAAACAATCTGAAGGCATAGATGCGAAAAGTATTTTAACGTCGGATGGATTTCTGGCGCGAGTCATTGAGAGAGAGATTGACGCTCGAACGCGTACAGAAGAAGACGCCGACATGCTTTGATAGTGGATAGATACTAGTTTCAGTCACATATACGGTAGTAAATTTATTTCACGCGAGCGTTATGTATTGTATTCATTTCCTCTCAATGTTTCCGCTACTTTTCTTGCTTCTCTTCTTCATCTGTCCTCCTTCCCCTCCTCCCTTTCCGAAAGAAGCCGTTGGATTTTTTCTTCTCTCCGTCGCGTACGCAACTTTCATTTCGCGTCCTAATAACTCTTTTCCATTTTTTTTCAAAGCTCGCGCGAGATCACCGTCCGATACAAGCTCTATGTGCGCAAAGCCTTTGAAATCTTGCGTATCTTTATCCAAACCCATGCGAATTTCTTTGATCTCAGAACCTTGAGCGAAAGTTTCTCGCAATAAATCTTCCGTCACGGAATAATCCAAATTCGCGACAAACACGACGCGTTGGCCATCTATTTTTTTCGGCGGATCTTTCGTATCTGCGTCAGCCTTCTTTACTTTATACGGTTTACAAACCATTACAAATCCTTCCCAGTCTTCGCCGTCGAATTTCAAAGCTTCGTCGCGATCGGCGACGTTGTGAAAAGTGATTATAGCGATGCCACGAAAACGGCCCGAATCAGCAAATACCATACAATCGACGCTATCGACATCTAAACCTTCCTCATCAAACGCAGCTCTTATATCCTCATCTGTTTTGTGAAAAGGGATACCTCCGCAATACATCGAGCGCTGTGCGACTTCATCAGATTCGTCTACATCTCGTTCCGTTTTCGATGGTACCATCTTCGCCGGAACAAACTCTTTTTGCGCATCTTCGCCAGCCGCCGCGGGATCATCTTCGCGCTCGTCTTTCTTTTCTCCGTCGTCGTTATCGTTATCTGCGGCGCCCTCATTTCTCTTTCTCTTTTCTTCCCTTTGTTGTTTTCGCCGCTGAATCGCCGCGTCGAGCTTTTCGCGTTTCGTCATCTTTTTCAACCTCTCTGGCTTTACGTTTTTACCTCCACCACCATTCGTCGCCGCCATCTCCGCTCGCTTCTTCGAGCACTCCATACACGCCGGTTTCGCTTTGAGCAGCTGTTTAGCGGAGAACTTCTTCGCGACGAGCGTCTGCTCGCATATTCGGCACGTCATCTCCGAGCTAAGTATGTTAAGCTCTTCAACTTTTGCACTCGCCGCCTCCGTTCTGGTTTGTCTTATTTTTCTCTTCTTCTCTTTTCCTTTTTCTCCTTGCTGTTGTTGTTGTTCTTCCTCATCCTTCTTTCTTTTCTTCTCTTGGGAGTTATCGATCGTTCGTTTCTTGACAGTCTTTTCTTTCCTGTGTTCCTTGCTCTTCTTCTTCACCTTCTTGTTCTCGTCGTCGTCGGCGTCTGCCTCCTCGTCGAGGACCACCATTGGGAAACAAAATTTATTGTGGAGATTGGAAACAGTTGTGTTTCACATCTTTAGGAAAAGCGAAAATAATGCGCGCTTATGCGCGCTTAATGATAGCGAACATAATATGAATGATGATAATAATAATAATAATAATAATAATAATAATAATAATAATAATAATAATAATACATATAGCGCGTTATTTTTGGAAGCTGAACATGTTGTCATCCGGAAGCGCGCAGAAAGCAGAGCAATTATCGACTCCGTCGACGCGAGTCATCAGATCCGTACACACCTTCGCCAAGCGCGCATCTAAATTACCAAGCGCTTCGCCTCGATACAATTCAGATTCGTTGAACGTTACCTCGAAATTCATGTCAAAATTACTCTCGGATTCCGTAGGAGATTTATTCCCATTGTACGACACGATGCTCATTCCTTGATTCGCGATGACGGACGAAATATCCGCTAAAAGTCCGCTTCGGTCGCTACACTCCAATCGAAGATAGGAAGTCACAAACATGCTCACCGCTTTTCTATCGGCACGTATTTTCCCGGAAGGTAATCCAATCAAATCGTACGATTCCATCTCCCATGTGTTTTCACTTTTTCGCTCCCTGAAAGTTGAATCGTGTTCGTCTAAAAACTTCTCAATTTTGTACCTCGCGGCCTTCGTGACAGCCGCCGGCAAAAACATCCGAAATCGTGCAACTTTCTGCTTCATCGTCTCCGCCGAATCTGTCGAACGAACAATCTCTACGACTTCCGCGTTATTGAGTTTCTTACCGAAATCAACCGCTTGGCCGTTGACTTTAACTTCAACCATCTCGCTTAAACAATCGCGGTACGATGCGTAGTCAACGACCGTTGCTCCGTATGGTAAGTTTATAACTTGTCCCGCGCGAGAGAAAACAAACGTACGTCGACCGAGTAAGTCGCCCGTGACCGTATCAACAAACTCTCGCGCAGATAACACGCCGAGAAACTCTTCTTGCCAAGCTTGAATCATTTTCAACCACAAAACTTGACGCATAGGTGCAACGTTTCTCTCTTCGTTATCCATCACGTTCCCAGCCGTACTCTGAGACAAGTTCTGAAGAAACTTGTTGTCTTCCTCTTCTTCTTCCATGAACGATTTTTCATCTGCCGTTAACGGAATACCTCGTTCCAAAAGTTCTTGACGCATTTCATTTCTTCTCTTGAAGATATCTACAATCGCTCGCTTGCGCCATCCCGTTTTCAACTCCCTGTCCGCGCATATTCCCCAAATCGCGCCGAGATGCATTTGCTCAGTTCTGATTTGAATTTCGAGCGGGAAAACCTCTTCGTTTTGTTCGTCTTCCATGAAACTTTCGTTCGCGCTTTGGAAATCGGTATCGTTCATATCTCCTCGTTCTATAGGCAATACCGTGGTATGCAGCGCTCTGTACGCGTTCAATTTGGGTGTCGCGATGTAGTCTTTCATACTTCCCGGGACAGGTGGATACAAAGTGTGGACCAACCCAAGAACGTGGTACGTTACTCGAATCGCGTGGGATCTCTTCGCGGCCTCGCTCAATCCTTTCGTAGACATATCGTCGAGCAAGACGATGCGAATCTGCGCAATTTCGTTCACGTTCGGTAGTCTCGACTTGAGATCTCTCAGTTTCTGTTCCTCTTCCTCGTCTACGTTGTCTTCGTCTTCCTCTTTGACGGGACTATCTTCTTCTTTGTCGTGAATAAAACCTGGCTTTTTCTTGCTCTTCAACGCCTTACGATATATGCCATAATTTTCCTTAACGTGTTTATCGACTGCAAAGCTTATCACGGAGCCGCGCAGAAAATCGTCGTCTTTCAATGCTTCGTTCAATTTAGCGGCAACGTTATTAATAACTGGCAAGTGAACGCGCTCGAGCTCCTCTTTTCTCTGCGCGACTGCCTCGTAACATCCCGGACTGGCCCACCCAAACGCAATCTCCTCCAACTCGTTTTTCATATCGTACATTCCTAATAGTTTCGCGAGCGGCGCGAAAACAAGTAAAGTTTCGTTTGATATCTTTATTCTCTTCTCTGGTTTCATCGACCCGAGCGTTCTCATGTTGTGCAACCGATCCGCAAGTTTAACGATAATCACCCGAATCTCTCCCGTCATTGCCAAGAACATTTGTTGTAAATCGTCTGCCTTTACGTCTGGTTCGTCGAAGGTTGAGCTCACGAAAGAGTCATCCGCTGCTTTGGAAACCGTGCTGGATACTTTTGACACTTTTGTCTCACCTTCAACTATCGCTCGAACCGAAGGGCCGAACATACTCTCCACGCTTTCAAACGTCACAAACTCGGTGTCTTCCACGGTGTCGTGCAGCAACCCGGCACATAATGTCTCGTGATCCATATAGTAAGACGCTAGAATACAAGTTACAGCTACTGGGTGGATGATGTATGGTTCTCCGGATTTGCGCTTTTGACCATCGTGCGCGTGAAACGCGATATCAAGCGCCGTCCGGACTTGCACTCTTTCAAAATCTTGTAAGTATTCGGTTCTCCTTTCGAGCTCGCTTTCCCAGAGAAAGTCAGGAGTGACGTGCGACCAATCTCCATCGACACCGGCTGGAATGGATTGCGCATCTTCAATCGCTCTCGGAATAATCGATCGTTTTTCGTTTCTTCCGTTTAAAGGTCGCCTTCCAGAGCAAGACGACGATAAAGAAGAAGTCGAGCGTTCGTTTTGGTTATCGTTTTTGTCGTTGTTCTTGTTCTTGTTGCACGAAAATGACGAAGGAGAAGTTGTCATCATCGTATTCGCGTTTCTACGATTACATCTGCGACGGCGACTGTTTCTCGCGAGTTTTGTTCCAACGCGCACGGTTGATGTCGTCGTGCCGTGAAAAGAAGACGAGTGCGACATGACGGACAAACAAGACCAACTGGATTATTTGTTTTTAGTTAGACGCGCGCACAAATTCTTCCCTCTCTCTCTCTCTCTCTCCTCTTCTTCTTCTTCTTCTTCTCGATGAAAAAAGCCGCGCGAGGGTGTCTCGATTGTTATCGAGTTCGCGCAGATGCTCTCTCGCAGATCTCGCTAAGGATTGGGCTATTATTAAGTCCTGGAAGCGAGCGGCGGAAACGTATATCGCTTGATCGATTTGAAGTTTTGAAGAAGAAGAAGAAAAAGAAGAAAAGAAAAACAACAAACACTTTTTCTTCATTTTTACAACAAAAACTTGAACAACAACTTGAGCAGAGCAGCAAGCGCACGGGGGCGGTACATCACAATCATCATCTCATCCTAGATTAATTCTGGAGCAAATGTTTGATGCGATAGCCCCGTCGCCGGAGCGCTCGCGAGGCGCTCCTCCGTCGCCAAACTTTTTGTGCGAAGACGAAAAGGGAAACATTTACATTCTTTCGAAGAAGCGTCGAGAAAACGGTCGCGTAGATACAACGATAACCTCGGATCGATCGCGAAGAGCCGCACAGCATGCCGCTGGCGTAGCTTCGCTCGAAGATGTTCGGGTATATTCAGGCATTCCTTCTTCGTCGTTATCGTCGAACGGAGAAGAAGAAGAAGAAGAAGTGCGCACGTTAGAAGTTTCGAGCGGAGGACAGTTTGCGATTTTGGTTTCTGCGAGAGAGAACAACAACACAAAGAAAACGAGTCGCGTGTACGTCGTTCGTTTACAACAAGACGATCAAGTGAACGCCGAAGGTGGAAACAAATCGTACTATGATATCTTACCAAAATACTTCGAAAGTGCGCCGAGCGCGACGGTTTTATCGGCCAAGTTTTGCCCGGGAACGGAGGAGTCGATTGCGATGTTAACGAGCGACGGATATTTTAGAATTGTAAACTTTACGAGGAGCTGCTCTGCTCCCGAGCAAATTTGGAAAATGGATCCATCGAACGAGCATTCTTCTTCCACGCCAATCCGTCCGCAGGTTGTGGACTTTACATTTGGTCCACCGAGTGGATGGGGACGTTTCACCGTTTTCTTCTTGTGCGCTACGGAGGAAAAGAAAGTAGCGGCTGTCAAGTGCATGTGTCCTATCGTCGCGTCTGGGTCGAGAACATCGAGCCGGGTGTTGGATGAGCTTGCAAAGGATTCACAAATGCAGAAAGGCGGTGGTGAGTCTCTGCGATGGCTTGAACGTACGTTTGATATGACTTCAAAAGCTTCGGTTCGAGTTGCGCGAAAATTATCTGCGAATGCCTCGGGAGGCGAAGCGGTGGCATTGCAAGATTTCTTGACGACATCGTCCGCGTCGTCTATGCACTCGCACGCGTCCCGCGGTAATCTAAAGATTGCTGTGCGTTCACTTTCGGGTGATGGAAGAGGTGACGACGGTTTCTTGATTGCAACCTTGCAAACAGATCGTTTAATTGTGAGTGCAATTACCACCGCTTTGATGCCGTTGTGGACGAGCCGGGAAAGTCGCACGATTGAGGGGATTTTACACGCCTCGTCGACTTCTGGAGATAGACACGCGTCACCAACTCCTATTTTGTGCGACGTCGATGTTATAAAACTGGAGAATAGTGCGCAGGATGGTGGTAGCACGACGATTTATGATTCGTGTCAAAAAGTAGAGTGGGATACCTTTATCAAGCAGCGGCTTTTCGCTACGCTGAAAGGGTCTGTGCATAGTGTGGACCTTCGATGGCTGCCGATTCTTGAAGCGGCAGTTGCACGCGAAGAAGGTTTGAAATTAGATAGCATTAGCGATGATTTGCCTCTCCCTGAAGTGAAGAGAGTTTTAAGCGGTAGCTGCTCGGCGACGGATAGCTTACTTGGCGCTATTTCTCTTGGTCGCCCCCAACGTCTCCTAGCATGCTCGATGCAATT